AGCACTTGTATTGTTCCAGGATTCCCAAATCCCAGAAGCTCACTTGCTGCTTCCCTTCCCCCAGCTTCCCCAATAATTTTTTTTTCCCCCCCATTCTTGTTGCCCTCAGTTAAATTATGGCCCGTTATTCCCATGACCTTGTGCTTCACTCTCCCTTTGTTCCATTGATTCCCGCTGGCAAGGGCCGGGTGCCGATGTGCAGCCGGATTCCACACTCTGTGAGCAGGGGCTGCCTTTGTTGGGAGCAGCTCTGGGACTGCTGGGGCAGCTCCTGACAAAGACAAGCCCACGGCTGCGGGATTGAGGCTCCAGGGTCCCCCCAAACCTGTCTGGTTCGGCACAGGGACGGGCTGAGCAGCTGGGATGGAGCTCCGGAGTTGTCTGAGCGGAGAAGCTCCTCTGGTGGGAGCCTGGTTGTGCCAGAGGGAAGGGGAGAGCTGAATAAATGGAGATGCTGCCACGACATTTCAGGCTGGTCAGTGGGGATTGTCATCTTCAGGGTTTAAGTTTGATGGGGGAGTTAAGAGAGAGGGAGGATGTTTTGTTCCTCTTAAAATAATGGGAAAGGAGGTGGAAAAAGGACTCTGCTCTGGTTAGATGTTGGCTATGTGAGCCTGGGTGATTTCCCCTGTTAGTTGGCTCAGTTCTGTGTTGACTCAGGACTTCTGGGTCCAAGAAGCTTTCAGAGCAAACCCAGGGCTATGGATAGGGAGCATGAGATAGGTCTTGATCTCTTCCCCTTGTGCTGGAGCATGAACACAGTGCAGAAGAATTTGGTGCAGTCCCTCCGCTGTAATTGGGACTCTGTAGCCCACCCATTTAGCAACACTGGAGGGGCAGAAGTGTTGTGACCACCTCATTCCTGTCCCTTCTCCAGGTGAATTCCTGTGCCCAGTCACTGTTCTCACCATGTGTGTCCTTGGTACATCTCCTCTGCTGCAGATTCCCATGTAAAGAGTGGAGATAAAGTCCCTCTGTCGTTGGGGAAACCTAGAGATAGATTTTCTAATCTTCCCAGACTTAGGCTCCCAAGTCCTCTCATCAAAGCTGATAAGGAGGCTTGGGATTCTTAGATGTGTTGGTGAAGATGACTCTTAAGCCACCCAGCTCTGCTGAGTGCTGGGAGGCTGAGGATTAGAGGCAGTGCAAGAGACAAAATAAACCCCACCTAACCTGGCTTCCACAAAAGCTGGGTTTATGGTGCCATGCCCACATCCTTTCTCCTTATGGTGCAAAGCTGTTGGGTGATCCCTGTTTGTGGGGCCAGCACTGTCCTCCTCCAGCTCACCTGCTTTCCAGGCCTGTCTCTGTTCATGCTTCAGTGTAGGAGGTGAGTGCTGAGAGAGAGGGGGAAAATCCACTTTGATTTCGAGATCTTTGGGGAAAATATTTGACTTTGTTCCCAAAAAACCTCCCTCTGGATCACTTTCTGTACTGCCTTGCCAGGCCAGCAGGAGCCTTGGAGGTAAATGTGGGGTCTGGGGACCTGTGTGGGTGGGGGGTTTTGTGGTCAGGGCTGTGCTGCACTGGTGGCAGGGAGTGATCAGTATTCTTGGGGCTTCCCCCAGCCCCCCTTCCTTGTGTTATTGCCTGGCCCAGCTTCATAACGTTCCAGTTCTACTGATAATGTCTTTCTTTCTCAGCTTTGATATTAAAAACTGCCCTGATTTGGCTCCCTTTCAGCTGAAATGCTTTGCAGAAGGCAGGAGAGAAGAGGCAAAAGCAGGAATTGGGGGAATAAAAAAACCAAAGCCCCCTTCCCCCAGTCATCCCTCCCCACCCTTTAAGGTGAAGTGCTGCCCTTTGCAGGTGCATGGGCTGAGCAAACAGCTGTCCTGGGGCTCTGTGGTCCATCAGTAGCAATGTACTCGATGCACAACCTGTCTCTGTGAGGGTGGTGAGACATCCAGGAGCTGCACTGCCAGCTCATTTGCAAAACAGATTTGGTTCTGCTGCTGCTGCTGCTGCAAAGTCAGGGGGAGATGGACTGTGGCTGCTCCCACCCCAGTGTCCTGGCTCTTTGTGTGAGCGCAGGGAAGGGTTGGATGAGTGGCACGTGGAGATAAAGGGATGAATTTAAGAGTGCAGGGCCCTGTAAAAGGGGCGTGTGTTTGGCAGGTGTCAGTGGTGTGGCAAAGCTGGGCACGTGGGTTAAGTTGTGAAGAGGAAAGGAAACACAAACACGTCGCTGTTGAGGTTGTACCCCGGAAACTGTGAGTTAACTAAATAATTAATGAAACTGGGACCTGCCTCTGCCCTGCTTTGCAGCTAAGGAAGAAAAGCAAAGATGGGGTATGACTTCTTAAAACACTGGGCTGGAGCTCAGAAGGTTGCTGTTCGGGCTTGTGCTCTCCTCATGACTTGGTAAATTTGGGGTGGGATGTTAGATCTTTGTGCCTCCGTACTGGTTGCTGATGATAATTGTTCCCTTTTCCTTGCTTACTGTGTGTCCTGTTGATTTAGTCCCCACACTTCTGGGGCCAGGGGCATCTCTGCCACATTGCAGGGCTTTTGCCTTAAACGAAAAAAAAAAAATAATAACGTGGAAAAGAGGAAATGTTTCATTCTGTGATGGAACTGACTGCCAAAAACCTGCTGGGGGGCAGCCCAAATACGGACTCAGCACACGGGATTTGGGGCTGTGCTACAAGGTGAACCCGAGATGCTGGAAGGATCATCCTGGGGATTAAATCACTAATGTGGGATCCCTCTGGAGGACCAAGCCAGGGGCAGGACACCTGAGACCTCTCCCCGTGGTGGGATGTCACACCTCCCTGCGTGCCCAGAAGTGGGGGGGTGGTTCTGGAGGCTGGAGGAGCACAGGTCTGAGGGAGTTGGTGCTGTTTCAGAGTTCCTGCTTGATCTTGGCCTTCCCCTGCACCAGTGCAGCTGCCTGGGAGGGAGATGGGGCTTGCAGCCTGTCCTGCTGACGTGTGTGGGAACAGTGGGAATAGCAGGGCACGGCGCGAGTCGGAGCGAGCGTCTGCTGGCAGATGGGCCCGGGGGTGGGAGTGGAACAGCGGGAGGGAAGCAGGGATGGGGGGTAATGAGGTGCCTTGGCAGAGCTGTGAAACCAAGGAATCTTCACTGCTCACATTCCAACTGCTGTCACATGGAACCGGTGCTTCTGTCACCAGTTCTTTTTCCATGGAGTCTCTTCCTGCCTTAAAAAGCCCTCGTTGGGCTTTGCTGCCTCCTGGCCCGGGGCTGGGAGGGGCGAGCGGAGCAACGGGACTTCTCGTTGTTCCAAAGCCACAAATCCTGGATGAGAACACTTCTGGGGAGGATATGTGAACTTGGCCTCCAGCGCTCTGAGGGTTTGCAGCATCAGGCTATAACGTTTCCAGGAAAATCAGCATGAAGAATGAAGCGTTCCGTGGGGAGGGAGCTGGTGCCTCTGTTTGTGCTCTGTGGCCAGGTACTTCCGAGCTCTGGTGCTGCCTTGGCAAGCTGAGACCGTCTGTGGCTTTGCAGGAGTTTGTGCAAAGGGGAAACTGAGGCAGGAGGATTGATAAAATTCAAATGGAAAGACTGGCTCAACACCTGGGATGTGAAGTGCTGAGAGAACTTCAGTGCCACCACTGGCTGACTCTGGCCTTTCCCATCTGCTTTTCAGTTGCCACTGTTGTGTTTTCCTTTGCTCTTGGTTCTGGATGGTCTCAAGGCTCTGCAGTCGTCTCTTGAGTGCCAGTTCTGTTAAGGGGCTGGGTGACAGGGTCATGGCAAGATGAGGTCGGAGGCAGCCCTGTGCTCTTTAAAAGCTTGAAATGCCACTTGGAACTTTGCAGAGCTCCTGGATTGCTCCTGGGATAGAGGAGGGCTGGTAGGGCTGCCCTGGGCACAGTGTCTGGCTGCTCTCTGCACTCAGCTTGTGGCAGCCACAGACCTGTGCCCTGGATCTCTTGATAAATCCAGTGCCAAGGCAGGAACCTGGGCTGCTCAGCTGAATTCCAAGTGATGGGGAGTGATTCTGAGTGCGAGGGACAGTTGCTTGGCTGAAAACGTCCCCTGGAACAGAAATAATGTCGTTGTTGTTATAAATAGGACCGAGGGGGGTTTGTAACCTTCCCTAACCCACACATTTTGGGCAGATTGCAGCAGCTTTGCATGTGTGTGGATGCACAGGCAGATACAACCTATTCTCACTCAAATATGGTGCTTGTTTGTGAGATGGTGTGGTTTTTTTTTTTTCCTTTTTAAGATGCTGCATCTTTAACAAGCCCTTGATAGATGAGAATTTGATGCTTGCAGTGACAAACAGGCTCTTCCTTCCTGCCCATATGCACCATCATGCTTTCAGTTTCCCCCAGCGTTATTATGGGAGGATATTGATTTTAAATCTGGTCGGGGATGCTGTAATTGTATATTAGATATTTTCTGTTGGTTTGTAGGGCTGCAGTAATGCAAAAGGCTTGAGTGTTTCCGTACAATCCAGAGGGGGAAGATTGCTAAGGACCTTGAGGTTTTGAAGGAGGAGGGGGGGGAGGGAGGGGGAGAGACAGAGAGAGAGAGAGAGAGGAGAGAGAGAGAGAGAGATACTGTGGTAGGAAGATTCAGAGATCTGTTGTGCTTTTTTTTTTTTTTTTTTTTTTTTTTGTGTTGTTTTTTTCCTCCCCTTCCTTTCCCCCAGTTGCTTTGCATCAGGGCATGAAAGGAGTGGAAACACCGGGGGGACAAAAGGCACCAGAACAAATGATGAAACTCAGTAAGGAAATCAACTGGATTCAGAATTTATAGCTTTAAAACGTTGCATTGATCAGTGTGTGAATAGTCATTATGTGCTTTTGGGCTGCGTGATTAGGAAAGCAGATCAAGGCTCTCAAGATGATGATTTTTCTTACTTTCATTTTTTTTTCCCCCCTCTGCTTGTAATATATGTGTGTGTGTGTGTGCCTGTGTGTGTGAAAGAGAAGCATAAATACCAAAGTCTCTCTGGTCGCTTCTGCAAAGAGGAAAGTACAACCTTGTCTTGATACTCAGGTTTCTCATCTCTCTTCTAGATGAAATTTTAGGCAAGAGAAGAGTATGTTCTCCCAACAGCAGCAGTGAGTGTCCTTTAGAAAGCAAGAAAGCCAGAAGTGAGTCCCCAAAGGGTAAGTGCTGCTTCTCCCTCCCTCCCCCATCCCCTTCCCCTTTCTTCTCCTTTCCTAAGAGTGGAACTTAATTGAAATTAAGGAGCTGGGGGGGGGTGAGGGAGGGTTTGCAAGAGGCTGCGGTGTGGGAGCCGTGTCTGGCACTGAGGGTGCATGAGGGAGGCGACCAGGGCTCTCTCTGCTTTCTTTATCTCCTGGGGGGGGGAAAGGCTCTCGTTGTGAGCCTCTTAATTAGAATAATTGCTTTACGGTTTAAAAAAAAAAAAAAAAAAAAAAAAAAAGCGAGCCACAGCCCTTGAGGTGGATTATTAGGGGTGTTTCCACTTTTTTCGGGCAGAATGTCTTGATTACATGTTTAATATAAAGAGAGACACGCAGGCTTATCGTGCTGGCATCTGTTCCTTTAAAGGGAAAAAAAAAAATAGAAGCCTGTCAGGGAGAATAGGGCTGCCTAGTTCTCTCTTATGCATTTATGGCTCTGTTCCTATAGAGATGGAATCTGCAGAAGGTTTCTCTACTTAGGGGTTTATTTTTATTTTTTTAATCCCTTGGTTTGTCTTCGGGTTCTTTTCCTGTGAATGCGATTTTTAAACTTTCTTTAGGGCTGGCAAAGTGGGGTGGGTAATGGAGCCTGCAGTTTTAATGAGTTTGTCTCCAGGTTGGGTAAATGAGGTTTTGCAGGCCGTTTACTTAAAGGCTTTGTTGTTAAGTTCAAACTAATTAGCTGTCAGTAATACCCGTCTCGTGTAATCACTGTGCCTAACCTGCACTCTTTGCCACTTTAAAAAAAAAACCCAACTAAAAGCAGATCCTGTTCCATGGGTTTGGAGTTCAGCTGAGACTCTCTAAGGTGTATATCCTCAATAACCCATCCAGGGAATCTCAGAAGGGACTTTTTTGCAGCAGTTTGTCCTAAAGCTTTCTTAAACTACGTGCTTTATATTATGCTTTAGAAAGATATATTGTAGGGACCTGTTCTGCATCCTGATTTCACAGAATGTTCCTGTATATTGTTTCTGGTCCCCAAATTATGATCTGAAGGCAGCATACTCTGAATGCTGGTGTCACTTAATAGAATATTGCCAACATCACCTGAGAACACACTAAATCTTCTCTTTCATGTAACCCTCTCCTGCCTGTTAACTCCTTTATACCAGTAGAAGTGTCTTAGATTTTACTGGGAACCATTGATACTGCTACTCTTTATCTGTTTTCCTTGATTTGCTTTCGTCTGCCCTATTCCTGTTATCCTGGAAATGTTTCTAGTGGATGTGCAGGAAAATTCCAGCAGGATGCTTCTTTAGATTCTGAAACATGTTTGTTATATGAGACATGGGACTCCTGTAACACACTTGACACTTTGCTGTTTCTGCTGGGTTTGTATCCTTTGTAATTCCAAGGTATCAGAATCCAGGTAACAGCAACCTGTGTGGCCTGGCTGAGAATGGGCTAAACTTTAAGCAAGCTGTCTGAAACCAAACTGTTGCATTTGGAGTCATCCCAGTAAAGTGGCTGAACTGGCACAAATGGGAGCATCATGGTCATGCTGCCATGGGAGCAGCAGTGTCAAATGATCTCATTCCATTGCTTTCCTCTGGCCTTCCCACCGTTTTTGTTTTCTGGGGTGGGCTGAGGGCAGTGTGAGGCAGGTGAGGAACCTTTGGCTTTGCAGGATGCACTTGGGATCTAAGTCCTGCTCCTTAGCTCCCAGTGACTGGGGGGATTCCCTTCCAGGGGTTCCCAGGAAGCCCTGGATAAAGAAAAGTTTTGTTTTCTGCTCCGACTTTTCTTCCTCGGAAATCCTTCCCCGCCCTTTGAAAGAGATGAGACAGAATGGAAATTTGGAGCTGGGCCTTTTAGTGATCTCCCATGTGACCTGTTTTTTTTTATTAGATCTTTGGAGAGCCCCTGTTCCCTCCAGTGCTGTGCAGGAATTTAAGCCTAGGCTGTGCTGATGCTGGAATACCATTGGAATAGTGAGGGGCCGAGACTTCTGTGCTTTGGGGGTCTTTGTCTCTCCACTCCCTGCTATGGAAAGGGGGTAAAAGGAGGGGCTGCAGCAAGTGTTGCTGTCTTAAGGCCCAGACAGTGACAGCACCTCACAGCTGAGAACTCCCAGGAGCCTTCCTGTCCTGCTGTCAGTCAGGCAGTGCTCCCGTGTCACGGGTGCCATGGAGGGAAACGATCCCTGTGTTCCCAGCTCTGGCTGGAAATGGAACAATCCACGCTGTGTGACAAGCCATTTTCAAATGGAACGGGCCCTAAAGGCCAGTTACTTGGGATTTGGGAACTGCTGCTGTGGAGCAAAGTGTGAGGTTGTGCTGGAGCCCCAGGCTTGGCTGGGACCCAGAGTGCAGTTTGTGATTTAGGAGCGGGAAGGGAAGCAAGGACCGGTTGGAGTTTTGGAGCCTGTGCAGCCTCACGCTGTGCTGCAGTAGGAGCAGGGTCTGCAGTGTTCCCTGGGACACAGCCCTCCTTTTCCTCCAGCCTGGTGGTCCTGTGCCTTGTGCAGGTGCTGCTCCTCCACATCCCTCATCCCTTGTGGTGGCGACCGGCTCCGGGCAGGACTCTGCTCCTCTCCACCACAGACTGCCCTGGAAGCAGCTCTTGCTCTCCATCACACAGTGCCCTAGAAGCAGCTTTTGCTCGGGGCACAGCTGCCTTGTCTCGGGAACAGCCTTTTGAAGAGCAGGAGTGACCCCATGGCACAGCTCGTGCTGCCGTGGCCGCGCCTGACAAGGCGAGGAGAACAGAGGCAGCCAAGGAAATCACTCCCGCTCTCCGACTGAGCGAAAAAACACCTGTAGGGCTGGAAACCCTTCCAGCGGGGGAGCAGCCACCTTCCCTTCCCCCTCCCCAGCTCGCAGTGTGCGCTCCAGAGATCAAAAGAGAGCCCTATCTCGGTGGAAACGGGGCCGCGCCGCTGTCAAACAGAGCAGAACGTTCTCGCGTCTAATATGGAAATGGGAGCGGTATCAGAGGCTGGGAGCGAGGGCTGTGCTGGCAGGTCACGGAGGAAGCTTTCTCCTCTCCCCAGGAGACAATTCCCCAAGTGAAACCCTCGCTCTCCCGCGGCAGCAGCGCGTCTGGAGATCTGCTCCCCCCGTACCTCGAGACGCGAAACAAAAACCCAGGAGGGAAAAACCAGGCAAAGAGTGTTTTTGGGTTCCCGTTTGAGCTGCTGAAAAATAAATCTGGTAGGAGCCTCGTCGTTTGGGAAGGTTGGAAGCCGGGCTGGACGAAGTGCTGGAAAACACACGTAGGGAACAATATTGTGCTCACCCCCTGGGGCGGGCGATGAGCTCATACGCTGCTCCCTCTGCCATTCTCTTTTCTTTGCTATTGTGGATCATTTAAAACAAAACAAAGTCTTGCTGCGTCTTTGGGTGATGAACTAGACCAGAACTGGAGCTGGACTGCAGCTGAGCAATTCAGATCCAGCCTCTGTCAGTTTGTCCCTCTCCTTTGGAGGGGAACATCCATGTGTTGGTGGCTTTGGCAGCTGTCCAAATAGGCCAAATGAAGGAACAAGGTTTGGCCCTGTTCTTGCTAAAAACTTCACTGCCATCCCCCCAAACCCAGACTGCTGAGTGTGGTGGGAGTGGGCACAGCCCCGCCCCTGCCCTGGCAAGAGAAGACCCTAAAGCTGCTGACCAAGACCTGGCCTTGAGTTTGCAGTGAGACGCATTTGCAGCAGGTTCCTCGAGCTTTGACTGGGGTTGGATAAAGGGAACCTTGGCCTGTCATGGGTTTGTAGCAAAGGAGAAGGGCTGGATAGGCTGGGTGCTCGTGTTTTGTCTGGAATTGCTTGGAGAGGATGGACCTTACGGAATCCTGTGGGAAGGTTGTGCAGCAGTGACACGTCCCTCAGGCTGCATCCTCCAGGAGTTTCCCGTGGCTGTGCCATCAGCGGTGGCAGAGGTGGGCTCCCCTTGGCTCGGGTGAACAGGAGGGGGCTGGCAGAGAGCATGAGGGCCCAGCAGATGCTGCCTTGGCTCTGCCTTCCCCTGGCCCTGCCAGAGTCCATTTCACACCTGGCGGCTGGAGGAGATTTGGCGAGATCAGTCTCCCGCATTACCCCTGGTAATGACAAAAGCAGACAGCAAAGCTTCAGCAAAGCTGGAATTACTGCTGGCTGAGTCATGTGAAATCTTCCAAGTTTTAAGTGTGGAAATCCAGCCTTTCCCTGGGCTCCTCCTTCCTCTCAGCCTTCCCTTGCCACCCCCATTCTCCCTCCCCTCCTTGCACCTGAAATCTGCTCTGCGGCTGATCCGATAGAGTTTATGGTAATTAAGTGTTATTAAATCCCCTCCCCCCCTCCCTTTTCTTCCTCTAATGACACAGCTGTGGGGGGAAAAAAAAAAAATCAGTGTTTTTCTAAATCAGGTCTGTGGCATGTGGCTTTGCTCCTTAGACCTTTGGTTAAGAGCATCAGAAGGGAACTGAAACCTTGTGCTTCTGCATCCCTGGGGGAGGTGGCAGGAGCGGTGAGAGAGCAGAGGAGGATGTGGGAATGTGGCCCCTGGGAGTGACTTGGAGGGAAGGGGACCTGGAAGGGATTTCTGCCCACCACTCCCCTGCTTCTACCAGGGGTGTCTTGCAGGTTTGGGTGCTGGAGGAGGGAGTGGGAGGGAGCAGGTATGGCTTGGCTGTTGTCCAGGGCAGCCTCTCATTTTGGGGTCTGGCTTCTAGGGGTGAGGCACACAGGGAACCCAGCTCCTCATCCCAGCCAGCCTGAAGCAGCCTCTGAACCTGTGATTGCACGGGAAGGCAGTGGTCCCTGAGGTGCAGATGAGTGTCAGTGGGGTAGAGATCCATGGTTGGAGGTAGAGCCACAAATTGCTGTGCTGGCTGACCTGAGCTGGAGGGGACTGAGGTCATTTCCCTTCTGCAGAGGAAGAGTGCCTTGGGAGCCAGTGATGCAACCCTTTTGTATTGAAACTTTGTGCAGCTCAGACTATTTTTTAAAATAATAATAATAATATTTATTGTTGTTGTTGTTGTTGCTGTTGTTGTTATTGCTGCTGTTATTGTTGTTATTCCCTCCTATGTTTTGGGGAGAGGGTGGTTTCATTACAACATGCGAAGGTTTCCTCCACCAAAATCTGAGCCCTGTGTGCTTGGCTGTGCCATGGGTTTGGTGTCAGACAGCACGTTCACCTCTCATTCTGTGCAAGGCAGAAGCGACCCAATCCCTGAGCTGCTGTGGCAGGGCCACGTTTTACAGCCTCTCTGTCTCTTGGGCTGTTTTTTGTCTGCCACAGACTTATATTTTCTGATAGGCAGCTTAGGGGCCTTTGTCTCACCTGGGAGAGACCCACAGCTCTTTTCCCAGCAGGATGGCCAGTGCCTGTGTGTTCCTCACAGTGCAAAGCGAGTGGCCTGTGCTCAGAGCCACCACCTTGAACTTGGAGCCAGTCTGGCAGCAGAATCACCTGCCGTGGTCCCTGAGGGGACTCTGTCAGTGAAATGAAGGAGCACAAATCTGGGGCACACGGTGGGGTGGTCTTGTCACTCACTGAACACAGTGGTGGTCTTGTGACTGCAGCGTGGGGGGAGCCCGTCCCTCCCTCCCCCTCTGCCCGCTCAGATTGTTACTGGGAGTTCCTCTCTGAGTAATGAAAAGGCTTTGCCTGTGGGGAAGATCCGAGATAAAACAGTGTTAGAGCAGCCAAGGCGGGGAGAGTGGTAATTACTCTGATTTGTGCTTACAGTAAACAGAAAAGCCTCTGTGGTTTTCTCTCCCTGACTGCCAGACCAGGATCCCTCCTGCCCCAGGAGCAGGCAGGGCCTTCCTCAAAGCACCTCCCTCCTCCTGGGCTCTGCAGTCGTTCCGGGAAGATGGATAGGGAAGCATCCTGGGTGTGATTTTAATGGCCTCAGGGTGCTCAGCCACAGGTACAGATGTGAAACAACCTGCTCCTGAGACTTCCCCCCCCCACACCCCCAGAGCTGGGCAGGTGGATGTCATCACTGCCAGCATCACCTCCCTGCTCTGGGTGATGAGCATCTCTCACGTTTTTGTGTCCTCGTGGGTGTTTAGGAAGGTGGGGGGAAAGAGGTGCATGTCTGGCCAGGTACGAGCTGAAAAAAGAACTCATGTCCCCTGAGATGAAAGGGTGAGAACTCAGTGAACTCTTCCATCCTCCCTGTCCCCTCTGCCACGCTGGGGGTACAGAGCTTGCTGGCAATTTTGTGTTACGGCCATGCAGTGCTTGGTGCTTTAGGAGGAAGAAGAAAATACAGCTGTTGAGCTTTTTGGGTGATGGGGGCTTGGGTGATGGGGGCTTTTCTGTGTGTAAGTGTAGCCATGTTTGGGGGTTTAGGAGGTTGTTAGGTTGACCACATAAAATGGTACATCTCGAGCACAAGGACAGCTGATCTGGCAGCTTGGTACGTCAGGCTCAGTGGGAACACTAGAGAGTTGTGGGAATTTGTGCTAATATCCCTCTAACCCCCCTATCTCTTTCTTTTTGCACTGTCCCTATACTTATGTGATTTTCCACTGTATCTTTCTCTGGGAAAAAAAAAAAAAAAAGACCCAAATCTTTCTGCTCTTCAGAAAACTCCCACACGCCTCTGCTGGAGGACTCGGTGACTCAGATGACCCCGGAGGAGCACTACAGACGCATGATGTCAGCACTGAACGAGCATGGCACCTTTGAAGAGCAGCAGCAGCAACGTCTCTACCAGCTGGCCAACAGCATGGCAGTGCCCAGCCACGGAGGTACAGGATCTGCAGAGGGGAGGAGGGGCTCGTGGTGCCTGTAAAGGTTCCTAATCCCCCCCAGTGTGCACCTGAGGGGGATTGATGGGCTGCAGTGCTGTCTGTTTATCATGCAGCGAATACAAGTGGTGCTAAAAAGTGTCCTAGAGACCCTTTTCTCCCACCATCTCCGTGGGGGCATCTCCCCTCAACCATCTGTAAGTGCCAGTTCCTTCTGGAGCTCTCTGTGGGGATACGCTTTTCTTCACTGGAATAGATTCACTACAGTATCACTACTGTGTATTTTGCAGTGGTGGTGAGAGGGGTCCTTCCTTTGTTTCAAGAGTTTGTGTCAATGTGAATGTTCAGGATCTCTGGTGTAAGGCTTTATTTGGGGTCACAGTGTGGAGCAAGGGGGATGAGCAAGTTGGGATAACACAGCAGGGGTGTGAGATGTAGGCAGTGGCAGACACTCCTGCCCTGTAGTGATGGAAATGGCAAGAGGATGTTGCTGCCTTCTCCTGGGGGCTGGAGTGGTGCCTGGAGGGGATGTGTCCTGCAGTGCTGGGACCTAAGAGGTGCAGTGTGAGTTGAAGGATTGCTGGTCTGTTTTCCCTGGGCTGTGGAAGGAGCCGGCTGGATCCAGCGTGTCCTGCGCTGTGCCTAAAGGGGGCACCAGGCAGTTACAGGATCTGCCTTGGATCCACTTGGCAGGATGCAGGATCCACGAGCATTCCCTCCACGGGTTCCTCAGCCCACCTCACCTTCCCTCGGGTGAGCTGAAACTGCTGCCACTGGCTCAGCCTCACCCTGAGCAAAGCCATGCCTTGCACCGAGTCCCGCGCTGCAGGAGCCAGGGGTGGGGGAAGTAACTCAGCTCTCTGGATCAGGCAAAGCCAGGGAGATGGAAGAGGTGATGCTGTTCCAGTCGTGGAAGCAGAGGGTTGGAGCATCACTGAAAAGCAGGGCTGTGCAAGGATCTGTCCCTCTGCTGCTTCCTGCCCGAGCTGTGGAGGGCTCACACGGGGAGCCGGGGGAGGAGCACAAGCAGCATCAGCAAAGCATCCAGCAAGAGCTGGAGGAGAATCTCTGGTCTCTGAGTGTAAATCCCCAGGGCTCCTTGTTAGGTTAATGAAGAGGCTGTCTTCTTTTCCACTCTGTTTGATTTGATTGGCTTCTCTGGGGGCAGGAAGGCGATTCCCTTCGCTGTGGAGTAAGGATTTGCTTATCAGCAAAGGCACGGCACAAACCTGTGCTGAGGCACGGCCCGGTGAACATGGCACATGCTCTGTGTGTGGTGTTGAGCTGTCCCGGGCGTTTTCAGAGCTGCAGGGCTCCTGCAGACACAGGGATACAGGGCCCTAGGGCTGAAGTTTCACATGTACATGTGATGAACACAGAGGAGAGGACAGCGTGTAACGCTGTGCACAAAAGGATGACACACTCCTATGCCCAGGTTGAATATTTAACCATGTAATTCAGATCTAGACCATGTAGAATACACCTGTAGACCACGTTGAATACAACAGAGCAAATACACAGCTCAAAATGTGTTGTGTGCACGAGTGTTGTGACAGACAGTCACGACAGACCACCCAACCTGGCACTGGATGGCTGCTGGACTCATGGACGTGTCCATCCCACCAGCATGTGCTGCAGAACTTCTCTCCCTTATAACAAGCAGAGTAGCTCATTAAGAGCCTGACGTATTTTTATGATTATGATTAAATTGTCTCAGCAGCATTTGTTAGGTGAGGGGGTCACCCTGGGGTTTTGGGTGGGCAGGGGGAGAAGAGGCGCCTGCACGGACAGACTCCCTCGTGGAACACTGACGAGGCAAAACTTGGTGTATTTTTGGGTTGTCTCCACACCACAGGGCCCTGATTGGGCTATAAATTATTAGTGCCAGTACAAAGCGCAGTTTATCTGCGGGCTCACATGGAGGCACCAATAACATTAATAATTTAAAAAATGTTAATAATTTAGAAATCTTTTTTTTTTTTAATTGCTTTTCAGCCCCCCCCCCCCCCCCCAGCACCCCCCTCCCTCCTCCACCCCCGTTCTCCCAGTGGCATTCATCCCACATTCTGAATTCAGTCTGTCTCCGTGCCTGGAACCTCCATCCGCCAGCGTCCCACTGTCAATCAATCTGATTTCCCAACTGTCAGAGTGCAGGATTGTAAATAACAGATCCTGGGGGAGAGGGGGGGGGTCTGGGCAAGGGGGTAGGGGCGCAGGGGAGGGGAGGAGGGGGAAGAAAGCGGCGAGGAGAGGGTGGGTGTGCAGGGGGTTGTTGCGGTCATTCAGGATCAATGCAGCTCCTGGAACTGGCTGCACGCCAGACTTCTAAATTACAGGCGCTGTGGCGATGAGGAGTGACCTGGGTTTTTCAGATAATTAATTTATAAACGTTTCGAGGTGCACGGCCCCTGGCTCGGCGAATTCTCTGGGCCTTTTTACGTGATCCGGAGGGGTTTGGTGTTCCTTACATACCCCTGGCAGCTCAGAAGCGTCATTTTAAGGTTTGTCCCCTCAGCTGGGGGTGTGGGGACAGGGACTGTGAGTGTGGCTGGAAATTCAGGCACCGGTGCCCTCCTTAGTGCCAGCAAAAACAGCAGCTGTGTAAGTGTTTCCACCCCACCACGGGGCTTCAGCCCTGACCGTCACCAAAATGTTGGATGATGTGACTGAGGAAGCTCAGGCTGGGCTAATAGGGATGTGGGTATCTGAGATTTCCAGAACTGAAGGAAAACAGCATGGTGGTATTAAGGAAGGCAAGGAAATTGGAAGTCTATCATCACCAGGGTCGTGCATTGTTCTTATAGTAACCTGGCTTTACAAATCCATCGTGGGAAGAGGATGGACGTGTGGAGGGCTTTGCAATCTCAGTGTGCAAGCTGATCCTGCCCAGGGTGTGTTCACTGAGATAAATCTCCCTCTCCTCCTCTCCCCAGCTGTGTTTTGGTTTCCTTTTGCAGCCTGGTGCTCAGTGAGCACGTGAGGGAGGTCTCCTCCAAGTGTGCTCTTGTGTGTCTGAGTTTCTTGTGTGCCATGTGAATGGTAGCAGAGGTTTTGGTGTGGGATGTAAGTTGTGTATGGAGTGTTTTTATATAGATACAGGGACTAAGGGGCTCCTAATGCTTAACTGGGAGAGAGGAGCACTCTGGAAAAGCCTCTGTCAGTGTGACTAGTATGGGTGTCCATGTCACAAGTCCTTGTTGTTCCCTGAGCAGCAGCACATCAGCTGTACCTGCATCACCTGCTCCTCCCTGGGGCTCTCTGTGATCCCCTTTAGTGGTGCTTGAAGTGATTGTGGCTGTGTCTGCACTGTCCATCACACAGCCCCTGTGTGGGCAGCTTGTCTGTGCTGACACCCCCCCTGGAGAGACTGTACAGGTGTATAACCTGTCACTGCACACATGTCACAGGTAGGGTGACACAGGTCACAGGTTCTGCAGTAGTACCAGGGCAGCACAGGTTTAATGAGGGGTGCATTTCTGACCTGCAGCTGATGTCTGATGGAAGTGTTGTGCCTAAGGCTGGGAGGGGCTCCTCCTGTACCCCATCCTCCTCTGCCCTGTGGCCAGGCCCTTCCCGTTCCTACAGCAGAGCTGTGCCAGGCAGGTACAGACCCTGCAGGGCCAGCCCTCACCCCTTGCCCAGGTGAGGCCACAGCATCCCCCAGGATGTGGGTGGCTGACTGAGGGGGGGCACCATGCTTGGGAAAACAGCCCTGGGTGCTCAGACCGCTGCCAGGCCGTCCCTGGGAGCAGGGGTGGGTGTTCCCCGGGCAGGTGAACGACGGAGTCAGGTGTGGATTTAAGAGGCTACCTGGGGAAGTGACCCCCTGTTCCCCGCGTTCAGCAGCAGCTGGAGCTGCTGGGCTGTGGTTTCGGGGGGGTGATGCTGTCCCGACCGGGGCAAGAGCACACGCAGCAAACGCTGCGGCCCCCGGGGGAGCCCCCATAACCTCGGCGGAGCCCAGCGGGGGCGGAGGGGGCACGGCGGGGCCGGGCCCCGGGGCAGGTGCCACCGCGGCTCCGCTCGGGACCGACCGGGAAGGCTCCGCGCCCGCGGAGAGGGGGCAGACGGCAGTTTGGGGAGATCCTCCCTCTCCTTTTGCTCTCCCCGCATCCATCCATCCCTCCTTCCATCCTTCCCTCCCTTTTCCCCCCCCTCCTTCCCTCCCTCCTTCCCTCCGGCAGGAAGGCAATTAAACAGCAAATCCACCCCCCCTCCCTCCCTCCCTCCCTCCCTCCCTCCCGTAGTTGCACAATTTCCTCCGCTGCCAAACTCCCTCGGCGGCGGAGGCGGATCCCGCCAAGAGCAGCCCGAGCCCGCTCCGCCGTGTGAGTGCCGGGGCAGCCCGGGCAGCCTCTCCCGGAGCCCCGGAGCCGCGGGGATGGGCGGCGGGGGGGCAGCTGTCGCCCGAGGGGCTGCGGGCACGGCCGGGAGCAGCCCCGGGGCAGCGCTGTCGCCCGCGGGGAGCCCGGAGCATCCCCGGAGCAGCCCCCGCGGCGGGGACGGGAGGGCAGCGGGTGTTTTCTGTCCGTCCATCCGCGGGGCTGGGGGGAGGGAGGGGTTGTGCGGGGGTCGATGCCGGGCAAGCAGCTCATCCCTTCCCTCCTGTCCCAGATCTCCTGCGGGCGCGGCAAGAGGTGGCGGCGGCGGCGGCGGCGCGGAACCCCGGCGCGATGGAAGCGCACATCCCCTCGGCCAGCAACTCTTCCAGCCAGCGGAGGAAGCAGGGCCTCCCGCAGCACAGGGACACCCACTTCCCCGAGAGGTACCGCGGGCGCGGGTCACCCCCCGCCCCGGGGCGGGGTTTGGTGCGGGGCGGGGGGCGCGGGGGGCTTCGCGCCGGCTGCACCCTCGGGAAAGCCTGGAAAGGCTGGCATGGGTATCCTGGGGGTGCGGGAGGGGAGGGAGTGCCTGGGTCAAGCGTTGGAATGGGCTACCCCGGGGAGGTGGTGGAGTCACCATCCCTGGAAGTGTTCGAAAAACTTGTGGATGTGGCGCCTCAGGGACGTGGTTTAGTGGTGAACAGGGAGGTGTCAGGTTAATAGTTGGACTCAGCTATCTCGGAGGGCTTTTCCTACCTTAAGGGTTCTGTTTTTCTGTGCAGTGCCCAGGGGTTGGGCAGGGCTGGTTTGCCCAGGTGAGGTGTGAGTGTCTCTCCTGGGTGTTGTGCAGGTGCAGAAGTTGGTGGGGGGTGTTCTGTCCCATGCCAGGGTGTCTGTATGGAAAAGGGAGTGATCTGTGCTTGGACACATGTGCATCCACATCCAGGTGAGTGACTGGCTGGAATGATCCCAATCCTGCCCTGGATTCCAGGACAGATGCCACTTCAACCTGTTCTTTGGCCAAGAGCAAGTTTAGGTGTTTAACTTTGCATTTTGCAGCATCTCCAGATGAGGGGAGAGAACAAATGCTCTAGGATGGAGTAGAAAGAGAAGTTTTCTTTTTCACAGAAAAGAGGCACAGCTTGCCTTTACCACTGCTAGGAGTGCTGGAAAGCTGATATTCCCCCGCCCTCCCTTCCCCCCCCCCCCCAGGAAATTCTAGCTCGTTTATCTTGCTCTGTGCCACGAGCCATTCCCTCAGCAATCAAGAACATCAGAGGGAAATTAAATTAAAGCTGCGTGTGTTTCTGACAGGGATAGCAGAGGCGGGAAAGGGCCACGGGGATGCAAAGGCTTTGGATATCACGGGACAAGCCGTGAAAGGCTCTGGTATTCAGACTTTTTTTGGCTTTCATGAGGGGGTGGGTGCAGAGCAGGCTGCAGCATCACTTCTGTAGCACGTGTACGTACGTGTTGAGTCCAGAGTTTCCCCCCCCCCCCCCGCATTTATAGTCTTGGAGATCCTTCTTTTTTTTTCTTCTCATTTTTCTTTCTCTCCAACCAAGTGCCTCTGCAATGTGTAGGGGCTGGGGCAGACCTGGTAAACCTTTTCTCCTGCGGGGTGTACTTTGGCTAACCCGCCTCATAAAACGCAGCCCGATCCGTGCGGGTTGCAGGCGGACCTGTGAGGAATGCAGGGATCCACGGGTTTCAGAGCAGCCAGTCAGCAGGAACGTTCCTCCAGCGCTGTGTGGCCTGGAGAGGTGCCAGGCCAGCCGGAGGCCTGGCTGGAAAGGCATGTACGGGAAGGGTGGAGGCTTCTAACGGGGAGGTGCTGCTCGCAGGAGGGGCAAACCGAAAATGGGTTCGATAGGGATCAGACCCAGGGGTACTTGCCACGGCCAGGCAGGTGCTGGAGGTAATGGAGCTGGGCTAGGCCAGGAAATTTGGTTTGGGAAAAAGGGGGGAGAAGTTGCTCACTAGCTCAGGGGACAGAGACTGAAGGCCAGGAGTTGACTGTTGGAACAAACCACTACTTTTCATCTTGATTCTGTTCTCCAAGTAGTCCCGTGAGTAGTTGCACTGGTGTGGGAGCAAAATCCTGGCGAGCTGAGGAGGGGGAAGGAACACACAAGGGAGGGGGGGAAGGAACACAACTGCCTTTGATGTTGAGAGAAACACCTGTGGGACCTTGGAACAGGGCTGCAAGAGTCACTCAGTGTCTCAGTGTCCCTTGTTGCTCGGTGACAGTGGTTCTCATCTCGAAAGCAGGTTGTATTTTGGCATTTGGGAAGGCCTTTGAGTGGCTCAGTTGCAAGAGCAGTGTAATGTGGTAAGGTTGTGGGGAGCAAGGATATTTGCACCCACTTGTAAAGGTCTGGTTATTTGGCTGTGAGCAAGACCAGCCTGTGGCTGTGTTGGTGGGCACGAAAGAAAGAAGCTGGTTTTTGTTTTGTGGTCTCGTTTCTGTCCAAGAGCCTGCAGGCTGAAATAAGGCTCACAGCAGGTTATCAGCCCTGCTTTTGTTTTGCCCCAGTGCTCCCAGCTCCGACTGTATGTCCGGGACCTGCTCTTATTCCTGGGCAAAGTCATTCTCCAAGGAGCTTTGAGACAAACTATGTTGAAACATCCCCATGGTGGGCCTGGCTTGGCACATCCTGTGCTCCCTTCCTCTGCCATCCCAAGACATGGCAAGACCAGGCTGTCTGTGTTTTCTGCAGCCATCTGCTCCCCCAGGGAGGGTGTGGTGAGGTCCTGTGTGGCCAACCTCCTCGGCCAGGCTCTTAAGTGTAATGATCCTTGGTTAGCAGAGCTGGGGAGACCTGCTGGGAAATGGGAAGCTACAGCTGCCCCCATGGTCATGACTTGGTAAGTCTGCTTGGTATGGTTTGTGGATGGCCCCATCCCTTGAAATGTCCAAGGCCAAGCTGGGTAGAGCTCTGAGCAACCTGCTCTAGTGCATCGGAAGGTGTCCCTGCCCATGGCAGGGGATTGGAACTACGTGATTTTTAAGATCCTTTCCAACCCAAACCATTCTCTGATTAGTGCACAGTGTCGTTACTTCTCCCCAGAGCTCTGCAGCCACCTGAGTATCACTGAGGGTCCACTTGCATCCCTCTGCTCCCACTCAGACGTGACCTGTTTGGAGCTGTCCTGTGCAAATTGTTCCTGGCTGTTTAGCCAGAACACCAGGGGTGGTTTTGGGAACGCCAGGAGAAACTGCGTTATAAAGCAGTAAAGTTCTGTGTGGGGTAACTTCTCCCTTCCACTCCCTGTTACCCTTGGGTTTTGTACTTGGCTGCCATGGTCTTTGTCAACAGGGTAAATCACAGCGGCCTCTGTGCACCTTTGTTAGGAAGGTACGGAATTTTCCAGAGGTTCAGGTGGGCACTGACAGAGGAGAAGGCAGTGGAGGGAGCTGCCTCAGGTTCGTAGGCAAACTGTAGGTAGATTTACAGCATCTCCTTTCCCAGGAGCAGAAGTAATAACACATGATGCAGGGGGATGTGAACTGTTTGGCATGGTGTTAAAATTCCATTTCAGCTTCCTATCGGGAGATCTGTGGGGATCAGGTCAGCTCTCAGGTGCAGCAGCTTTGTGGGTAAGAATAATTAGTCACTTCAACCATTATGTGTGGCAAAGCAAAGGGGCTGAAACCCACAGTGGTGACCCAGTTTTATTTATCAGGGCAGCGCTGATGTTTTTGCAAAGACAGGAATGCAGAGAACTTGCCTGATAATGAGAACTACACCATACAGTTTTCCTGTTTCCAGGGGTGAGGGTGGGTCTGAGACAGGGAACAACTGGGAAGATGGGTGTGTTCAGGCATTCATCAACTAATTATCACCCACTTTTGCTGGTCAGAAACAGGCTGGAAGGTTTAATGACACTAAGGACAAGGCAGGCAGGTGAGTAGTGGCTTTGAGGGGATGATACACTCATGTACACACAAACACCTGGATATGGATTTTCTTGGACCAGGCTCCAAGGTCCCTTTAGTGGCTTGGGGGCCCCTTCACCCCTTTGGTCCATCTGTTGGAAAGAGTCAGTAAAACTGAGACATCTTGCCAAAAGTAGACTCAAGCCACAGGCTGGAGAATCCATTTGGTTTCATGGTTTTGGTTTCCTAGATCCTTCCTCGATCGATTCAGGCTCGGATTACGGAGTGCCAGGGCCTGGTGGTTTGTTTGAGAGGACTGTTGAGTTCAGCTTTATAAAAAGACTTGGAAGAGGAAAGGGCACAACTAAAAGGTGCCACTGTAACTGCTCCAGCCTGGAGCACTTCCCATCTCCAGACATCCTGCAAAAATGGCAGGTGTCTGTGCCCTGCAGAGTTTTCTTGGATCCCACCCCCTGGATCCTGCCTCCAGGCTTTGTTGGCAGCGTGCTTGGTTTTGCTGGGGTCGTTTAGCCTGGCGCGTTCTCACCCAAGGTGTTCATCTCTGTGCTTCTCTCCGAGCAGGCTGGTGTACCTGGAGCCTGGGGAACAACTTGTGTTCTCCCCCCTTCAGGAAAACCTTTCATGCCCTGCAAACAGAAGGGACTGGCCGGGAGCTCGGGTGAGGTTGGCTGAGCTGGTGGACAGTGTTGATCAGTGGGGTGAAGCTTGTTGGCTGAATATGAAGCATCAGTTCTGTGTTGGGAGTTGTGAGGAGCTTGTTCTCGTGCCTGCAGTGTGTAGTGTGGGGGTCTGGGGGGGACCTGCCCCTCTCTCGGGAGGGGAGAAGGCAGAGCCTGGTCAGAGGAGTTGAGGTAGGTCCTTGGTACAAGCCCTCAGCTGGCTCTGGGGCTGTCTGCAACCAGCATTAGGGACACAGTTCATCCTCCAGGACCACAGGCAGTTCCAGGGGAAGGCAGGAGGAATGCCAAGGGACAAGAAACGCTGCCTGCCTGAGGTGCCATCAGCATCCTCATCTCCGGGGTCCTGGGAAGCTGAGCCCTTTGGCTGGAGTGTTCTGGGAATGGGAGCCACAGAGTCTCAGAGAGGCTCTCATTGCCCTTCCCTTGCAGAGCTGACAGACATTGTGCATCAGCCAGAGGCTTTCTCTGAGCAGAGATGTGCCCAAAATACCCAGCAAGGATTTTTGGATGGAGTTCTTTCCATCTGCTGTTGCTACGATTTGTTCTTTCACCACCTAATTCCTCCCCCCTGTTTTTTTGGAGGCTTTCCTTTTCACTGCTGGCTCCTTGGGCACATCCTCCTGTGCTCTCTGGGTGCTGTCTCTCTCCCCCTCTTACCCACTCCCCAGCCTTGCATCCCCCTCTCTGCTCTGAATATTCTGATTTTCTGATTTTTGCACTGGAGGGATCCTCAGCAGATCCCAGCTGGCTGAATGTTATGCAGAGCAAAGGCCAAAGAGCTTGACCCGATTTAACTAATTTGGTTTTAGCACCAGTTTGGATTTTGAGGGGGCGATTTCCCCGGGCAGCACAAACCAGGCCCATCTCCCTGTGTCCAGGCCTCGTTGCTGTCCTAGAAGGGCAGCTCCAGTGCATGTCTTTTCCTGCCTGGAAATCCCAAACACCATTTTTAGAAAGCCCTTTCATTTTATTTATTTTCCCTTCCTGGCACAGTGTCTGGGGATGGCAGAGCAGCGAGGAGCTGTGTGCTGCCTGCCTATTACCTCGGGTTTAAAGTGTCTCTTCCTATCAAATGCAGAGCAGGAGAAAGCAGAGCTTTCATGCATTTTTTTTTTTTTTTTTTTCCCCCCTTCTTCCATCCGTTCTAAATTTATTTCCATGCCTTGCCGGTTTCAATCTGCATTTTCTGACCCTCTCACATCTCCAGTCACAGCCTGTGCTCCGAGCCTTCCCTCGGAGCTTGGATTGAAGTCAGGGGGGAGCATCGCTCTGGGCTGGGGAGGATATGATGGGGTTAAAGTGAAAGGCTTGGTTTTAACAGTATAATGTGTAACCCCATAATGACTTTAAATATTGATTATTTGAAGGCCATTAGTGCTTATTGTTAAAGAAAAGTCAATACTTTTTAAGCCTTGTGAACCATTTGTCTCCTGTTAAAGGACATATCAAATTTAGCAGCATGCAGTGCAAATCCCCTAATACCCTGCTCACAGGCCTCCAGCTGGCATATTAGGGGGGGGGAAAGAAAAGAGGATGGGGGGAGGAATATGCAGTAACACAGAACTGCTCTCTGCAAGGTAAGGACAAGGCTTATCAGATGTAATTGCCAGGGGCTAAATTCAGGTTCTCAGAATATGGGGCTGTAATTCTGCCCTTTGAGTGGTGGAGGAAGAGGAGGAAGGAATTTAATGGGGGGGTTGAAGGCCGGTACATACCTGGGAAAGGATGCAAGGATTAGTGTTGTGCTGCATGTCTGTCTAAAAGCACAGCAGCCTTTGTTAAAGTCTCTGGGGCTTTTTACTCCGGGGTTGCCAGTTCTTTTCCAAGCTGGCTTGGAAGCAATTGGCTGTATCTGCACCAGGCAGCCTGGGAGGGCTTCCCAGCTCCGTGCCAGGACACGACCTGGTGGTACTGCCTCCCTCCTGTGCCAGGTTTCCATGCCAAATACCGGGCAGATGGGCTGGGAGGGAGCAGTGGCAGGCTCCAACAGGTTCTGTGTCCAGAGGGTTGGGTTTGTGGGATGGCAGGAAGCGTCTGTCCACGGTCTCACACGGAGGTGAGATGCTCCTCAGGGCTCTGCAGCAGGAGCTGTGGGGCATCAGGATGCCTGCAGGGAGAAGAGCTCCTCGTTCCCTAAATATTTATGAGCGTGCCTGCTCGCTTTTTGAGTTCTCTGCTGCTGGGGATTGATGCCGAGTGTCGGGGGGGACAGCAGGAGGGGTGCAATGACCCCTTCGTGTTGGGCCATCTGCAGCTTCCCTTCTCTGACTTCAGGCCAGGCTCCAGGGGTGTGGTGTGGGACCTCGGGCTGCTCCTGTTCCTTTGGCCTCACCAGCAGTGCTTCCCTGTGTGTGTGTTTGGTGGGGAGCTCCAGGGCTGCTGAGAGGACAGCGCCGGGGTCTCCGTGTGCTGCTGTGTCAGGCAGGCCTGGTGACAGCGTGTGTGAATGCGCCTCCCTGAATTTTCCAAGCCTTTGGACTCATCCCCAGCGCGTGTTGGCGTGTGTGGAACAGAGGCAGCACCTGACTTCTCAGTCTGAAGCCGCTCCTGCTGTGCTCAGCCCCGTTCCTGCCGCTGGGATTGGGGCCGGGAGCTTTGTCCCTTTGCTGCATCCCCTTTCCCAGCCAGGCACCCCTCACTGGCCAGCCCAAAGCAGGAGCTGATCCCAGGCCCCAGAAGGCAGGGAAGCTCCGAGGAGAGGACAGAGGGAACGAACTGCAGAGAGTCTCGAGCAGATGCGAATTCCTTAGGGATCAAAGTTATGCCCGGTAGCACAACATTAAAGCATAAAAATAACCTGATAAACACCGGGCTGCCACCGAAGGGAGAACCTTCTATTTTCCAGTGCCCATCAAACACTCTGCTTTCCTGGGCACAGATTCTGTGTTCTTGGCCAAAATCAAGAAGCTCCTTTGTTTTTAGAGTCCCCTTCAGGCTGCCACCACTTGGGGCTTCGGGACCTCCTGCAGTATCCCCCTTTCCCGCACTATGGACGAGGCGAGGCTGCTCGCCCGGCCACGCAACAGTTAAAAAAAAAAAAAAAAAGCGACTTGATTTCCCTAAATTGCTTCTTATAAAACGAACAGCACGTCTGCCCGGGCTCGTCTCCCCGTGATTACAGCTAATTACGATCGAGCGGACACCTCGGAGCCCCCGTCACGCCGCTTTAATTGTCCGTTATTCATCTGCGGGCTGTCCGGGGTGGCAAAAGCACTTGGCAGCCGCGGCGACCGGGGGGCCTCGGCTAATTGTGAGGCCTCGGGGATTAGGGCAGGTGATTACACACTTCATGGTGTAATTACATAAGCATCGCTTGGCTGCTGCCCCGGCTCGGAGCCGAAGGTCACGCGCTGCGTTACCTGAGATTAATTGGAGCTGCCAGCGGAGTGCGAGGTGCTGGCGGAGCGGTTATACGATTAGCATTAACATTTCAACAGCGACCGATCGATCCGTGGCTCTCCTCCAGACACAGCGAGCTGTGCAATTAGTTTAGAGGAGAGCTAGGGGAGGGAAGGAGGAGGAGGAGGAGGGAAGGAAGGAGAGCCGCCGAGGCAGCCAGGGGAAGGGAGAAGAGGGAGGCAGGAGATGGGGCGAGCGAGAAGGAGGAATTTTGGAGGGGGGATCTCAGCCGTGGATCAGCGTTTTGTAGTGGCTGGTGCATACAGTGGGGATAAAACCACACTAGGAAGATCTCTGCTTGCCCACCTCGCCCCCAAAGAGTCCTTACCTGGTTTTTCACGGTGTTAATTCCTCCCCCTGCCCCAAACCGCATGGGACAGCTGGGGGTCCTTCTCCCACCCTCCCGTGTCATCCCCCCCTCTGAAATGGGCAGCGTGGTTGTGCGTGTGGTCTGTTTGATGCAAAGTCACAGGCACCTTCTGGCCCCCTTTCTCGTGCCCTCCAGTCTCTCCCGAAACAGATTTTACAGGGAGATACCGTAAAATGAAAATAAACGGCACAGCACTTGGCTTTGCCTCTGGATGCCCTGGTGAAGGTAATAATGTTGTAAGTGGCCATCAAAAGGAATTAAGAGACGTGCAGCCGGAAAGCAGATTTGCTTGCAGGCTCCCAGGGCAGATTTGACTAATGGAAGAGACCTTGGCTCTTACTCCCTTCCTGCCTGTTTTTTTTTTCTTTCTTTTTTTTTTTTTTTTTGCCTTTCCCCCCTGCTGCAAGCAAGTGCTACCTGCCTTGCTTCCAGGCATTGTCCTCTTCCCACCACTCAAACCTGCCTCCTCCAGCTGACTTACCACCTGGCATCTGCTCTGCCCATTCTGTCCAGCATCACCCACCCCTTCTCCAGCAGGACACCTTCCTGCTGGCCCCGTGGCACTTTCACATCCCTCTCTCCATCTCTCCTGTCTGTCTTTCTCTGCCTGGCTCCCAGCTCTTCTCTCCAGAATTAAAGACCACCCCTTGTCCCAGCTAGGACAGGGATTTTCTGCAGGGCGTGCCGGTGTTTCCTACAGATTTTTCCGGAACCCCTCTCCAGCTCCCAAAACACAAAATACCTTTTCAGTTGTCGGTAGATGAGATAGAAACCCAGGCTCGATAAGGGAGAGGCAGATGCAGAATCTGCAGCCGTGCCTTTGCTAGCCCTGGGCAGCCAAAATCCCTTTCAGCCCAGCTGAAAGACCACAGAGGCAAAGGTGGGAAGTATGTGTGACCCGTGGAGTCCTGTCTGCTTTCTTCCCCTTTTGATTCTGCTTCTTTTGGTTTCTTTCTCTGCATTTTAGAAGCTCTGCATATCAGAATTAGCCTCTGGCTCAGAATGCAGGTCACCTGCAGCCAGGATGTTCCTTCCTGAGCCGGGGCCCTTTTGGATGGAGCCTCCAGGTTTTCAACGTGAACTTATTTTCTGATTTCTGCAGGGAGATCTCCCACCCACCGCCTCTGCTCTCGCCCCAGAACGCTCCCCACATTGCCCTGGGGCCCCACTTGAGACCTCCCTTCCTCGGGGTGCCTTCGGCGCTGTGCCAGACGCCAGGTGAGTGCCCAGGTAATGCTTGTGGGCAGCCAGGGCGGGCTGAGACAAACTGTCCTCCACCCAAACAGCCCAGCCACACTTCCTGTGTCTCCCCCTGACTGCTGTGCTGACTTCACCCTGGTTTTGCAGCAATAGCAGCAGTTGCCTTGGCTACTCTTTCCTTTAGTCCCCGCCAGCCTCCCTGGTGTTTCAACCCGCGGGCTCTAGAGCAGAAAGCAGCACTCAGTTGCCCTTTTCTTTCTGAGGTAGCCCTCTGGAGAGCTGAGGTAGCAAAGAGTCAGTGCTGAGATGAGTGAGCCCACGGTGCTGTTCTCCCTGTCCCCAGGTTACGGGTTCCTCCAGCCGGCACAAGCGGAGATGTTTGCACGGCAGCAGGAGATGCTACGAAAGCAAAACCTGGCCAGGTAAGAGTGGGAGAGGGATGGATTTCTCCTTCCCTTTTTCAGCAGCAGCAGGCAGAGTAAGGTGGGGTGCTGTGTGGGGTGAGCTGTGCCCGGGTGACAGAGCAGTGTCCAACTGAGACCAGTGGAAACAGCGTGTGGGTGTGGAGGGAACACTTTGATGAGTACAAATCCCACCCGTGCGACTGGAGCACAGATAAAGTGGGACTGACACACAAAATCCTCCCAGAAGGAAGAAAAGGCATGTTCATCCTGTGATTTTGGATCTTGTCCCGTGGAATGCACCATTAATGTCATAAGGCAAACCCAAATATTCTCTTCACAAATAAGATTGGCAGCATCACGTTATTTAACACGACGTTAAGCCCAGCCCAAGACATGAAAGTAGCAAGTCCTAATACAGGTCATTGCTGCACTGTGATGATCCCACATTGTAGAGGAAAGTCCAAACAAAAAGTCTGGCACTCTGTGACAGGACATTTAAAAATAACTCCATTTGGAAAGGGATCTGGTTTGGAATATTTTTGCACTTACTGCACATTTGTTCACTAGATCAGAACCTGCAGTGGAGGGAGGAAAAATTACCAGAAGAAAATTCACACAGTCAGAAGAATGTTAATATTTGCTCTGAAAGATCCCCTAGCCCTGTCCCGAACCGCTCCACTGCCCACCCCACCTGCACTGTGGATTTCTTAGCACTGAGGGCACCCTTATATGATGTGGCTGAGGCGAACCACCAAGGTGGCCCAGCGAGGACGGGGGTAGTTACTGCCAACATTCCCTCTGCCTCTCCCCACCCAGGCTGGAGATGTCGGCCGAGATCATCCGCCAGAAGGAGCTGGAGAACCTCCACCGCCAGAGGCTGCTGGCCGGCGACCCCCTGAGCCTGCACCCGGGGCTGCCCCCGGACCACCCGGCCCTGCGCAACGTGCACGACATCCCCGAGGGCCACCCGCTGCGGGAGGAGCTGTCCCGGCGGAACGCCATGCTGGTGCTGCGGCACAACAACACCCCGCTGCTGTCCCTCAACCCCGCCGTGCCCGGCGCCAGCTCCTCCACGCCGCCCAAGGAGCAGCCCCGGCGGGGCAGCCGGAAAACCGCGGGGCAGCAGCGCGCCGAGCCGCAGGGCGTGGGCGAGGCCAAGGAGCCGGCGGAGCCGCGGGCGCGGGACGGGGCCCCGGACTGTAACGACGAGGAGATGAAGGACTCGGAGAGCGACGCGGACGTGAGCGACGAGAAGCCCGAGAGCCTGAAGGCCGAGGGCGGCGGCGGCTCGGCCGCGGAGCTCAAGGAGTGCAAGGAGGCGGGCAAGGCGTGCGAGGGGGCCAAGGAGATGGGCGAGGCGGGCGCTGCCCAGAATGCCCCCTGCAGCTCCTCGAGCGCAGAGTCCCCCAGCCACCTGCTCGGCCCGGGCATCAACAAGGCCGAGGTGAAGTACCTCCCGCCGGCCTCCATCCCGCCGCCTCAGCCGCTGCCCTTCGGGTTCCCCTACACCATGAGCCCCTACTTCCATGCAGGTGAGTGCACGAGGGACATGTTTTGTGGTGCTAAAAGCGGGGCTCTTCCCCCCCACCCCTCATTCTGCAGCGTGGTTGCGGTTGCTTTCTCAACTTTCCGTCGTTTTTTTTCAAAAGGAAAATTTTTTTTCCGTGTTAAATGTTGGAATGGGATGCCCGGGGTGATGGTGGGAGTGCCCATCCTTGAAGGTGTTCAAGGAACGTGGCACTCAGCGCTCTGGTCTGGTTGACAAGGTGGGGGATTGGTCAGAGGTTGGACTTGATGGTCTTGGAGGTCTTCTCCAACCTCAGTGATTCTGTGCTTCTCTGCAAGGAACCAAAACCCTTCTTTTAATTAATATGAAGGACTCTGTTTGCAGTGAAGCAAATCAAGGGCCATAAAGAGGGGCCAGCAGGGATAGAGTGAGTCCCGAGCACATGAGAAGGGAAATCCCCAAAATGATGGCCTGAGGGATCTTGCAGTTGCTTGGGCCTCCTTTGGCATCTTGGACAGACACCAGTAAATTACAGAGAGCTTCAGGGAGAGGCAGCAACAGTTATTAATGGCTGCAGGGTGCTGTCAGAGTAACCACTGCTGTGCCCTTTTTCCAGGGTGGAGGTGGATGGGCTCTTTCCCCTGCCTGTGTCACAGGCACTGGGACAGCTGGATTGGTGTCTGTTGGGTGGGACAGGCAGGCAGGGAAGTCACTGCGGTCCCCAGTGACACAGTCCCTCGGGCAGCAAAGGCACGGCTGGAGCAGGATGGTACAAAGTGGGGTCTCAAAGCCTGGTAGCTGGGCAGGGCAGGGTGGCAGCCCCGCCAGCCTAGCCAGGAGCCAAAATCTGCCTCAGCTAATTACCTGAGTGAGCGATTAGCAGGCGGTGGGACCTCCTGCCTCACAGAGGAGGGAGGGGGGGGACGTGGCGTGTGGGTCGCCGAGGCTGCCCGAGCGGCCGTGGCTGCCCATCACTCATTAGAGCTGCCTCCCAACCAGGAGGGAGGAAGCGATTTTTCCTGTGACAGGCAGGTGGCCAAGATGATAAATATTCCTGCTGCCTTGGGCTGCTGAGGCTTCCTCGCAGGAGCCTTTTTCTCCCGGCCATTAAAGAGGGGAAAGGCGCAGCTCCGCGGTGCGCGTGGCTTGTGCGAGGCTCTGCAGGGAGGCCTGGGATGTGGATGGGTTTCCTCCCTCCCCCAGCAATGTGTGAGTTACTGTAATAGGCCATTTATTATTATCACTTCGAATTTATATCACCATCGTGTCTTGGGGCCCCGGCACAGATCAGGGCTGTGTTTCACTGCCCGGTTTTCAGGCAGTTCTGATTTGTGGAGCCTGTTCCAGGGCTGTAGGTCTTTTCCTGAGGGCTCTTTCCTTGGCTTCTGGCTGGCTTCACACGGTGCTGGGGCTGTTAATCCTGCCTGCCTGTGGGGTTTAGGCCCCGTTGTGCTCAGCTCCATAGCAAAACCTCTCACCTGAAAAGCCTTGGGAAGACAGGGCGTCTTGTTCGATGCAGCACCATGGGTCGATGGGGGAGCTGGGAGTCCAGCAACTGAAATATTGAGGGTTTGTATCGATCCAAGAGCTGCAGCGATCCTGGGCTGTGCTGGGGTAACGTGTGTCAGTGGAAAAATGTGTTCCTGTGGCCCTTGGGGAGCACAGAGCACCTGAGGACAGACAGACTGAACCGAGCCCACCTCTCCCTGGCGCCAGACAATCCCTGTAACCCTGTTCTGCACAAAGACTGCTCTTTAGGCCTGGGGGGATGTGATGTTGTGCCCTACACCAGAGACTGGGATGATAAAGTGACCACCTAACCGAGGCAGGTAACGTGGCAGGCCAAGAGGAAGAGCTGAGAGGGAGGAGAGGAGAGGGGAGAAGCATCCAGCTGAAAAGGACCCCTGAGTTTCAGGCAGTTCCTCTGGTCTTCCAGCAAAGGGAGGCTCCCCTGGAGGCAGAGAGCTGTTTTCTGTCCCTGCTGGGAAGCATATCGATGAGGCAGCCAGAGCTGGGTCGATTCCCTGAGCTGCCTTCTGGGGATCTGGCGGCTGCTCGATGACCTCATCTCGTCAAGGTTTCAGCAGCCTTGCTCCCCTCCTCCTCCTCCTCCTCCTCCTCCTTCTCCTCCTTCTCCTCCTCCTGCCACCCTCCTCCAGCCCTGTCCTCTGGAAAAGGTGAAGGATGGAGTGTGCAGGAGGCTAAAATCCTTCTATTGATCTGTAGTCTGGAGAGCAATTAACGCAAGCCTTGCCGTGCTGCTCCGTGACCTCTCTGGCAGGAGGGAGGGAGGGCGGAAGGGGGTGCAGGCACAGGGAGAGGGGTTGGGGAGTGGTAGCAAAACTGATTAAAGCCATAGGTGGGCTGGCTTCCATGGGGGTTCTCTTTGTGTCTCCCAGCTGGCACCTGGATTGTCTCCTGTGGTGCCAGGAGCACAGACTGGGATGCGGGTCCCGCTGTAGCCCGGCTGGTGGATCTGCAGCAGAGCTTTCCCTGACTGGGATGGCCAGAAGGTTTGCTCCCCATGACCCCCTCCAGCCTTTGGCTTGTGTTCCTGGAGCAGCTGGATATCAGGAGGAGGGAGGGGAAATTATAAATGGATTGCAGCATGGGTGGTGAGGGCTTTTACGTGGACACCTGTCCACACGACACCGGCCTGGGACGATGGATTCTTTTCAGTCCCCACACGCTGGGCCCCATCTGGTGAAATGCTCCGTAATCCATTACCAGCCTCTTGGACCATCATTTATCATGGGGAGAGACAGAGGAGGCCTGGCAGGGAATGGATGCTGCCCTTTATGCCTCCTTGCAGCCCCGCAGCATCCAGTGACATGTCATTATTATAATCGAAGGTGCGTCCCTTCCAGCCACTTGGCACCTATTTGTTATCATTCTCCGAGCTGCCAGAGCAGGGTGAGTGGATGCAGCCACGCACAGGGATGGAGCAGACGGTGCATTATCCTCCCAGGGAGGGACAGGAGGAAGGACAGGAGCCCTTCTGCTCTAGGGACCGTAAAATTGGAAGGGGCCAGCGTGCTGAGGGCTGGACCTGTACTCGTTGCAAACCAGATGCACGCTGAGGTGGAGGGACCACTGTAATCAGCTACAGAAATCCTTCCCGGGGTTGTTCCTGGTGGATTCAGAGCTGAGGTGGGAGCAGAAGGGCAGGGGGCACACCTGGACACCAGGCTCTGCAACCCTGACTGCAGGGTGCTGAGTACTCACAACAGAACTGAGCCTTTGGAGATACCACTCACTCTTTGATTTTTGGTAGTAACAGGGGTGTTTTGCCACTAATCTTGGTGGAAATAGGTGTTTCCACCCTCTAGATTTTACATTCTGTGGCACAGAAATTGCTAATAGGCCAGAACCCAAAGTATTGGTATTTACCTTCCCTCTCCCAAAAATATTTCCACCAGTAGTTCCCTGATATAAATGGGAAGGGAAAACAAACTCTGTGAGATAAATATTTTGGCCGTATTATATTTCTCTGTGTGTGGGTACGTGGAAAATATTCCCATGCAGTGGGTTCTGCCTTATCCTCGATCTGGACACAGCAGGCTCTGTGTGTGTTTGTCTGTGGGCATCCTGACCTCTCCCTTCCTTCTTCTGGGGCAGGAAGAGACAAAGGAGAGAAAACCACAGAGGAGAGAGGCTGCTGTAGGAACAGGAGTTGTTGGCCCAGCTCTGCTGGCTGTGCCAGTAATACTGAAAGTGATCCCTCATCCAGTGGGGTTCCAGGATTGCAGGCACGTGTGTAGGAGAGGGATCCCTCCTCCCTGCCAGCTGTGAGAGCAACATCTGGGCTGAATGCCTGCCCATGCTGGTGGGGACTGACCAGCCCCTCTCTGTGCAGGCTGAGCTTAAACCCTGAGCATAGTTCAGGCTGGCTGGCGACTGGAGGGCTCACTCCCAAGCACTGTGTTGCTGGAATTCAGTCCTTGGCCTGCTTTTGGAATAAGGAAGTACCTAATTTTGAAGCAGTTGGCTGCTGCAGTCGGATCCCCTCGGAGACGCTCTGGCTGCAAATGGAGGTGTCTCGCCCGAGCACTGACTGTGCCTGGAATAATCTTGAGTTCAGTTTCCCTTCCTCTGTTTACCAGGCTGCAGCCACTCTTTTGGAGGAAGAGAATTCCCCTCCACCCTACGAAAGAAAAATCCCCCCCCCTCCAAATGACAAAAAGTGGGGGGGGGGGGAAAAAAGCCCTCGGCCACCTGAGCGTTCTGTGAATTTTAACATAAGCAGCTCTGAGTGTGTCTCCTGGAAGGTGGAATGTGATAGGCATGGAAATGAAGGCTCGTGTCCATCTGTCTGTCTGGTAGCTGGGGGTGACAAGGGGAAGGACAGCGCTGCTGGCCCTTTGGCAGTGGCTTCTTCCTTCACCTCCCGTGCCGATGGGTGCCTGCTCCCAGGAAAGCTGGTTATCAGGCACACAAAAGCATTTGAAGCTTTTTCTAGCTGGAAAAAGAAGGTGTGGAGAGAGTGAGGAGCTTCCCTGGGCTCTGGCAGGGTGCAGGGTGGTGAGGAGGGAGCAGTGGGCTCTCCCTGCTTGGCACACCACAGCTGGGCAGAGCCATCCCGGGAGCAGCAAAGGGTGTCTTGTGAGCCTGAGCTGAGGCTGGAGGGGAGGGAACCTGTGCCCGTGGGAAGGAAAGGTTGGGAAGGAGGCGTGAAAGGTCTGGTGGTTGCCCGCAGTGAGCTCCCTGAGAGTCCTGGGCTGGTGGAAAGTGCTGGCAAGGAGGGCTGCAGAGATGTGACCGAGTCCCTGAGGCATGGGGGGAGAGAGGGATGGGCAGAGCTGGCAGAGCTGTCACAGGATCCCAGGCTGGGGTGAAGTTGGAGGGAGCACTGGAGCTCACTTGGCCCAACCTCCCTGCCCAAGCAGGATCTCCTAAGAGCACGTTACTCGGCGTTGTGTTGAGAGCCTTGGGGAGCTCCTGCCTCTCCCTGTGGCTCCAGCCAAGACATTCTGGCACTGGAGCTGGCAATCCTCTGCCTGCACTGGTAGTGTGTGCAGGGGGAGACACGGACTCACCCCAAATTTTGGGAGCTGGTCCCGGTGGCCCCTCTCTGTGAGGCTGCTGGTCCTGGAGCAGTCAGTGCCCCGGGGGATGCACATGGACTGCCCAGAGGTGTGCAGGGGGACGGGGGGCCGTGGTTTTGGGTGAAGCAGACGGTGCTGTCACCTTCCCGAGAGGTGGTGGTGCTGGTGGTGCTGGTGCAGCTCCGGGAATGGCGCGGAGGGTGAGGCTGGGAAGGGAAGCAGGAAGCTGGGAGCGGAAATGGAGTGGAAATGATTACATAGCGTCTGCCTGCTCCTTGGGCAGGCTGCTGTTGTTTTAAAAGCATCTTATTGGCATGATAACTTCCTGTGGAGATCCTGTGCTTTTCCTGTTCCCTTGGATGTGCTTTGGGGGCTTTGCCAGCGAGTGCCTGGAGCCGTGGTGTGTGGCTCTGCTCCTCTGTCTGTGCCTCTTCCCTCTGACCTGGTGTATTCCCCAGGGAATTGGACACTCCTGGTCCTCTGGGCCTGTGCTCCCCACCATGACTTTGTTGGATCCTGCTTTACCTTGCCATTCCCTGGGGAAGGACTGTCCTGACTGCTGTGGGCAGGGATTGAGGGAGTTGCTGCAGGGGGTTACAGCCACAGCCCTGTTCAAATCCATCAGGGAAAAACCTTAAGCCCACAGGACAGATAATTTTGTCATGACAGACCCCTGGGAGAAATTTGTTTTTTCTGGTAGTGTCCTTCTTCGAGCCCTGAAGCAGAACAGTTCATACCTTCATAAACTCTCTACCTGATAATCCTGGGTGTTCACATCCCTATAAATGTCCTTGTTGTCTCCTGGTCCGAATATCACACAGCAGTGAGTTCCACAGATTAATAATGGCTTTCACCCCCCCCATCACACCCCAAAATGGGTGTTTTCTGGAGTTTGGTTTCTTCATTACCCATCCCCTTTATACCCAGAGCAGATACGAGTTACCTGGCTGGTGTTTCTCTCCCCATTTTCATTCCCTGTGCCTCTCCAGCTCCTCTCCGAGTCCCGTTTGGGTTCCTCCCTGCACACACATCCCGTGCAGATCTGAGTTACCTGGCTGGTAACTCATGACAGGCCCCTGGGAGAAATATTTTTTCTGGTAGTGTCCTTCTTCGTGCCCTGAAGCAGAACAGTTCATACCCCTCATAAACTCTCTGCCTGATAATCCTGGATAATCCTCTCCCCATTTTCATTCCCTGTGCCTCTCCAGCTCCTCTCCGAGTCCCGTTTGGGTTCTTCCCTGCACACACATCCCGTGCAGGTATGAGTTACCTGGCTGGTGTTTCTCTCCCCATTTTCATTCCCTGTGCCTCTCCAGCTCCTCTCCGAGTCCCGTTTGGATTCCTCCCTGCACACACATCCCGTGCTGTCAGGCACTGGTGATGAAGGAGCTTGGGGGGGGGTTGCTCCTCCACCCTTTTGGAGCCCATCACCTTCCTCGGTGCTGACAGGGCTGGGACCTGAACTGCTGTTGCGTTTCGGAGCGTTGACACCTCAGCCCGAGCCCTGCTGTCCGTGCCCTGTCACGGGGGTGGCAGGGCCACCCCGTCACCCGTCACACGCCTGGCCAGGAGAGATGGATGCCCAGCAGATCCCGAGGCCGGGGCAGAGCCACCCCTTGGATATTTCAGGCTGGGCTGGGTTGGAAAGGAACACTTGGAAGGAGCACGAGTTCCCCAGTGATTCCCGCTGCACCAGGGGCCTGTTGTCATTCGGAGCACGTCGGCGGGAGAGAAGGGCTGGGGGAGAGGAACCCACAGGGCAAGGCAGAGTTTTCCGCTTTGTGGTGCCTGTGGAGAAACACTCCTTCAGGGTTTTGGTTTTTTTTTTAATTCTCTTCCCTCCCCTCCCCCCCTATTTTTCTCCCCCTGCAGCTGAAGAACATTAAACACATGAAATGCATTAGCTCGGATTTTTCCTTCCCCCCCTGCCCCCCTCCCTCAGCCAGGGACCTCCAGGAGGAAGAGGCCTATGAATTGACCCTGCCCAGTGCTTTAATTGACAGGTCATTAAAGATGAATGTGTGGCTAGAGAAAAATATTCAGATTTCAGGCTAGTTGTTGTCCGTGTGGGATTTTAATGATTTATGTTTCTTTCTCCTCCCCTCCTTCCTACTCCCTTCCCCCCCCCCATCCTCCTCGACTCCAAACAATCCAGGCACCATGGGAGGTCTGTTTCTGGATGGTGAGGAGAGCCCTGCGCTGGAAGACATCAGCAAATGGACGGTGGAGGATGTTTGCAGCTTCGTGTCCAACTTGTCTGGCTGCACCGAGTACACTCAGGTAAATCTGAGCGGGCTCAAGAACGTCCCTGGAGGGGGAACATCCTCCCTGTGAGCCCCCCTTCTCTCCCTCCCGTTTGTGCCTGTTGTACTTGCACTGTCCCTCCCAGGAGATGCATCTCAGAGCCCTGCAGGGCTTGGAAGCTGTGTGGTTTTTTTTTCTGAGGGGATTGCTAAACTTGCTGCTGGTGAAGAGCCTGAAGAAGGTGTGTGATGAGTCTTGTAGATGGACAGAAACAAGGAGGGAGTTGGGTGGAAGAGGATGGGATTAGGGGCAAGGTTAGGAGTGAACACCTGAGCTCAGGTTGATTGTGGTTAGTGGCTTTGTGTCACTGATCTCTCACCCCCATCTCATGCTTTTAGGAGCTGCTGATGCTCCGTGGTGGACCTGGACACAGCAGTGGCTTTGTGTGGGGTGGGTACCAGGGGGTCCCCAAATCGGGGTGGGCAGCCCGTGGTGCCAACCAGCCTGGCAGAAGGTGCTGTGTTCTGCTCTCTTGCTGTGGGGTCACAGTGGGGTTGGGAGGGCCCCTGTGCCTGCACAGCAATCAAAGTAACCTCAGTGGTGATTTTTAAGCTCATTTACAGCAGAGTTGAAACATCCATGAGCAGTGGGGTGTCCATAAAGCCTGCTCAGTGGGGGATTGTGAGGTGCAATATAAAAACCAGCCCTCTGTGTTTTTTGCCTCTGCATCTGCCCGAGGCTGTGATCAATGTGCCATTGAGGGATGCTCCAAGGGCACGGATTCCTGGGCAGCTTGGAAAAGGATGTAGTGTGCTAAGGGAGGGACTGGAAGCGGCAGAGATAGAGAGGCAAAGGGCCAGAGCTCAGGACAATCCAGCCTTTCAGCAGGGGCTGAGAACAGGTCTGAAAGGGAGGATGGAGAGCAGGAGCTGAGCTTTCTGGATGTGCCTCTTCAGCAGAGGAGCTGCCCTGGCTGACAGCTGAGGGGTGCAGGGCTGTGCTGTGACATCCAGGCTGGCTGAAATTGGGTTTCTAAAAGTCTGCTGCCCCTCCTTTGGCCTGTGCTGTCTGTCCCTCTGTGCTGCACTGGTCCAGTGTCCTCTCCTGGAGCTGAGCCCATCCCCAGGCATTTATTTTGGGAAAGGTGAAACTGGGTACCTCTGTGCCTGCTGGGACCCCTGACACAGGGGAGCAGTGTGTGTATCTGCCTGCAGGGAGATGATTCCCTGTAGGTTATGCTGATTTAGTGCCATGGGGAAAGGTGCATCCCCAGAGGGGAAGCAGAACCTGGGAACTACCCCCCACCTCCCTCTCCTTGCACAGGTGATGGATAATGGGATTTCAGTCTAAAGTCTGTCCTTCCCTGCCATGATGTTAATCTCATCACAACATGCTTCTTTAAAACTACCTGGAAAACCAGTGCTGCTTTGGAGCAAACAGCTGTGCTGGGGGAGAGGAAGGGAAGGGAAGGGAATGTCTGTTGTGGAGATGGGGGACACGTAACTGTCCCCAAATGGAGTGACAGGGATTTGGGTTGTGCTCAGGAGTGGATCAGGGTGAGTGGGTGCGTGGGAGAGAGGAGGGTCAGGTTCTGATTGTGACAAGAGGGAGGGAAAGAACTCTGGATAGAAAGAGAGATGGTGGATGGGTGATGGATGTTTATGGGAGCATCTGTGTGTGCAGAGGGGAGTTCAGGAGCTGGGTTTAGCGAGGACGAGGGTGGGTTCACAAGTGTGCATGTGTGGGCTGCAGAGTGTATTGCTGAGAGCTCCAACAAAAGGCTCTAAAACCAAGATACACAGCCCTTTGCATTCCCTGTTACCCCCCACCCCACTGGGGTGCCCTTCCACTGGTGGTGGTGTGGTTTATCTGCATTCCTGTGCTGGGGAAGGACAGTCGGAGTTGCCTGGATGCTTCTGAACCAGGCCAGTAGGGAATGTGCAGGAATCTCCAACGCAGCAGGATCATCCCTTTACACCTTCCACACCATCCTGGTGCACCAGAGGGGGGGGAATCAAGAGCTGAGGTTCAGCAATCTTCCCAGTGCATTCTAAATAAAATGTTTTATGGAGATGGGAGCTGCTGCAAACACCCCCTGGCCACGTCGTTGCTTCGAGCGGGAGTTCGAGGCTTTAAGAGATGATGTTTTTCATGCCATGGTTGTGTGTTTCACGTTTTTATTTTTTTTTTTTTTACTGTGTGAAAATGCCCGTGCTCAGGGGTGACTCTGAGCTGCAGAGCTGCCTTGTGTTCCCCTTCTCCAAACCCACAGCTGCCGGGGAGGTCTGGCACTGCTCCGCAGGCTGCTCCCGCCAGCAAAACCCTGCAAGGTTCGGGTGGAATGCTGTGCATTTAGAAACATGTTTCAGGCAAAACAAGGAAAAAAACTTCAGCAAAAAAAAATAAAAAGTCGCCACGGCCTGGATGGTGTTCAGCTTTGTCTCTGCAGTGGATCTGGGGGACACCCAAGGGGATGCTTTTCCCAAGTTAAGGCTTTTTGTGGAGTGTTTTAGTACCCAGCGAAGGGAGGGTTTTGGCTCCTGGCCACACTGGCTGCAGAGGAAGGGAAAAGAAACTGGTGTAGTAAGTTTTGCTGGGTCAAAAAGCAGCAGTGTGTGCTGCAGCCCCAGCCCTGAGCAGCTTTGCTGGAGGAGTCCAGCAATAAAAACCCACTTGGCTCCAGCAGCCACTGCCAGTCTCCAAAGGGATGGCTCTGGGCTGTGGTTCTGCTGCTGGAAAAGAGGATATTTGGGTAAATTTAACCCCCTCTACCATTGAGATTAGTAATAGAAACACTGTGTGTGAGCCATTGCAGGAGGAGAGGGCAGGATCAGCCCCAAATGTGAGCTGGAGTGTGGCAAAAACGCTGAGGAGGTGTTGAGGGAGGGGAGGACAGGCAGGTGGGGTAGCAAGGAAAACACCTCCCAGAGAGGCAAGGGGAGCTGGTGGCTGAATTACCAAATTTACTCTTGAAATGGAACCTTGTTGGTGCAAATAAACACCCTGAGGAGGTTGGTGGGAGCGTCCCCTGCACCGTGTGTGAAGGATGGAGCAATAAGACCACACAGCCAGACCTTAACCTTGCTAACACGGCACATATTAGGTGGGAAACTCTTGCATGGCCCTGTCATTTGGGATAGATGGAGGCAAAACGAAGGTTGTTGTGCTTTTTTTTTTCTTTAATAATGTGTTAAAATGGTGCAGTTGTGCATGGCTGGAGGTATTAATGTGTTGATATGAAACTGCTGTTTTCTGGGACTGTACCAGCCCCGTTGCCATTTGTGTGTGCACATCACCAGGTCCTGCCTCCCTCAGCTAATGGGGAGAGGGGGAAGAGCCCTGAGATGGTTAATGGCACTGTCTGAAGGCCAGGTCACCCTGTAGGATCCTGCCATGCTCCATCAGCACCATGGCACTGAAATATTTATCAGTATCAATACTGTTTATTAGTATTTATACTAATAAATATTGCAAGATTTCTTAGTATTGGGGGGAAAAAGCAAGGGCTGAATGTTAAAACAGACCAGCGAGGAGGGATCATCCTCCCTGATCCCAGGGGGTGTTCTGGGAGCAGGATGGGCTGCACTCTCCAGGCTGCTCGAGTGTTGTAGGGATGGTGGGAATGCCTGAGAGGCAAAGGAGGAGACAGGAAAAAAAAAAGTACAGAAGTGTTGCACGTGAATCCATTCTATCCTGCAGCATGTGCTCCACAGATCTGTTTATGTATTTTGCCTGGACTGTTTGGGAATTAGCAGCTTTGAGAAGGAAATGCATGAGCAATCCATCCCTCCTTTTCCATGGCATTTGTCCTAGTGAGGACTGCAAATATTTTTGGAGTCTACTGGGTCAACTTTTCCCCAATATCCACACAAAGTGCGAGTAACCTAGGATTTGCCAAAATTTAATTATCCCCCCCTTGTTTTCTGCCCCTTTTTGGAGTTGGGACCCCTGGGCATGTCACTCTTCTCAAATCTGCTGTCAAACACTGACAGAGTTGCACTTGGGGCAGCTGGTTTGGGTGCTAAACCTGGGATGAAAAACTTCACACCCTGTTCTGACATTAAGAAAAAAAAAAGGGGGAGAAAAAAAAAGATTGTTTTATATAAACTGGCCCAACCAGCCCTAATTCCCATTCCCACGTGTGTCTCCTTTTGCTCACTGGCTCCTGGCTGTGGGTGCAGGACTGTGAACACCTCTGGTGTATAAATATGGACTGAGCTCACTCTTGGAGTTCACCTTTCCCACAGAGCCCTTCTGTGCAAGGGCAGGACAAGGGCACTGGGTGTGTCAGTGGCATTTCTGAGCCTGGGCCTGTGCTGTGCTTTCCCTCCAGGTATTCCGAGAGCAGGCCATTGATGGAGAGACCCTGCCCCTCCTGACAGAAGAGCACTTACTGAACAACATGGGGCTGAAACTCGGACCTGCCCTGAAGATAAGGTCACAGGTAGGAAAACCTCCTCTGTAGCAGCACGTGGCATGCTCTGAAACTGTCCCCCTCACCAGAATGGGGCTGTCAAGAGATGTGGTTTATTGAATGTCATTTATTAAGCAGTAATTTATTTTGTGATTCTGTCTCAAGAAAGCTCGATCTTGTCCTTCCAAAACTTTCCATATCCTCACCCAAATCCAGTCACAGCTGTTTCAAGGAAGAAACCACGGGCAGAGTTCAGCACCCAGGGGCAGAAGCAAATAGTTCAGGAGGAAATAACAGGGATGCAGCAGGAAACTCCTAAAATGGAGTGGTTCCTGCTGGAAAAAACACATCAGGTGGTTCCCATAAATACCAGCCAGGAAGGAAGAACAGCTGTGAACAGGTGAGGGAAGGGAGGTGGTTTCACATTGGCTGAACCTGAAAATAGTCATCCCCAAAGTACCTAAAGAGGGATGTAAAGCCACCTCAGGAATCAGTTCTTTTCCTAGGCTGGATTAGGTCCTTTTGCTGCTCCTTTTCCCTGTACCTGGCTGAACCCTGGCAGTTCTCCTTTTGAGTGAGGCCTGAATCACATTTAATGTGTCTCAGCTGTTGTGCCTTTCCCTCCCCAATGAATAATGACCCAGCTCTTGCCCTTCTCTGCTGTGCCAGGAACAGCCCTCTCTAACATCTTTATCTCTTGCCAGTCATAACTTACTGGTCCTGCTGATTTGGCTGCACTGGAAGTGGAAATTATATTGGTTGCATTAGTCCAGTTCTCTCCCCAGCACAGACTGGTTTGCTGTTGTGCCCTTTTAGCTGTTTCTTTTCAAAATACCTTTTTCCCCACCATGAGTTGGTTCCCAAGTCCCTGCCTGTAGAGCTTTGCTGTCCTAAAATGACTTTGCTCTTCCCCTGCCTCCCTCACAGCCAGCCATGGTAATTCCATTCCAGTTGCCTCCACTTCCCCTCAGTGGGACTCAAATCTAGGAGACCATCTCCACTGGCTTAATTTTTCTTTTTTTTCCATTTAATGTTCAGGGGAAAAAAAAAATGACTTGTGACACATGTAAAGCACAGGCTGTGCTGTGTATTCCCTAGGGAATCGTGTCATGGAAGTGACTGTCATGTGTACATGGACACTCACAGCTCTGGCACAGGTCCCCAAACCCACAGGGCTGTACACTGGTTATATTATGTTAAAACAATAAGAGCAACTTTACTACTTTCCCTCCAGCCCTCCCTGTTTATGAGGGGGCTAATAAAAAGGTTCTGTGGGCAATTGTTCCCCGTGGGTCGATTCAGGAGGAAATAAAACTCTTTCTCCTTCTTTTAAAAAACAAGGGGACGTCAAATAGCTCACAGACATTCCGAGATGGGGCTTGGGGTGGGGGGAATATGAGATATGGGCTGGAAGCAGAAAAACCAGCTTCAATTTAATCAATAGTGTTTAAGGGTCTATAATAAGGCACGGCTGGGGGGAGGTAAGTGGGGAGCACTGATGCTGCTCCCTGAATAATGTGGCAGTTGTCTGGGTGGAACAGCAGCCTGTGTTTTTGTTTAAGCTCAAATGTGAACCAGCTGTGGAGGTGCTGGGAGGCTGTGGGGCCTTTGGCCCTTGCTGGGAGGCAAGAACTGCTGCAGGAGAGCTGGCTGGGGCTGCAGGAGGGAGAGGTGCAGGCTGAGAGCTGCCTGGGCAAGGAACAGCAGCCTCCCCCCAGCAGGATTTTTGTTCTGCCACTCCCTGTGTTGATCCCAGCTCCCCCTTTTAGGAGCAATTCCTGCTCTTCCAAACTGGATGTGATGTGCTGTGCCATCAGCAGGAGAGCACTGTCCTATCAACTGTCCACCCTGTTAATGCAAGGACTGAAGAGGTTGGAATCAGTCAGCCCTTCTCTCCTGGGGGTGTCCCAGCACATCTTTAGCCTGGAAAATGTGGACTCAGGGCAGACCTTGTGGCTCCAGCAGTACCTGGTGCCACACACCAGTGCCCAGTAAAACAGTGCTGGACAGCACAGGACAGAGCCCTGCAGGACTAGAGGAGGAAAGCCCTGGTTTGTCTTCCAGGTGGACTGGGAATGGTGGTGCTTCATTCCAGTGATCACAGAACGGTTTGGGTGGGAAGGGACCCTAAAGCTCATCTGATTCCACAGGCAGGGACACCTTCCCCTAGACCAGGTTGCTCAGAGCCTGGAACACATCCAGGGATGATGATGGAGCACCCACAGCTTCTCTGGGCAGCCTACCTCTTTATTTGCAGCTTGGATACAAAACCTGACCTTACGCGTGAAAACCCGCGGGATTCTCTAGACCGTTCGTGCGCCCTTTCGCCCTCCTGCATTGATCCCACATCCTTTTTTTTCCCATTTCCTTTATTAACAGGTGGCCAAGCGAGTGGGCAGAGTGCTGTACATGGCAGGCTTCCCCATGGCTTTCCCCCTGCAGCCCCCTGGGCTGAGGCCCCCGGAGCGGGACGTGCCGGCGGCCGAGCTCCGGCCGGCGTCCACGGGCAGCGTGGCCTCTCCCTTCGGGAGCGGGGTCCCTTCCTCTGCCAGCCGGGGCTCCCCAAAGCAGGAAAACGGGAATCCTTCCCTCCTCCCCGGGCTCAACGACACCACGAAACCTCCGTCCTAACTGCGGGATGCCCTCCAGCTGCTTCTGGGACTTTGGGGATCCAGCGGGACGAGCCGAGGGATAAGGCCGGAGCCTCCCCCCCGCCCGCAGCGCGAGACGCAGGAGTGAGGGAGGAAAAGGGAGGTTTTCATTTGGTTTTTTGGGTTTTTTTGGGACGAATTTGCTTTTTTTTTTTTTTTTTTTTTTTTTTTTTTGGGAAAATCAAAAAAAAAGGGAAGGAAAGAAAATGATCCAAAGATGTCCTGAGCCAACGCGAGTGAAGAGAAGGATTCTGGAGGATGGCTGCAGCATTCCTGTTCCCTTTCTCGCCCAGAGATGGAGAGCCCTGGACAGGGAATGAACGCTGTTCTTTGCCTTCAAAGAATCCTGGCTGTCAGGAACTCCTGGGTGTGACTCCAAGCAGGGAAGGGGAAGGGGCTCCGCTCCTCCCAATGGTACTTAGCACCCCTGAGAGCAAAGAAAAAAAAAAAACATAAAAAAAAAAAAAATCATCACACCAACCACCTTCCCAGATCTCTCCTCCTCCCTGGAAACTGTGCTCAGTTCCTCATTCAGGTGTCTATGCATCTCTAGCGACTTTGAAAACAATACCAAAGACAGACAAAAAAGGAAAAATTTAAAAAAAAAAAAATTAAAAAAAAAAAGAGGAATTTAAAAAAAAAAAGAAAAAAAAGAAAAAAAAAAAGGCAAGTTCCCGTCCATGTTTACTTCCGTGCGGATGGTACGGCACCGGCGGCTCCGTGCTGGCCCCTTCCCTGGCACAGGGCCCTGTCAGCACACAGGAGAATGGACTCTGCCTGTGCTCCAGCCCTACAGAGGTGTTCTTTTATTTTTTTTTCCCCCATTAGATGTCTTGTTTCAAAGAGAAGAAGAAGAAGAAGGAGGAAACGTGTGCTTGGGTGGGATGAAGGCTCACAGCCTCCCTCCTCACGTGTCCAACAGACTCATTTCTACATCTGGGGTGGGGTTGATTGATTTTTTTTTTTTTTTTTTTTTTTTGTTCCTAGGGTTGTTTTTTGTTCTTCTTTAAAGCCTTGTTACAGAGGTGGATGTAGTTGCACATTCTGGCCTGCTGTGGACCATGAGACAGATCCCTGGGAGGGGGAGGGATGCTGGGGGCTAAAAAACAATGGGCAGAGTTTTTACTACTGTGAATGAGCTGGGAACTCCTGGGGGTGACCTCCTGTGACTTGTACAGTTGTGAACAACAATCACATGTGGTACTTTTCTCTCTCTCTCTCCCCTGCCCCCTTTTTTTTTGTTTGTTTGTTTTTTGGTTAAACGTTGCACGTGCTACCGTTTTTTTTCTTACAAAATAGCTTGGTGGTACATTAGCTTCTTTATATTGTAAAAAAAAAAAAAGTTTAAAAAAAAAAAAAGTCATTATGCATCACATCACGATAAAAAAAATGCTTTCCAGCAATCAGTTTAAATAAAAAAAGGAAAACACTTAATTTACAAATGGTACCTGGCTTTAACCAAGAAGTCTCTCTCCTTTTTTTTTTTCCACTGGGGTCATGTGGGTGTTGGTGCTTCAGAGCTGCCACATTTCTGGCCTAAAAACCAATCCAGGGGTTGGTTAACAGCTGCCAGAAGGCAGCCAGCACTTTGCCCAGCTAAGTTAGAGAAAGGAGATAAAGCGACTCCTTTCTCTTTTGGAAGAACAGGTAAGTCAAAACCTTTTCCTTACAGTTAGGACATCCCAGTTCTCACCTGTGGAGTTACATCCTGAACTCCCATATGGACCTGTCTGAGGACTCAGCCTCAGTCTTGAGGGCTCCTTAGCCCCTAATGAACCAGCAGGTACTTTGGCCCCCTCAGAGCGGGCTTTAAATAATGACAATAATGATTATGTTAACAAAAAACCCCAAATTATTAATTTCTGAGGTTATCCTCTCTATGGGAGGAAGTATCCGGGTGCAGGCCTGGTAATTCCTGTAACTGAAGAAGAAGCAGCTTTCCCTGCCCCTATTCCTGCTGCTAAGCTCCAACAAGCCACAAAAAAATAAAAGTATATTTTATATTTAAATGTTCTTTTTTTTAAAAACCATCTTGTCCTCTTGTGGTGTGCAGTGTAAGGATGCCTGGAAGGGCACAGGGAGGCAGTGCCATGAAGGCAGAGCTGCCCCTCTCTGTGCAAGTCACTTGGCCACCCTAAGCACTGACAGACACCTACTGACCTCACTGAATGGTGGCAGAGAAGAATAAATATCATGTATTTACTCCTGGCCTTCTATCTTCTTTAAAAAAAAAAAAAAAAAATCTGCATTAAGAAATAATAATGTTCTCAAAAGGCACAGTTAATTTTTAGGAGTGACTCTGTCAGCTGTGCCCTAAGGATACTGAACAGCAAATGCCCTCTATTTCCAGTTTATTTTCCAAAGAAATATGTTTCCTAGCTGCCAGCCTTGCAAACTACCCGTGGTCTCAAGAGAGAAGCTCTTTTTTTCTTTCCCAGCAGATCCCAAATTGCCCAGTGCCCACCTTGAGCTAAACTGTCCTCCCACTGGCAGCACTCCCAGGGGCAGAGCCATAATGAGCTGCATCTGGAGACTGCCCAGGTGATGCAGGGGTTGGCTTTGAGGCAATAAAAGCCAAAATCTCTGTTTTGGGGTCTCCCAGAACAAAAGGGTGTTCACAGCAGCTGGGACTGGCCCTAGAAAGGGCTGCTTTTATGTCCCTGTGGGTGACAGGTACTGCCAGGCTCAGACTGGTCCCTTGTTTTTGATAAGCAAATGTACCCCACACAAATCCAACAGCTAACAAAAAATGGAAGTGTTTCCTGCATTATTAGTTGTGCCTTTCCTTATTCCTTCCTGCCTGCACAGCCTCCCCAACCCAAGGAACTTTAATGTGAAGTTACCTTCTGTAGCACACTTACAGCCAGCTTGACTGAGCTGATAAAAGGCTTCCATTGAAGTTACAAAGCTCTGAAACACGCTGTGCCATCCTTAAGACCTTCTTGGCAACAGGGTTGGTTTTGGTGAGTGCCCCAGAGCAAGATAAGGGGTGACAGGGGTGGGTGGTGGAGCAGAGAGGAGGAACCTTAGCCAAGAAAACTTGTACTTCCCTTGCTCAGCTCGCTTAGCAGGAGCTCAAACTGAACCCTGTGCTATTTAAAGCAGCAGATTTTTAATGAGGGCTTTTTATTATCTCTGCTGAGCAGTTTCACTGGCCTTGACGTGACCACAGTTTTATTGTTACCAAAAACATAATTGGTAGAAAAAGCTTGAGAGTCCCAAGTTGTGTCTCTACCACGTCACTGAGCGAGTCCTCGGTGGCACTTGGGGCTCCCACCTGCCGTGTTCCCGGCTCTTACCCCCTGCTCCGGGTGCTGGAGGCTCAGGGAATCCAGTCTGTAAGGGATCAGCGTGGAGGGGAGGCTGTGAGGGAGCTCAGTCATCATCTGAGAAGGCCAGGTCCTCCACGATGTCCTCCCCGCCCTGGGCGAGCTGTTCCAGGTCGGAGCGTGACATCCCTCGGGGGCAGCTCCTCTGCTTCCATGGCCCTTGGGAATTCTGAGTGCCTTCCCTGCCTTCCTCTGTGGGTAAAGAGAGAGAGAGAGGTGTAAATCCTGCCTTACTGGGAGCCAGCATGAGGCGAGTCAAGGCAACTCATGACTAATTAATCCCAGACACTCATTAATTTATTGGCGCCTGAAGCGTGGCAGGAGGGCCCTGCAGGGTGCAGGTACAGCACTGGCTCTGAGGTACCTGAGCCCAATCTGGTTCACCTGAGGCAAAAACATACAGGAAGAACTGGGGGGCACAAGACAGGCAGAGCCTCCAAACCTTCATCCCTCTGGGCTCAGGTCAGTCTTCCTCACTGGAGGTGTCGGGCTGGGCTTTGAGAGCTGGGCAGGAAGGAGCTGTCACAGGTACCACCAAAACCTTCCAAATGCAAAAGTATTCCCCAAAGAGTGGGGGGCCCAGGTGAGAAATGGTTTCTAGGACCTGCTCGTGGGTTGGAAGGGACCTTAAAGCTCAGCCCATTCCTGCTATGGGCAGGGACATCTTCCACTAGACCAGGCTGATCCAAACTGGCCTTGGACAGTTCCAGGGATGGGGCAGACACAGCTTCTCTGGGCAACCTGTGCCAGGGCCTCACCACCCTCACTGTAAAGAATTTTCTTCCTAATATCTAATCCAACCCTGCCCTAGAGTCAGTGTGAAGCCATTCCCCCTTGTCCTGTCACTCCAGACCCCTGTAAATAGTCTCTGTCCATCTTTCCTGTAGGCTCCCTTCAGGTACTGGAAGGCCACAATTAGGTCACCCCAGAGCCTTCCCTTTTCCAGGCTGTTCCTCCAGCTTGTCTGAGTTCCCCAGCAGGCAGAGAGGGAAAACTCTCCTTCCTTCTCCTTTACAGCAGTGTCAGAACACACACCAAATACCCATCTATTCCTGGTGCTGGGGTTTGGGTGTGCTTGCCAAGCCACAGCCATCTGCCACACTAAATCCATCAGATTTTGCTCTCTCTTGGACTCTTTTCCCCTCCCCAAACCAGCAGAGAAGCCGCACACAGGCACTTCTGTGGCTGCTCCCCACAACCACACATGACACTCAGAGGCACAGCGAGGAGCAGAGCCTTGGCACTCTGACACAGAGGCCTCAGCAGTGGCACAAAACCCGGCAGAGGAGCCCCACAGCAGCCCCTGGCAGGGCCAGCTTCCCCCTGCTCCGTCAGCTGAGGGGCTTGGCAGGCACAGGCACGGCTGTGATGGTCGTGGTTGGGGCTGAGCAGGGGATGGAAGGGGAAGATACGCCCTCCTCAGCTGCACAAAGCCTGGCTTGGTGTCCAGCACAGCCCTGGTGACAGAGCTGGCAGCCTTCTCATTTAAAGAAAGCCATTTAGAGCTGCTTTCTGCCTTCTCAGAGCACACTGACCCCAGCAGCCTCTCACTCCAACGCCCACCACTCACCAGTTCCAACTGGGCAGCAGCTACTAATGGGCAGGAGTGACCAGGACCGAGCCCAGAGGCTGGTCAGTGGTTCTATGTCCACACACTGTGCAGTGCAGAAACCCCCATGAATGCAGGGCCTTGGACATGGTCTCCTGTCAGTCCTGCCCAGGGAGGAGCTGCAAAGGAAGGGTTACCCTGTGCAGCACCCCATGCCCCAGGCATGGCTCAGATAAAAGGGGACGTGCACCCTGCACACCCCACGTGTGTGTGACCTGCAGGGAGCCTCCAAGCAGGGTCTGTGATCTCCAAGCAAGGCTTCTGTACCCCTGTTGGGCTGGGCTGTACTTGGAGTCTGTTTGAGCCTCGCTGCAGGAGGCCCCTGAAAAGAGATGAAAGGGACTGGGGGCTTGTTAGAGTGAGGCCTGAAAAGATTTTAACCCTTTCTCTCCTTGGTGTAACTCAGAACTGCCAGGTCTCCCTGCCCAGGGTGTGTGTCTGTGTGTGAAGTCCCTCCTGGCACTCTCAGCTCACAAGAGCAAAGGAGCCTTCAGGCACCAGTGCTGTCAGGAATTCCCTTCCCCTCTGCCCAGCTGCTCCACTTACCATCTGACTCACTGTCCTCTCCCAGTTCTTCCTCGTCCTCCTCGATTTCATAACTTCCTTCTTCATCATCATCATCCTCACCATACTCCTTGCTGCTCTCTTCTGAGCTGTCATCTGATGCCTGCTTGGCTTTGCCTTTACCTGCAAGTATTTTTACCATGTAAATGGAAAAGTGAGGAGCAGCACACGTGCAGGGAGGACATTGAAAGGGCAAAGAGCTCAGGAGTGCCAGACACACACCAGAGGGGACGTTTCTCCACATTTCTCACACCTGTCTCCCCAAAAGCCACCTCTCTCTTGCACCAGAGGCCTGGAGAAGGATGGATTTAATTTCAGAGCCACCTGCTAGAGGCCAGGAAAGAGTCAAAGAAATCAGCTCAGAACCCACAGCAGGGTTTTACTGCTAAAGCCCAGGATTTGCTGCTACCTGGTACTTATGGAGCACCACTGGCACAGCAGCCAAGTGTTCATCTTGGATCTGCCTGCCCTGCTCAGAGAGACAGGAAAGCTGGACAGACAGAGGAGTACAGGGAGAAAGAAATGAGCCTGCTGAAAGGAGAGGGAATAAATCCCACAGCTGAGACCAGAGAAGGGCTGGTTCTACTGAGAGATGGTGCCTGTGTCACACCCACCTCCACCTTCCATGGTTAGTGCAACCGAGCACAGGGGTAGACTCTGGTTCAGGGCATCCTTGTAAACCTCTCTTAACTTTGTTCCCTCTGTTAGTCACAACAAAAGTGTCTAGGCACTGCTGCTGAAAATTCCCTCTGCAGATGGCAAGCCAGGTCCAAGGGAGCCTGGCAGGAAGGGTTAAGACCCTCTGGGTGCTTGGCCTGTGGGAAAACCATCCACTTCTGAGCCTCTGGACCCAGATTTCTACTCATGCTGGGTTTGCTGCAGTGGGGGAGTGCCTCTCCTCTCTCCCTCCTCGAGGCCCTGAATGCCACCAGGCTTTTAAATGACAGAACACAAGTTCTGTACAGAGGGAGCAGCAAAACCAGCTGCTTCTTGCCTCCTTCCAGCCCTGAGCTTACAAGAAGCTATTTATTCACAATTCAGACTCTGCTTGGAACCCGCCTGTACATCTTTCTCACTCTGTGGTCCCTGGGCCACACCACGGCGCCTGATCTTTGTCCCACCCTCCCTGCCCAGCAGCTGACCTATGCAACTCACTGAACTGAAGACAGAGTCATCAATAAGCTGGCTGCCAGCATTCCCAGCTCCCTGTCACCACCCTGTCTGCTCTGCTCTCACCCATCTGTCAGCTCTGCCAGCACAGTTCCCCCTGAGGGATGGGAAGCCACATCCCACGGCTGGAGCTCCCAGGCACCGCGAACCCTTGCTCCACAGGAGATGGACTGCAGTGCTGCCCACTGCACCCCAGCACGGTGATGGGCACCTGAGCAGCTCGGGAAACAACCCAGGGCACGCTCTCATCCATCAAACACCAGCCAAAGCACCAAGAGATCCGGCAACCAGCTCAGCCCAGAGGATGCAGTAAACCAAGTGTGGGCAGGGATTGGGTCATTCCTACCTGCTGTGACACAGGAATTTACTGAACTTCCCCAGCCTCCCCTCGCACACAAGCCCCAAATTCCACCTCCTGAGGCACAAGTGCATCAGTGAGACCCCAGAAGACAGCAGGGAACCACTTCTGCCCCCCTATTCCTCAGCTGCCAACAGGCCACAGCAGGAATTTTCCCACTGAGAAAGGGCCACGATTCCTCTGGTAGGAAATGAAAAGGCCTGCCCTCTCCCTCCACACCCCTGGCCCCCACCAGTCTGGCATTAAATTGATGTAATATGATTAGGCGAGGGATAAATGAAGAAACCTGTTCAAGTTCATTAAGGCTCAGCAACACCTAATGTGGACAGATCACTCATTACTGCCAGGCCCGGGGAGACGCTCCCTCCTCGCCTTTAATTGCCTCATGACGAGGCAGCCCAGCACCTCTGCCGAAGCCATTAATGATTTCCAGCCTTGCCTTTCCTCCCAGAGATCCAGCTGGTAAATGAGAGGAATGCAGGTACCTCCCCACCCCCCCACAGACTGATCAATCCATGCTCTTTCCTCCCCAGCTCCTTGTTCTTTCCTGCTCAGGGGGTTCCCAAAATGTCCAAACTGGTTTCTCTCCCCTCTTCAGCCCTTGCAGAGACCCCAGCCAGGGAGTCTCTCCAGCCTGCCAAACCCATTCCAGAGGGCAGCTTGTCCTGATGTGATGGAAGTGTCTGCATCCACCACCTTCCCTGCTCCCTTGGGGAGGATGCCAAGGGTGTGTGATCCTGCTGAAATGAGCAGGGAGCTTTCAGCTCCACCAGCACAAGGTAAGGGGAACCTCCCCTAGATCCACGACATTAAAAAACAATTGCAAATTCATCCCTTTCCCTGCTGCACACACCAATACACTGCTGCCATTTCTTCTGGGAGTGGCAGCACCACAGCCAGGTGGAGGCCAAAAAAGGAACCACCAGAAACAGCCAACAGGCAGCATCATCTCCTTAGGAGGACCACAGTGGATCCTGATCCAGTGGGCAAGAGGCTTATAGATCCCCACGACACACCAGTGTCACAGCACCAACGTGTCCTGGGTCAGGTCTCTCCCTGTCTCTTTTCAGGGTCAGCATCACTGGGCATTCTCAACTGCACTCCCTGTTTTCCAGCTAAACTTTTTTCCCTCTCCCAGAAGGTCCATCCAGGGTAGTCTTATCTCCCTGCCTAGATTTCTGCCATGAGCTGCTCAACATGCCTCTCTTGGAAGCAGTTTGAGGCTGATTTAAGATGAACCAAAGTCCTACCATTGCCCCAGACTCTCCTTTTGACTCTTTGGAAGAGAGGAGATTGTTATGCCTTCAATCTCACAGGTAAAGAAGAAGTGAAGACACAGGCCACAGCAGCTGCAGGGCCTCCCAAATCCCCTTGCATCTGGCCACCTAGGAAAACAATGCCCACAAAACACAGGGAAGTGCAGCACTGGCTTCTCTGACAGTCACTGAGTGCAGAGCCTGGCTGGGAACATCTCACACCCCACACAGAGCAAGAACAAGAGCTCATTGTGTGCGTCTCCCAAGACACAGATGCTTTTCCAGCCTCCCTGTTCCCTGTCCCTTGCCCACTGTGGAGTCACACCACTGCCAGAGGGGCCTTCACCCTGTGCCACCACAGCTCCACTGCCCCCACCCAGCGCCTGGGGATTCATGGGGGGCTGAGCACAGTTGCTCCTTGAGATGGAATATGCCTTCAGGGCTGCTCCCTGCCTCCAGAAAACACCCTCCTAAGAACAAAGGCTAAGGAGAGATGGCTGGTCCAGGAATGTTGGAAGGCCAGGCCCATCACTGGCACTGCAGTGCTGGTGCAAACTCAGACTACACAGCACAGCTGTGGGAACTAAACAGAGCAGGGAGAGCCCTTGGATATCACATGGATCTCAGACCTCACTCTGTCACAGTGGATGGCAGACCCTCAGAGCTGCCAGAGCCTCATGCACAGATGTCACAGCAGAGGCCCAGGGTAAAGCCACGCCTAACACATGGATTGCAAACCTTTCCCCCTTTTATGCTCCCCTCCCATTCTTTGCCAGATCACCTACAAAAATTCCTCTGACTTCAGCCTCAAGCCATCAGACTTTTCCAACCTGTTCTTCCTCCTGTGCCACAGATGCCTGTGAGGGAGAGGATGCTCGCTGGTTCTGTGGCAAGTCTCAAGGTTTATCCTCACACCTTACCCTGGGCACAAGTTGGATGAATGACAACGCATTTAGAAAACCTGGGACATCCCAAACATTCCAAATGACAAAAAGAACATCCAAGTTTATCCTCCAACTCTGTGGTGAACTTCTCAGGCAGGTTCCACAATTTACTGTGGCCCTCTCGTGGCCACAGCCAGAGGGTGACATCACCCACGTTCTCCAGGTTTTCTTGGCTTGTCAAGAATACTTGGAACGTCAGTCACCATAAAATAAATAAATCAGAAGTTCATGCAAGGAGAGGATCAAAGATCCTCCTGCTGGTAGCCAGCCCCTATGATGTACAGAACCTGTCCAGCCAAACATCTCTTGGTTTTTGGGCTCTCAGGTTGAGGTCAGTCTGTGTGACAAAAGCAAGGTGCCAAGGGGATGAGAGAGGTCATGCACAGGAAAAGATTAATGCAGGACTAAGGCTTTAAAATGAGCTGGACTGACAAAGGAGAGAAAGATAAAAGCCTCTCAAACACCATCATCCTGTGCTCTCCCTCCCTACCAGTGTATCTTTTGAACCCACCATGGCCATACTGACCCACATCATATGGAATTCTGGACAAGGAGAAGTCAAGCCCAGCCCCAGCCCTGTACCTTTTACAGAGAATCCACTGTTCTCCTCATCAGAGTCACTGTCCATCTCAAAGAGGTCCTTGAATTCCTTCTTATCTTCCTCCTTTCTTTCATCGTGCTTCTTGCGCTTGATTTCTGGGAAGTTCAAGTCTTCAAGCTGGAAAAAAACCCAAACCAACAGTAAGAACAACCTTAATTTGTACTTTTAAATATAAAATGCAGTGTTTAAACACAGGACTTGGCTTTGCCCAGCCTGCCAAGACCAGCTGGGTCTGTCTGCTGCCAACTGGGAGAGCCACAGATCTGTGAGCTGGTCACAAAGGTGACTGATACACACAAAGCACTGCTGCTCTATTGATCTTTACCTAATAAACTACTTTTGCTAATGGACCCTCTACTGCCAGTACCTTAGCAGGGATAAAAATGCAAGATATCCACGAGGAGCTGGCTGTAGGATCTCTGGACTGAAAGCCACGCAAGCCCAGTGAAGCTCAGGAGGCAGCACAATCAAGACAGACTGTGCTGGTCCTCTCTGCAGCAGGAGTTCCACCAACACCAAAAGCTGTGACAGCTACACCAAGGCTGCCTTTCTGGGTGCAGATTTCAGCACGGTTAGATGGCAGGGATGCTAAAGGTCTGCCTGCACCCCCATCACTCGCCCTCGTGGAGGATCAATGGGCCAAGAGCCCCCTGCTGCAGCCAGCCAATATCAATGCCATTAAGCACTTGCCATTGACACCACCTCACTGCTCTTTACACCTCTCCGGAGGGGGATTAGGGGGAGGATTTACTCGCAAGGGCTCAGGCCAGCAGGGCAAAGATAATCAGAATGCAAATTAAATCCCAAGTGCTCTGGGAACATCAGCTGCCCGCTGCCCTGCCTGGCTGCACACCCCCTGGGAAGCACTCAGGCATTAGCACACATTAGCTTGCTTGGAAACATTCACCCCGCGAGTAATAACTCATTTGCTCCCCTCTACCCCCAAGACCACCCCTCAACACGCTCCTCCTCGACCACTTCAGCCCTCCTGAGAGCTTCTCCCGACGGGAACAGCAGGGAAGCACAGCCTGTGTGGAAGGGCAGCTCTCAGCGGAGAGAGAGAGAGAGGGAGGACTGGAATGGGGAGGGGAGACAAGGGAGATGGAGATGTGCATTTGCTCCCGCAGCCAATTCCAGCAATTTCTCCCAGCCTGTTTCACGGTTATGGTCCCCAGCTGGGCAATATTGATCCTGGGAGCTGAGCACTTACAAGCAATAACCTGCAGCACCGGGATGGAAAGTCAGGAGCTGGTCAGAGAAGGGGAGAGGGGAACGAATCACCGACCACCATTTGCAGGGGCCTAATTTTAAATCATCTTCCCACCTGCTCTTTTTTTCCCCCACTGTGAGAGGCCTCTTCTCCCACTGGCCCTGCTGGGCTGTCTGTGCTGGGAGGGTGTGTGAAGGGAGCAGCACAGGGCTGGCTTTCCAAAACTGCAGTCATTCCATGCCAGAGGGGAGACTTGGGAAGCAAAATGCAGCAAGGGCAGTGATCCAAAGGCACTGCCAACCAGCTGCCCTCAGCTGACCCAGTGACAGACTGCCACCATCCTCTATGGAATCACAGAATGGTCTGGGCTGGAAGGGACCTAAAAGATCTCATTCCACCCCCTGCCATGGGCAGGGACACCTTCCACTATCCCAGGTTGCTCCAAGCTGGCCTTGAACACTTCCAGGGATGGGTACTGGCTGAACTCAACCTGAGCATATTACAAAGGACCTGGTGTTGAATCCTGCTGAGTTCTGCTACCTCCAACTTTGAGACACCACAGGACTGCACCTCAAAATAAAGGCACCCAAACCCCTGTTTGCCATGGAGTGATCACAAAGCAAAGGAATGAGACTTGTACTGAGCCACAGCTCGCAGATACGGGCCGTGTTCATCACACACAAGCAGTAATTAGGTAATTTGGGGGCCAGTCTTTTAATCTCCAGCTAGAGGGTTACCATCTACTGAGTCTCACGAAGCCGATTAGTCCACATCCCATTAAAAACCATTGGGAAAAGCAAATGGAATGGGCAGACAGGGTCAGTGTTGTTATATAAGGCAGGGCTGCAGCTCAGAGCAGCTGAGAGACAGCCTGATCTTTTTTTTTTTTTCCTGTTATTATTTTTTTCCCCCCAATGGCTGCTAATGGGACATGGATTTTCCCAGCCCTAATGGGCCTCATGGTGTTCACTCTCCTGCTGGGGCTCACAATGCTGCATCATTAAACTACCAGTCCCCACCGAGGCACACAACAGCCCCATTCACCAAGCAGAGATGCCAGGCAGCCACGGGCCTTTCCAAGACTCTGACTCCAAATTCTGCCTCTCTCTGCAGTCTATCTGCTCAGCCCACTTTCTGCAACAGAAAACAAGCCCCTGTCACTGCCTTTCACACTTCCCCTGGTTTCTTGAGCCTTGCTATATAAAAGCAATGTCCTTCTCCACCTCAGCTGGTCCTGGACACCCCAAGGAGCTCCAGCTCCCCTCCTCCACTTAACAGAATACAGGGGCTTGTCTGCACTGAGGGCTGATCTCTCCCCTTGGGAAAGCTGCTTCAGTACCAGGAAGGTGTCTAATCACACCAGCAGGGCCAGTTTTGGGCAGGAGATTAACCCCACTCACAGCCATCACTTCTCACTGTTTCTTAGCCCTCCCTCCCAATTTCCTCTCTGCAAAGGCCACATTCTTTGCCCAGCACACAGCGTGCTTTTTGTTCCCTCTGCATGGCTGCCCTGGGGATTTTCAGCCTCCTGCCCTTCCCTCAGCCTGCTCTACAGTACTGAGCATTTGTAGGATCTCCCAGGTCTCCTACCACGCCCTGGGACTCGTCTGGGAGCCAATCATCCTCATGTCCCATCGATTATTTTAATTGTTCCCCAGCATACACTGGAGACACCAATTATATCTGTTTCCTGCTGCCTGGCCAGGAGCCTGGCTCAGCCACTTTCATTGCATTAGCATCGAGACAGCTTTCCTTTGGACTCCTAATGGAGCTCCCACCCCCTCCTCCTGCATCCTGGAGTGGCCAAGGAGCCTTCCCTAGGGCAGGAGATGTGGGAAATGGTTGTCTGGGCACTTCTGCCCAGACAGCAAGGCCCACCTCACAACCAGCCACCCCCACCATGGGTGCTTACCACCCTGCTGCTGCCAGGACGTGGCTCTTGTCTTCCCATGGCACAGATGATGCCCAGTAAACCAGGGATTGAGCACTTACCCTTTCTTTGCCACTGATTTCCAGTTGTATCTCCTTCTCTCTCAGCTTCTTCCACTGAGTGTAATACTTGGTCAGAGGTGTCCCCTCCTCTTTGACCTGCTTCTCCCACTGTTCCTGGGGAGAGAAGGGGGTACAAATTTAAAGGTTTTCAAAGCACTTTTCCATTTTGGCAGACACAGGGAGTCAAGAGCACAAGGTTAAGATCCTTTCCCAAACCACACTTTCCCAGCTTATGGGTAGAAGTTGGCAACCACAACTAAGAATGCAAGGAGGGCTAAGTGTGACTTCAGCCACAGTTATTTAAGCAACCACTGAGCCAGAAGTGGTTGTGACTGACAGCTCTCCTTAGGCAAAGCAATGCTTGAGCACTGCAGGGAAACCAGAGGAAGCCAAAAGCTGAAAGGGACAGGTTGGACAATGAAACAGCTTAATAATGTGATGCCAAAGCACAGGACACCAGTGGCACTGAAGGACAGCATGGAGTCCTCACAAAGGAGCACCCATGGTGGTTTATATGATGCATTAGCTTATGGAAGATCAGACTGTTTCAGTGTGAAATGTGGGTTCCCAGATTCCTATTTCTGCCTTCTGGGCGAGGCCTGATTCTCAGAGTTGCTGAGAACTCACAAGAGGTTCTCCTAAAATGAGTCAATGCCCCCTGGGATCCACTGTTACTCTCCTGGCCTTGAACATTCACTTCTGCTCTGGCTGCAGTGAGAAGATGCCAACAAAGAAGTCAAGGCAGATGATGCAGCTGCTGTACTGGGAAAGGAATTACTTCAGCTGAAACTTGAAGGGACGAATAAAAAAGGGACAGACCAGAGGATCTATCAGGACAAAATCTCTATTCCCTGCTCCTTCAATGAAGGCATCTGATCACCTGCTCAGTCCTTGCTTTTAATTCAGGAAAACATCACACGAGCACTTACAAGCCCTAAGTACCAAAAATGTCTGATTGCCTGTTCCCCCTGTTCCACAGCCAAGTGTTTATTTTTGAAACAAACATTCCCCTGCAGGGTCTTGGACTCATCCCAGCCTGGAGAGAGCAGAGCATGAAGAAGTGCAGAGCCTGTTTCCCGCTGTCCAAGCGGGGAGAATAAGGAGGTGCAGACACCCTAGATGGTGGGAAGCCAATTAAATGGTTAAAAATTCCTTTATGCTTCAATCATCCGGCATGTCAGTGCTGAAAGGGGGTGCTGCTATGTCATATTAGAAACATTCTTCTTAACCTGCCAACATCCCTTTACTAAAAACCCCCACAGAACTGTTACCTGGATCACCACAGAGCCCAGAGGCTTTGCATTACCCCACAGTAAAAAAAGTCAACCTAATCTAAGCAGAAAGACATGACATATAGTAAGCAGAAATTGAAACAGGCAGAGGAGGAAGGGAATGAGCAACAGGAATAAAGCTTAGCATAGATACACCCAAAGGTCAGCACAGATCCAAAAGGAGTATCCTGAATCTAGGGCTGGGAAAACTCCAGAGGTCTGTATGGGCAGCTGTGTGTACACACAGTGCTCCTGACTGGGGGTGAGAATGAAAAGCCAGACCATCCTCACAGCAGAAAACACGGCAGCAGCTTAAATATTCTTCAGCAGATCTCAAATCAACTGCTCCTGGGGAGCTGAGCCCCGAAAGGAGGGAGCTGTGGGGTGGAGGCTGCAGGCTGTGAGCCAAGGCATGGGGAGAGGGTTGGCTGAAGAGCAGGACTGTGCATGGACAGCAGCACAGAGCCCCCAGCTCACGCCAGGAACCAAGCACTCAGTCTGTGCTGTGAAGGGAAATGCACCAGCCTACACCAGGTCCTGATTTGGCCCATCCCTGGGAGGGAAGTGGAGGTGACCTGTGGTCTCTGCTGCTGGTACCAGGCGCTGAGCTCGGCAATCAAACATCACCCGGCTCCAACAGCACATTTATGCACCTACAACAGGCACCATCCACACTGCACCGAGCCAACACACCCTTTCTGGGAATCTCAGTCCCAGGCTCCCAATCCCCCCCCCCCAGACTGTTTGTAGCATGTCTCCAAGGTCTGCAGGGCTGGAGCCCGTGTCTCCTCCCCAGCAGCACGGCCGATGTGCTGATGCCAGTGGCAACACCAGCCTGCAGACCCAGCACAGCTTCCCTGCCCACCCAACCCACCCCTCTGGCCAGAGCAGCAATTCCTGAGCAGCACAAAGGCACCCCGCTTATAGATCGGGCTCTGCTCGTGCTGCCAGCTGTAATCAGGTGATTTGTTGAGGCTGCTTGGTATGGACAGCTTCTGAGAAAGGCTCTTCTTACAGAGAGGGAAGTGTTTGTTCTGCCTGATACAGCTCTTTTGGTTTGCAAGTGTGCTGGAACCCAGAGATAAAAAAGACCATTAAAACAATCACATTTGTCTAGTCAGAACACCTCAGTGGGAATTTTGAGAGAGGGGATGCCATCCCACCCACTTTAACCTTTTGGAATTCTCCTTCTATTGCAGCTTTTGCATCACTGTGCTGTCAGGGAACACCTGCATGGACAGCCCTGCACAGCAACAAAAATATCATCCTCCACCCTCCAGAAAAGCTTTCAATCTGAAATGTGAGATGGGGATGAACCAAGAAGATCTGTAAATCCCATGGAAAGGAGGTAAAGCTTTCCACCAGCTCACTCCCTCACCTCCCCTTTCATGAAGCGTTGACAGCCTGAGGGGCTGCACTGCTCTCAAAACGAGGGGTCCCCAGCTCAGCACAGGGGTCTGATGGGGAGCCCAGCACATACTGCAGGTCCTTCTCCTTCCTTGCATCTTCCCCTGCCAATCCAGGGCCCACACCAGTGTAGAGGAACCAAAAATCACAGCAGCACATCAAGCATCTGGATCCAACTTCAGCTGCAGGCTCCACTTTTCTTGGCTCCCTCTCATAAAGACCTTAATTATTATAGTAACCTATTAGCACTGTGCTCTCAAAAAAAAGCACTGGCTCTTCATTCTTAACAATGACAATAAAAAAGTAAAGTTCTCAAAATAATAAGGAAGAAGTCAGGCTGAACACATCTGGTGTGCATGTCCCTCCATACCACAGTTCCTGGGATGTGAGGAGGGATCCTTCCACAGTCCCTCCATGTTAAGTTAAACATTGCAACCCCACAGCATTAAGTTCAATCCCCAGGGACTCTTTGAAAGAGTCCCTCAGGTAAAATCCCCCTTTCCAAAGCACACCCACCACTCTGTGATTCCCCATGACAGCCACATTTTGGCACATTGCCGAAATAATTAGCTTAGAATTTAGACTTCCACAGTGGAACAAGGACAAATGCATGGGAAAACCAGAGAGCATTTGCTTTCAATTGCTCCTGCTGGCAAGGGGGACATGCACATACCTCCCCTTCCCTCAGCCCTCCTTCCCTTCCCTTCTCTGGCAGTGTTTGCTCAGGAGAGGTGCCAATGCCCCACACAGCTTGGAAACAACCCAGACTTTGAGGGACACTCCAAATCCTTTTGGGAAGCCCAGCCTCCATAGGAGCTTTGGCCCTTCTTGGGAATCTACACCATCTGCTTGCAAAGGTGTAAGGGGGAAACACAGGCCCAGCCTGGGTTCTGGGCACAAAAGATAAGCCACTATGGCTTTTCCACCCCACAAAAGTGCTGAGTGGGCTGTTTCCTCTGCTCCCAGGAGCACTGATATCCCAGGAAATGAAGGGAAGGCTCCCTCCTCCCACAGGACAACACCACAGTGGTGCAGAAATGCAGTTTGCACAGGCAATCCTGGCGTCCTCCATGAGCAGCACTTCACACTTCGCTCTATCCCCTGAAATGGCAGAACAGCAGTCCCCAAACCTGCCTGGCAAACTGGTGTCCTTCCCTTAACCAGCCTCCTTTACTCAAGGCAGGTGCCTGTTGATGCCAGTTCAGAGCCAGCCCCTCCTGATTCACACTGATGTCACCCAGACATCCCTGGGAAAGCAGGTGCACCAACCAGGAGACACCCAGGCAAGCAAGATGTTAAAATAATCATTTGGTTCTTACACAAGGCACTGCAGCCAGAGCTGCTGGGAAAAGCAGACAGTGGCAGAGTTGTTGGAAACCCTGTTTTTGTTTAGCTAAAGACCTTCCCCAGCTCATCCATTTCGTGGAGAGCCCGGGAGGTTGAAATCTCTGCCTCTGCAGTGGGTGGGTGGTCACAGCACTGCCCACAAAAATACAAACCAACAAACCCCAGACTGCCTCGCTCCAGACGGGACACAAACCAGCCCAACCCAGACTGGCATTTACAGAACCAAAGACTGCTTAGTCACGTCAAACCCAGTCCCACCAAACCCCTTAATCCCAGAATAGCACTGCTGTGTCCTGGCACTGATATGCCAGGATTTCAGTGGCTGATTTTCCTGCAGTCTCTGCCCCTCAGTGTCTGCAGACACATTAGTCTGCACTGCACTGCTGCTCCGTGCTCAGCTCCATGCCAACGGGTGGAGCTTCCAATGATGCAGAACTCCAGACTTTCCAATAAACCATGTGGCCACAGAGACTGCTCTGACCCATCAATCACCTTGCAGACAGAGATATTTTCACCTCCCTCCTGCCAGGCAAGGAAGAGCCAGTCTCCCTGCTTCCCCTCCCAGAGAGGACACACACAGCTCACCCGTTATCAGGCTTGCAGAGGTGGCAGAATCCCCCCATCACTTTGGGCACCTTCCTCATCAGGAATGGGACGATGAAAGAAAACGTCCCAGCAAAGGCAATGCCCCAGCAAAGCAAGGCATTTCCATGCCATGTGTGTGCTTTACAAACAACAGAAGGATACAATTTATGGGCTGTGTTTTCCATGAGGCTTTTGGCTGCTCGGCCTTGCCGGGGCTCGGTTGTTTGTGAACATCTGCCCCACCGTTTCCAGGATCTCCTCCTCCTCCTCCTCCCCCCGCTGCCACAAGCTCAGCCCAGCATCCAGAGCCTGGCTGCCTTTCCAGGAAGGCCACATGGAAGCAGCAGGACTCACCACAGCCTCCCTGCTGGCCACGCCGAAGGCGGCTCTCTGGCGCTTGCTGGAGATGTAGGCAGAGTTTTCCTGCAGCTTCTCCAGGAGCTGCCGGATGGGCTTGCAGTAGTTGGCAACCTTGCACTCCTTCAGGAAGGATTTCAGCTGGGAGGAGGAAAAGGAGAGGAAGAATGAAAGCAATATGAGAGTTTTCATAAAGAGCAAAAAGAAAAAGCATTTCCCACCCGCAGTGACAGCACGGGGCATCTTTTCCCTTTAATTCATCCCATATTCCAGGGTATCACCCAGATCAGGCCTGGGGGTCCTGCCTCCCTGGGCTGGGAGGGTGCAAAGAGCTGCAGCGACGGGCCAGATGTTTCTATGTTACCCACAGCAGGGGCCTTGCTCAAAACCAGCTCTTCTGCACCCTGTAACACTACTTTGTTCTGAAAAAGATGGATCAGTGGAGTTCAAGGAGCCAGGAGGAAAAAGTCTGTGCTCTTGGGGCTTCAACTTCCAGCTGCTGTTGCAGTTACAACAGCTCTGTCTCCTGCTCTGTCAAATAACGAGGAGGACTGTGGACCAGATGCATGAAGACCAGGAATAACAGTGGATACTAAATGGCCAGAGGCCTAGGGAAGCCAGGATTGGAATGGGGAAAGCTATCTGTAGGGAACATCAGTTGATATTGGGATGGGAATATCAAATACAGTGGGCTGTGGGTGAGGCTGATGGCTGGGATTGAAGGCAGAGTTTGAAAAGAGGTTTAAAATTGGGGTGGGGGTGTGTGTGAGCTGGGAGTAAAGGCCTTTAGCATCGTTTGGTGCTGGTCCAGGTGGGTCAGGACAGAGTCAGCAGGGCTGACTCTGGCTCCATGTCTGAGTGCACCAACCTGGCTCCAACTGGCACCACGGACTTTTCAAGGGTTCAAACCCACACCCCCACCACATAAAAATCTACAAAATAACTCTCCAACACCACTGCACTGCTCTGACACCTCCAAGATAAAAGTTGAGGCAGCAGTGGATGCTCCTGATGACAGAATGAAAGATGGGGGTGTCCACATTGACTCATGCCTTGAATTCCACTTTACTACTCTGTCTGCTAACAGTTTTCACCAACTCCAAGACAAGCCTCTGGAGTGCTGTCCAAATTCTGCAGGTCAAGTTCTTTGCTAGACCCATATATAAATACACACACACACACACACTACACAGACACTTGATTTAGAGAAAGAGATCCAATAAGGCAAAAGAAAATGGTTAACCACAATGGAACCTTCATCTCAGCTGGGGCCTGCAGATGCTATCATGATAGAGATAAAGGGTTTCCAGTCAGCAAATACATTACTGCCTCCCCTACTCATGGCTTCAAATGTTCTGCCTCAAAAGACAGAACTGGGGGAAGGATGAAGATGTCTCCCTCCTGTGAAGCCTTGGCTTGATCTTACATGCCAAGTGGGGAGGTATTAAATGTTAATCAAGAGGTGACAGTCACACCCAGCCCCTCTCTGCCAGGGCACTGCTCTCCTGATGGGTATGTTGCTGCAGGACCTGCTGTCTGTGACACACGTGGAGGATCTCCCCCATTAACCAGCAGCAGGGGCTTCCCTTGTCCCTTTATCCCCAGCACACACCCACCTGCCATCACACAACCATCTCAGAAAAATGGGATTTAAAACAGAGACCTTCCCTGCTTTCCACAAAGCACACAGCCCATCAAACCAGTACAAAGAAACCATCAGCAAAACTATTCTCCTGCTGACGAAGCCTGTCCTACCCTCACTCCCCCCCTTTCTAAAATATTTATTTTTTATAGGTGCTGCATATTTATCTCCACTGAGAGATGCATTTGTCATTCGATTTATCTCACTTGATCCCCACAGCTGCAGCCCCAGATCCATTTCATCCGCTGCCACATACATTATCATTTTTCTTCCCTTGCAGAAGTGTCACCAGAAATCCTGCGAAATCTCAGGCTCTATCAGTGCAGTTTGGTGCTGTGTGTTTGCTCTCACAGCCCCTGTGCTTCATTTCTGCTTCCCCCCCCCTCCTCTCTCCCAGCCTTGCAATCCCTCACAGTCCCACCACTATCTGCCACAGATATTAATGAAACGTAATGAGATCTCAGTCCCGTGTTAAGAGGCAGGGAACACAACCAGGGAGGTAAAAGAAGATAAAGGACAGAGAGAGAAAAAGGGTCTGCGTATGCCTTTTCCCGCTCTGCCAAATATAAGTCATATCTTTCCAGAATAAAAGCAATCAGGACATAAATGTGTGTGGATATATGTCATTAAGATCTCCCACCCCAGCTAAGCAGCTCTGTGATTAGTGGGATTGATTCTGTCTAACTGCCAACCAAAGGTTTACACCAGCAGAGACCACAGCAAAACCCCAGCTCCTCTTACTGTAAGTGATGCAGGAAACTAGAAATGATCTGAAGCGGCTGGGCACGTCCTGCAGGGAACCCAAATCATGCCCAAACCCCTGCTCACAAAAAGCAGAAGGAGTATTGAACTGGGGACAGAGTGAGCAGCAGCAGGAGTGGCTGTTGGCAAGGCAGCCCAGCACCTCCTGCCCTTCTGTCTCGCTGCAAGCCAAGCCTGGATCGTGCCATCTCCTGCCTCCACCAGCACTGCCTACCCCCCTCAGCAGTGCCAGTTTTTCCCCCCTCTAACTTCCCACCTCTGCTCTGTGATGCCTGTCAGGGCTCTAGAGGAGGGAGGAGGCTCTTCCAAGCATCCAGAGGCTCTGCACTGAGCTCCTCACCAGCCCATGGAGGCAGTGACCACCACGGGGTCGCCCAAGGGGCAAGAACGGCAGCTTTGAACCATCTCCCGTCCCCCCCGGGCTCTCCTTTCCTTTGATCTGCCGGGGGTGCTTCCTGCCTTCCAGGCAAGGAGGAGGTTGGAAAGTTGAGTCTGAAGGCAGTTCAGCCCAGCTTCTCCCAGACCCACTGACCAGAGGAGGAGGAGGAGGAGGAGGAGGAGGAGGAGGAGGAAGGCAGCCCTGGCCAGCTGGAACGCAGCCCCCGCGCGACGGCGCTGAGAGAAGCGTGAGCTCACCAGGGAGGGAGTGTCAGGACAGATGGATTTTTACAGTTAACTGGAACTGCTCCAGGAGAAAAGCCTCTCCCCCCCCCCGCCCCCCCCAGGCCTTCCCGAAGGCTCCGAGATTTTGGGAAGCTAAACCTCAAGCACCCCAGCCCGGCAGACGCCACGAGGCTGCGGTTAGTGGCAGCCAAAGAGGAACCCGATAGCATCAATCCTCTGCAGGAACCCAGGCTGGTCCCAGGGTGTGTTTGGAAGCCACGAGGTGCTCGGTGCCAGAGGGCCGTCAGCCGCTTCTCACTCCAGCCAGAACATCGGCTCCGACAGCTCCGATGCTCCCAATAGCTGCTGGCTGGGAGGAGAGGGCCTTGTTTGCTGCCAAAAAAGTGAGGAGCACGCACAGCCAGCGAGCACAGGAGCTGCTCTGATGCACAGAGAGGGCCTGTCAGCTCACATTAGCCAAGGCAGCCCCTGCCAGCCAGCGCTGGGCTGTGCCAGGCTGGCGGCCCTGGCCAAGAGCCGTGTGCCTGACAGATGCCAGGCTGCTGCACACACGGAGATCTGCCTCCCAAGCAGCCCGAGGAGCACAACCACTGCTCCCATGTCAACCAGAGGTATGACAGCAACAAGGTGTGCAGGCACACAGGGGCTCATGGCAGGCACCAGACAAGCTGGGGTTCATGTCCCTGTGGAGGGCAGGACAGCAGCCCTCTGCCAAAGCTGTGTGGCACCTGCCACTCCTGAGTGAGAATAGAGAGGGCTGGAGGAAGGGAGGGAACATGTTTCAGAATATTTACACTGAACAGTGCTGTTTGCAGCTTCCTCATGAGGGGCAGCACTGGATCCCTGCTCTGCGTGGCCAGTGACAGGACCTGAGGGAATGGCTGGAGTTGTGTCAGGGGAGGATTAGGTCGGATTCCAGGAAAAGGTTCTTCCCCCAGAAGGCACTGAACAGGCTCCCCAGGGCAGTGGGCACAGCCCCAAGGCTGCCAGAGCAGCCAGAGAGTTTGGACAATGCTCTGAGGGACAGGGTGGGATTGCTGATCCTCATGGGTCCCTTCCAAATCACAATATTCTCTGATTCAATAATAATCTTACTGTTCAAAGCAGAGAGGTCACGGCTCATTCAAAACTGGAGTCACTCAGCCAGCAAGGCATCAGGAAAGGATGATGCACTGTAGGGATGCACTGCACTACTGGGCTGTTTTATTGTGGACAGTAAGGTACAAAACCATAGAAGTGGCTAGGAAGAGCACCCTGCACCATGGAATGCCAGGGGAGAGGCAAAGGAGACTGCTGTGCAGCACTGCTGTGAGGGGCAGCAAGGAGGAGGGATGGAGACAAGAATTGCACTGTTGTGTGGAGGGACTCGGGGAGAAAGTGCCCCGGTGGCTGGAGAAAGGAGGGAACATTGCCATCTTGTGGAGAGCACCTCAGGGAGGCTGAAGGCAAGGAAAAGCACGGGCTCAGAGCACAGGTACTGCTCTGAGACCACACAGCAATTCAGACAACTCTGAATGCCAAGAACTCACCCGAGTTCCCCATCCCAAACCCCATCCCCACAGCAGTCATGCAGCCTCTGCTCCACTTTGGTTCCCAACAGAGTGGCAAACTCCACAGCCACTTTCACCTACCTTCAGCCTCCTACTTAGATGTGATGCCTCTATTCCTCCCCAAAACATAAATAAAAATTAAGATTAAAAGGTAAACGGCTCTCCCCTCATTTTGAGGGCCATCTTGAGTTCACTGTCAGCTTCAGTGACTTTATCCCTGCCCTGTGCACACTCATGGCATGACCAAGAAGTGTTTCACACCTTACCTGAATGACAGTGGGCAGAACCAGCTCTGGGAACCCAATGCTGTGGGCTTGGCTGTGGAGATACTCAAGCATCAGGTCATAGAGCTGGTCAATGAGTCCATCCTGAGCAGGAGAAACAGAAATAAAGATATTGGATAGGAACCAAACCCTACAGTGGTTGGGAAAGGAGTCTCCAGCCTTATGGGACAGGGCACAGAGGTCACTGTGTGCTGCTCTGTGGGTCCCAGAGAAGCTGCTGAGGTTACTTACTCTGTAGTAACACTTACTCTGAAGGCCTTTTCCTGTAGGTTGGCATTGGAAAGCTTCAAGATCACGGCGAAGTTTATGGGCTTGGAACTCATTCGCCCTGGCTTCTTGTTGAAATCCACTTGTTGGAAGACCTAGAGGAGAAAAAAATGACTGTAAAGACGATCATGCCAAAAAACGAACACCAAAGGACTCAAATGAGATCGTGCGGTTGGTGGCAGAGCTGAGGAGACAATCCAGAAACCCTGATTCCTGCTCACCTGCTCAGATCACCATCCCACAGCTTTCCTAAATATCCAAGAGATACTTAGGGGACAGTCAGGGAGCAGATACCAACCACACTTGGAGCTTCAGAGACCCAAGTGAGAAAGATGCCACAGAAGTGTGAGGTAAAAGGAGACAAACACAAGCAACAGCGCAAGAAACTGGAGGTTTGTTCCTCAGCCTCACGTTTCTAACAGTCAGAAAGATCAGACCTCAGTGCCTGGGTGGATTTTGGAGCTGTCCCTTAAGGTAAGAAGATTTTTCAACAGCAAGGCCAAACATCGCTTACACCAAACCCATTACCCTGCCACTATCACTGAAAAGATTGTCCCAGGAAGCAAAGACCAGGAAGCCCTTTTCACAAACACCCCTTGCACCACTTATAGCTGAATAGCCTTTCAATACATGCATATTACTCTCCATGGACAAATTCCATTTTATAGCAAGAGACTTGGAGAAAAAAAGAGCCTCCTCCCCGAGTCTGAGAGGAGACCCTGCACCCTTCCCATCAAAATGATGACACAAGCTCCAGGGCACAGCTGAATGCCCAGCAGACTCGTATATAATGTCCAAAGGCAGACCTGCACCTTTGCTTTTGTGTTTTTCCAGAGCTTGTCTAATGATAATGGCTGGGGAGAGGAGGATTTGTGGAACAGAAGGTCATGGTAAAAAGCAGAAAAGAGAGAAGTTCACATATATGTGTGTGACTGTTTCTCCAGGGTGGCATCTCAAATTTGGTTTTAACTCAACGCCGTTATTGCCTTAAAACTTCAACAAATTGTAATCAAGAGCAACAACTACAAAAGGGTTTTCTCAAATTCTTTTTGGGGGAGTTTCCCAACTTCACTGGGGGAATGGCAGCACGAGTCAGGTAGGGCCAGGATCTGCCTTGGTCTCTGGGCAGACAGCAGGGTACACTGTCCCAATATCCTGTGTGTTGTGCAGTTCTTCCTCTGAAGGTGGGATACAGGGACAAGTAAAAGGGCTATAAAACGAGCAGCAATACAAATATGCCCTTTCCCAACCTGTCAGGGACAGAGGGAAAGATGGTAAGAACGTAAAAGAACCCCAGATTCCCAGAGATCCCCATCAGGGGATCACAAGTTGCAATCAAGGGAGGTGTTCACTGGCAATAGGAACTAATAAAAAGAAAAATAAAAAACGAGCCAACAATTGGTAACATTTGCATATCTGATGACAACCACTGAGGGAATGAGGAGCACATTCTGTCCACCCACACTTCTGAGCACACCTCAAGAGCAGCTGACAGCTCCTCTCCCTGTGCCCAACGCTTTTAAATTGCACTCCTGAGCAGGAAATAATTTCCATTCCCTCTATGCAGCAGCAACACATCCATCATCAGACCCCAAGCAGCCCAGCAAGGTGGGGATGCAGCACACACTGATTGCTCCAGGGTGAGGTGAGAAGGAAAGGGAGGGTGTTCAGGTCACACCGGTGCCCCCGGGCCAGAAAAGCATGGAGACGACTATTGATTTTTTTACATTTTATTTGTCAATCCAGGTTATTTGGAAGGGAGGGACAAGCTTGGTGGCTTGTGAAAACAAAGAGCCCTTGCCTAGGGAATCGATGCTATAAACCTCGTTATGCACCGTTATTTCTTTGGCCAAAACAGGAGTATTGATCCCCGAGGTCAGACACATTAAAGCGAGAGGAGTCGGGCTCGGTGGGATCCCAACATGCCTCCAGGCAAGCAGGGAAATGCAACCAGAGGCTTTGGAACTCACTCAGGAGGAGCTGGGGAGCCAGGTCAGGACATGTAGGGAAGGGGAAAAAAAAATGTGGTTCCCATCTTAAAAGACTGTGCAGAACAGATCAGCTACCAGGGAGACTGAGGGAGAGCATGACTGATGTCTAGGAATCCTGTGGCAGGGTGGGAAGGTGATAATGAGGGACTAGAGGGCCACAGAACGTCACAAGCCAGCAGTTTGGCTGAAGTGATAACCACTAGCAGACAGAGGAAAGGACAGGGCAGCACAGGCAGGAAGGAGGAGGATTTTTGGCACTCCCAGGCTCACAGATGTCTTCCATGTGGGCAGTGAGAAGGGAGCTGGGATGCACAGTTTACACTGCCAGAGTGCAAACCAGAGAACCAGCTCTGCACCACAGCACTGCCACTGTGTCACCCCATCCCTCTTCCTTCTCTCAGGCTCTAGGAAAAGCCTCCTGGCATCTGCTTTGATCACCCCAAAGCTGGATGCCCTGGACCAGCTCACAGCAGGGACATTGCTGGGCCTGCAGCTTTCCCTCAGGTCTGACAGTCACTTCTGTCTCTCACTTCACTGAGGGAAGGGCTCAGTCTAGTTAAGCTGCTCAGGCAAAGTCCAATTTTATTGTCAGGTTCAGTCAAGCTGTCCAAATTTCTGCAGAAGCTGGTCACAAACATTAAAAGGTTGGAAGTCACCCTGCAAGTCACCTCAAACAGGTACCTCAGGGCCATGTCCAGCCAGATCTGGATGTCTCCAAGGACAGACACTCCATTATTTATCTAGGCAATCTGTTCTAACATCACCATATAAAATTGTTGGGGGATTTCTTGTTTCTCTGTGTAGTTTTTCCCCCTCCAGTGTATGTCAGGCCTCCTGTATTTCATTTTCTGTGTAGTGCAGGACACTTATCTGGTGTATCAACTCCTCCAAACTTCACATCATCTGCAAGCTTGTTGATGGTGCCACTCTGCCCAACTATTCAAACCCTTAATGAATAAGATAACCAGTATCAGCCCCAGTATCAATCCCTGGGGTGGGTGGTTGGCCTCTAGCTGGATTTCAAGCCACTGATCAGAGCAGGAGCCTGGAAGTTCAGCCAGGAAATTCAGCTGTCAATACACCTGCCTGCTTATCCAGTCTGCAATTCATCAGCTTGTCTTGTGAGGAAGTTCTGGGAGATGGTATCCAAAAAACCTTGACAAAGAGAAGATAAACAGCATGCACTGCTCTCCCCTCATGCACTGAGCCAATCCTCTCAGTGCAGAAGCCCATTAGATTGGTCAGGCATGATTTCCTTCAACAGCCTTGGTACCTGCAGGGCTGTGATCCAGAATTTAGGAGCTGCAGTACAAGGGTGGAGGGAAGAGAATGAGGAAAAGGGAAAAATAAGTCTTCAGTTGGTGCAGCTTTGTCTAAAGTTCCAGTTTTTCCTCTCAGTGTAAAGGAGACAAAACACAAGATCTGTGTTTTAAACAGACCAGTGTTTAAATGTATGGCAATGTCCAGCTTTATCCATTCTCCAATCTTCACATCAGTTGATTTTCTGCAAAACATTCCACTGCCCACTCCCATATATGTTGCTCTCCAAGCCCCTGGGAATTTTCTCCAAAACAAGACTCCAGCCATTTAAGTGTCAAAGTGAAACACTCCTGGCCTTCCTGAGCATGTCAGGGTTAACCTACTCTGCCATCCCTCTGCAGGGGAAGCCAGGTTTAAATTGGCATGCAAAGTCTGCCTGGGGGGAGATTTCTACCTTGTCTATCCACACCTGCCTTCCAGCAGATGAGCCACCAATTTTCCTGCTGCAGAAGCCAGTGGCTGTCACACAATAAGTGAAGTGATGAAAAAAGGAAGATTGAGATCTCACAGGCCTTTCAAGGGGAGTAACGGTACAAAAATAAACCCCTGCCTGCTCTCCACTCCTCTCCCAAGCCACCTCTTCCTATCTAAGATGTAATTTTAGCAAAGCTGCTGCTTTTGCTCCATCTTGGAAAGCAGAGTCAGAGAGGAGACGGCGTTGGATGCCCACGCTGGGGAGCATCAGCCCTTGTCAAGATGAATCAAGCAGCCAGCTCTCATTTCCATTGGCAGGGGCTTGGGGAATTCCTGTGCCTCTGGGAAAGCACAAATGCTCAATCTGTGCCTCCTGAGCGTGCAGCAGCAATTCAGGGCTGCTGAGGGCTGAGACAAGAGGCAGCAAGGACTTGGTTTCCTTGGTGGAGAAGGGAAATGCCGAGTTACACAGTCACTTCTCACACGAGCAGCTTCACAGAATCTACACTCTCAGGCCAGGTAGAGCCCTCTCCAAAAAGTGCACAAAACACAGGGTCACAAACTCCACAGCTGTTCTTTTCCTGCACTTGGATTCAGCTGAAACAGTGACAGGGTAGTTTTTCTCCTTCCCATCAAATGGAGCATAACCTATGCTGGGAAGGCTTTCCAGACCCAAATCATGCTCCCCAATCACTCCTGTTTAGCACCAACATACTGATCACATCCTTCCATCCCATGATGGTTTGGATAATGGGCTTAAAATGGATTTTGGGTCATGGCATGGTGTAGAATATTGACTTAGTCACTGCTCAATTTGTGAGCTGGCACAAACAGGTTCATAGTCAAAGCACTATGGCTGGGCATCAGAGTGCAGATTCTCCTCCCAGCATCACCACAGCCACCCTCAGACTTTGGACAGGTCACTTCCCACTTCCTGCCATCTCATCTGCACAACTGGAATACAATTCCTGCCTGAAGACAGCTTGTGGAGACAGACTAAGGGTTCTAAGAGTGTTCAGCTACCTCTGTGACAGAGAGGAGGAGGGAGTTGGGAAGAGACAGAAGTACAAAGGGAACAGTCCTGAATGCTCCTGGGAACTCCACAGACTAGTTGGGGGATCCCTTGCAGGAGACAGACAAGAAGAAGGGAAAGGCTGACAGCTGCAGGGAGATTTGAGAGTTTAACATCGTGACAGTTACAGAAATCTTGGGTTACAGAAAATAAGGCACACATTTACCCTGCCCCCTTCTGTCCCTTGTCACCACACCTGCACAAGCAGAGCCCAGCAGTGCCTCACAAACACACCCAACAGGATGGGATGTGGTTGGGGGCTGGAGGAAGCTGGGAGGAAGCTCTGAGTGCAGTGTGGGAACATCTGGCCGGGGCCTGACACTCAGATTAGAGATGAGGTGTCGGGGCCAGGACACAAAGAGGGGGGGGAAGGCCCCGAGGGGAGAAAGTTTTACCTTTACAGCACTAAAAAGTAAAAAGCAGAGAGAGAATCCTCACCAGGACCTCAGATGGGGGGATGCCTCTCTCACAAAATCTGGCTGGCAGAGTTTCAAACACGCATGACCAAGGGGAAGGAAGCAGGGGAATGGCAAAGCCACACAGGTCGGGAGGAGGTTTATAAACATCACTGCCTTCCTCAGGCTGAGGATGTGGTTTGCAAGGGACATTTACAACAACCCCAAACCACAAAGGCCTCTGCTTCAACAAAACCTGATTAGGAATGAGCCTGGCTGACTCAGGGCTATTATTATAGAAGCCTCCCTCCCTCCTCCTCCTCCTCCTCAGTGTCCAGCCTCATGCTGACCTCCTGGGGCTCCCTGCATTCCTCACCCTGCCTTGCTCACACTTCTTCAGTGAAATTTGGCTGCAAAACTTCTGTGTTACCTTCTCACAGCAGCCAAACTAGAAAGACTGATGTGGAGAGATGTCAAATGTCTGATGCATGGGAAAGCTGGATGGTCCCTTAATAGCAGTGTTTCACCAAACATACTCAATTTTGCCAGGTTACACTCACAGAGATCTTTCTAAACAATTTTCAAATTCCTGAAGGGTTTTTTTCTTCCTATTCCCTTTGTCTGCAGTTAGGAAGAACTCTTCCTTTTTGCTAAGGCATGAACACATCAGCTTGGGGAGTCACTGCAACCAGCTCAACCAGCTGAGCCTCTGAATCTCTTCTTTGGCAACCCCTGTTTCCCACTCCAGCTGCATCAGTGAAACCACCAAGGAACATATTTTTGCACCCAGCTGATCTCAGGTGCAACTCACAGGCCAATAAAAGTTTAATCCTATTTGCCCACCAAACAATACATTGTCTGATGCTGTTTGCCAGGGATTTTAGGGCAGTAAGAGAAGTGGGAAACCTCAGGAGCTGTTGGTGGGTGTAGTGAGTGTGTTTATTAGGCAGAAGGTGTCAGCAGGAACCAAACTAACCTCCAGGATAAATGGCAACACTGGGATGAAGGTCCTGGTGTTCTCAGACAGCAGGGTAAGGGCACGGATGCAGTGCATGCGCAGAGGGTAGAAACGGTTCGTTGGTACCAGCCTAGAGGGGGAGGAGAAAAGAAAGGATATTAGGCCAAGTTTATCTAGGAACTGCACCTGCAGCCTTCAGTGGCACTCAAGAGCCTTTCCTGCTCTGCTGAAGAAAGACAGCTTCAGTACTGCACAGCAAACCGAGCTATCCCACAGTGGGAAATAAAACTCACACGTTAAGGCTGTTTAACACGAACACGCAAATTCCTCCGACCAAAGCACAGGTTTCCCACAGCTTCTGCTGGGAGAAAGTGCTGCAAGAGCTTTGCAGATGAAGTTTTATCACTGATGCTGTTTAGTCAGGTTCAACACTTTTGGCTCTCATGCTGCCAGCACGGGGCAAGTGGCAGGAACCAGCAGTGAAATGATCATCTAAAGCAGCAAGTCTGACCAAGGAAAGAGCTCCCCCAGCACACCAGAGGAGGAAGAGGTTTCCCTTCTCAGGCTTTGTGCCCACAGAGTTCATGCTGACACTTGAACAGTGACCCTCTCAGTGTAGAAGGTCACTGGGGCAGGAGCTGGACTAGCAGTGACCAGCACATCTGGAAGGACAGAGTGGGAATGAGTGACCTCCCACAGCCAGATCTGTTCAGCTCTCTCCAACCCTCCTGAGCTATTCCCACCTCCTTCAGAGAGGCAACATGTACATTTGAACAGCCAGGAATCAGCATGGAGGAGGGGGAAGAAGAGGCCAGACTTACTTTCACCCACATTTCAAATCATTACACACTCAGCTAATTAAGACAAAAGTTGAGCCAACTCCCTTTGTCAGGCTGGGACTGAGAAGGATCAGCTCCCCCAGCACCACATAAGCCAGGAGCAGAGGGGAGAATGGAGAGCAACCCCTAAAACAGACCAGACCTCGTTGCTGTACCACTCTGGAAGCCTCTCACTCTGAATGACCTGCACTTGGCTGCCTCCAGCATTAACAGGAGTTTTATTTTTTTAAAACACAGTTCACAGATGACAGGTTCAAGCTGATAAATGAACCCCTCCCCAAAGGGCTTGCTGAGCAATCCAAGAGAGCACAAAAAAAAAAAAAAAAAAAAAAAAAGAGAAAATGCTTGACCAGGCACCATAAATCAACCTGCATCTCCCCCCCCTTCCAAATAGTGAAATAATTATCATTGGATCCATTATAGAAATAAATCTACTTTGCACCCCTGATCTGGCACCACTGGAGATGACGAAAGCCATTCTCAGGAATTAATTGATCGAGGAATAAACCTGTTAAGTGTATAGATTTACTGTAAACCAAGACCATTAATTTTAGAGTGCGTGGCGATGCAACAATCTGCTCAACATCCCAGTGGTGGGATGCACAGGGAATACAAAACACAGCTGGGTCCCAGCTCTCCTGAGGGAGGTCCAACTGCCTTGTCAGTCCAGGGGGATCAAACTGACTCCCATTTCATCTCAGTGGAGAGTGCCTCCAATGTCTTTCCATCACTGTGGCTTGGAATGCCTCCTGTACTTCTCCCATGCAGCCAGGACACAGGCTTGTAGGGTTGGAACAGCCTAAAACTTCTCAAGGCTTATTTTTGCTTGCTACAGCTCCTTCTGTTACATTCTTGGTGCCCACAGATGAAGCTTCTTTCAACATCAGCCTCTGCCCCACCAGGACAGGACACCAAGGGAAGTTGTTCAGGGACACTAAGGCTGTGCTTGCTTCCCTATGGAGGAAGTTGTACCTGCTTTCTTCCCTGTGTGTGCTGAGAGGCTGGAATTTAACAGGCATCAAAAATCCTCATTTAACTATACACCAGGGAGGAAGTTCCTTTTTATAGCTTAGGCTGGGAGCAAGGTAAAAATGCAAGCAGATACGGACAGAAAACAAGTTTATGGAAAAGGGATATGAGAACGGGAGATTGTGCTGCAAAAAACCAACCAAGATCTTGGACAGATGCAAGCACACGGATCAGGAGGAGGAGCTTATGGACTGAGGAGGCACACAAAAGGCCAGGGTGGCACATGAGCGATCAGATCCCAGGGAGCGATCAGATCCCAGGGACAGACAGACACAGCCCGTGGTCACTGTCCTTGTGCTGGAGCCAAGCGCCACCTCCCGGCACAAAGGGCAGTGGGGAAGGGGACTCTCCTCCCATCCCTCTGGATAAATCACTACCCCACACCAGGAGCACAAGGGAAAGAAGGTATTCCAGATGTTACACAGCATCCTGCCCCATGGAGCCACATAATTTCCACATCTTCTAACCTACTCCATTTTTATATATCCCAGACACTCGGTTGGCTCAGTAAGGAAACCAGGGTGGGATCTATTTCTACTTTCCTGAGCAGGATGGTTTGGGTTGGAAGGGACCTTAAAGATCATCCAGTTCCACCCCCTGCCATGGGCAGGGACACCTTCCACTAGCCCAGGTTGCTCCAACCTGGCTTTGGACACTTCCAGGGATGGGGCAGCCACAGCTTCTCTGGGCAACCTGTGCCGGGGCCTCCCCACCTTCACAGGGAAGGATTCCTTCCTAATCTCTAATCTAAATCTCCTCTCTGCCAGTTTGAAGGCACTCCCCCTTGTCCTGGCACTCCAGGCTCTTGTAAAAAGTCTCTATCTTTCTTGCAGGTTCCCTTCAGGCACTGGAAGGCCACAATTAGGTCACCCCAAACCTCTAAAGCCTTGTCACATGGTACCTGTAGCTCATGCCAAGCAGCCTTGCCCATCACTGATTCCAACAAAACTGCTGCTCTTGCTGAGACTCACCCAACTCGCCTTCCCTTGGCCCCAGATACCTGATTTATCTGCCTGGAGAGGTAGAAAACTGCCCAGATTCATCCCCAGGACAACCAGAGCTCCGGAGGAGCATTGGGAAGCAGCCTGTGGACGAGGGGGGGATGGGAAGAGGGATGTTTGCATACTCTAACGATCGTTTAAATCTGCTTATCTTCACCACCACTTGGGAGTTTTTCCAAGAGCAGGCGGGTGGTGTTTTAAAGCTGAGAATCTGGTTAACAGAGCTAACAGGATTTTGGAGATCACCAGAGATTCTGAAATTCCCTCAATGCTCGTTATTAACAGCCCTTTCAAAGCACGGAAATTTCGTGTATGAACTGAGAAAGACATTCTCAGCAGACACATTAAAAATAACAGCCGAGTCCCAGTTCTTCAAATTCTAACAAAGATGCAACAAAAATGCATCTTTTAACTGTGTTTACAGAGCTGGAGGTGAGGTCTTGATTCTGCAGTTAAGATCCTGAAGCAAGACAGAACATTTTCCTTGCCACTATGTACAGTTGGGAAAATAACTGTCCAGGCTATTCAGACTGACACTTCTCTTAGACACAGAATTTAGCCTAGGGAAGAATAACCTACACAGCAACTTCCTCACCACCTAAACACGCTCACAACACATCTTTGGCTGCAATGCTTCAATCAAAAGCAGCTCTGACTCAATTCCTTAAAATGCAAGGTTAAATCCAAATCACATAACAGTAACACCCCTCAGCAACTGCTCTGCATCAAGGAATGGACAAATATGGCCAAAAAGAAAAAAAATTCTACTTACTTTATGCAGCCAATGATGACCTGTGTCAAAGGATAGATCAAGGGCTCCATGACCTCACTGGGATAGATTGTGCTGAGAACACGGCACCAGAAATACAGGCAGTGGATATACTGCCAGTTATAAACAGACTGGAAGTTCTCCTGCAGAAAAGGGAAAAATAAAAGGCACAAGCTTGAAAACGTGGCGTTTTGAGAGGAACTCAACCCTGGTTTCTCCACAAGACTCATTTTATGCAGGACACTGCACTGCTCAGGGAGGAATAACCATCGTTGTACTGTCACTCTGAGAGCAGTGGCTGAGCCACCAGCCAGCCAAGTTCAGATGCTGCATTGGCAACGTTATGGTTTGGTACAAGTCAGTGCCTGAAGGAAATAATGTGAATAAAAGCAGGCTGGAGGTGTTACTCAACTGTGGCTCCTTTGAGAAGGATGATTTCATGACCCAGCTCACAGTAGATGGGGGATGTGGCCAAGCACAGGAAATATTTAGCTGTTCACTGTCAAAGCAAAGACCAAATGATCATCCCAGCACTCCCTTCCCTGCTTTTGAAGACGACACTGCCCAGCACAGCTTCATTTTTTAAAACTGCAGGGTAAAAACGACAGGCAAGCAGAGCTGAGAACAAACTTTCAGCTTTGTTTTTCAGCCAGTCCTTCTGGTTACCAGCAAAAACCAAAGCAACAGGCCAGGAGTGTGCCTGGCAGCAATGGCACACTCACCCAACATTCCAGGCTGGCTCGGTAGCATGGCTAAGAGTGAGTCAAGCCTTGCCCCATTTCAGATTAAATAAAAGCCTAGAATAGAGCAGGAGTCTTTAAAGGACACCCTTTCCAAAGAGTTCTGCATGTATTCCCCAAAACTGCAGGAAGAAGAGAGGAGATAAAACTCAAAAAGGTGCCTCAGCTGCCACTTGTGTTTGTTCCAGACTTTCAAGGCCCAGGTCATCTCTTCTGAATGCACAAGGCTTGAAACAAGGACAGAAGCCCCCAACTGCAGCCACTGGACCAAACCTTGCAGGGGGGATTAAAGCCAAGCCACAGCTGGACATGGCAGAGCTCTGCCAGCTCTCACCAGGTCACTGAGATGGACCAAAAAGCTCTTCTCAGCTTCTCTCACACAAGGACAGACAAGCAATCTGCTCCTGTAATCACCTTCCACAACCATCCACTGCTCCATTTAAATAGGCTTATTGCTTGGATTTGTACATTTTGGTTGTGCTGTTCTCATTTAAAGTTCCACAGCCCTCCCCAGCTGCGAAATCAAGTGGATTTAGTTCTTGTCTGGACCAGAACTAAGGGTGTAAGAAGCCAGTGCAATCCAATTAGGGGATATGCAGCCCAGACTTCATTTATCTCTGCTTATTTATCCCCATGTCTGAACAGCCAGGAGATTTAGCTGGTCACCAATCCTGCCATGTTTGGGGGCAGCTGAACAATTAATCTAGTGGGGTCTGTTTTGCTAAACACGAATAAAGCCAGGATTAGCAATCTGACTTAGATTTCCGAGGTCAGACTAAAGGTGGCTGAAACCAGGGCTGCTCCCAAAAGGTCTGAGCTGCTTTGTTCAATTAAGTCTTTTAAATAGTGCAGACTTCTCTGGAGAGATGCACACACCAGGGTGGTTCCTAATCTTCTTTACCTTGAGGTTTTGTGACAGAGGCTGCCAAACAGCAGCTTCAGAGTGGAAAAAGGGTGCCCAGGGCACAAGATGGGAAGTGCATCACAAACTCTTGCAGGTGGGGAGAGAAAAGTGACTCCCACCTTGCAGTTCACAGAATCATGGAATGGTTTGGGTTGGAAAGGACCTTAAAGATCTTCTAGTTACAACACCCTGCTGTGGGCAGGGACACCTTCCACGAGCCCAGGTTGCTCCAAGCCCCATCCAACCTGGTCTTGGACACTTCCAGGGATGGGGTAGCCACAGCCTCTCTGGGCAACCTGTGGCAGGGCCTCCCCACCCTCACAGGGAAGGATTCCTTCCTAATCTCTAATCTAAACCTCCTCTCTGCAAGTTTGTAACAGTCTCTCCATCTTTCTTGTAGGTTCCCTTCAGGTACTGGAAGGTCACAATTAGGTCACCCCAGAGCCTTCTCTCTTCTCTCCTTCCTTGCTGAAATTCCACCACGGGCAACCCCGGAGCTCCAGTAGGTTATGAAACGGGTCAGGCAAGTGAGGCACCTTAGAGACACCACCAAAAGCCTGGAAGTGATGACTCCAATTTCCCCTCTCCACACATTCCCTGCAGGAGGACACACTCCTTCCACAAACTGAGAGGTAACCCACCTTCTTCTTGATGGTCATGGCGCTGCGCAGGTGGATGGCGAGCTGGCGGATGTAGATGAAGGCGTGCTGGTAGGAGGTGTGGGTGTCCAGGGCAAACATCTCTGTCAGGGTGCGCTGCATGAAGTTGATCATGGGCAGGACGTTGGGAGAGGTGAACCTGGAGTTCTTCACAAAGGCAATGTACATTTGCTGTGCAGGGAAGAGGAGGAGATACGACCACGTAAAAACGCGGCGAAAAACGTTCTTGCGCTGACCCCCTCCCCACCCAGGTGTGTCCAAACCAGGGGGGAAGTGTTCCTTTTACAAAGAAATATGCAAAAGTGATAATCCAGCCTGCTCCTTCTTTAGGGGGAGACAGGAAACAGTCTGTTTAGCATGGAGCTCCCACCACTGTTTGTCTGCAAGAAGAAAATCTCCCCACCCACGTATGTCCAAACCAGGGGGGAAAGTATTCCTGTTATCAGACAAGTCACTCCAAAAAAACATGCAAAAGCAGTAATCCAGCCTGCTTCTTCTTTAGGAGAGACAGGAAAGAGTCTCTTTAGCACAAAGCTCAGAGATCTCCCCACCACTGTTTGCCTGAAAGAAAAAAAACACTTGGTTTTCTTCGGAAGAACGCACTCGGGATGGTCTGAGCCATCCGTGCTTATGGCTGGGCACAGTTCTCTTGCTCAGGTGCCACTGTCACAAAAAACTACACTTGGGAACTTCAGGTGAAAGATCAGAGCAGCTCAGTTGTGTGGCAGCACTTCAGGAGAGCCCTGAAGAATTTGGAAGATGAGTATTCACCCAGTACGTAGATCAGCACCAGGGATCTTCCCTGCTCAGAGTCTCTGCGCCTCCAGCAGGAAGGGCAGCAGCAGGAAGCAAATACCACTCTGACCTAACAGAATTTCTCCCTTGTTTAATTTTCTGGACATAGCTGCAGCTCAATGCTTTAAATTTGCACATAACATGAGAAAGAAAAGCTGCAGATTAGAGCCAGTACCAGGCTTACCTTGAGCAAGGGACTCAGGTAAACCTCCTTCTTGTAGCGGCAGAACTTGTTCAGCACAAGGAAGGCCAGGACTCTCACTGTTTCCTCACCTGTGCTCCACAAAGTAATTGTTTGCTGGGATAAAACAGAAAGATACAGATAAGTGAAGGGACAAAGAGTTCCTTCCTGGTTACACACAGGCCTGAGCTTCTCTCCTGCACACAAAAACAACAGCACTGGCAGCCCTTCTGTCCTAATACTCCAGCTGTGAGACCACAGAAACAGGTTGATGTTTTCACAATAAATAAAGGAAACCATCCAAAACTAGCACCTCTGAAAAATACATGCACTTATTTGTGTGGCTAAATACTCTGAGCACAGGCACCAGCCTTGGATGTGACTCAGTCTCCCACAGATTTACTTGGCCATGGTTGGCCCTGTCAGGAAGAACCTGGTACAGCTGGACCACGATCATGGCTGATGCCTCCAGAAACCAGTTACCTCATCTGAACTAATGAACTCCACAGAACATCAGAAAGATTTCAGCTGCAGGGCTGAAAAAGCCTCCTCAGAAATCCCCAGAGCAGCACTGAGCAGACTCCTACACCTCCAGCTATGAGGTGTCCCAACCTCCCACCCCTGTACACCAGTCATCTTTGTCATCAGAGGGTTCCCAGCCTCATTTAAATGTTGCAGTTTTTTCATTTAAATGTCACCCTGTTGCCCTCTTCATCTCTTCCACGCCTCCTTTGTTGTTCTTAATGCTCAGCAGTTGTGACTAAGTTTCTGTAAAAATATTCCACCCCCAGCTCTGGAGAGGGAAATGGTATCACAGCCGTTCCCAGCGCCTGGCACACAGGCAGCAATTACTCCATCTGTGAGGAGGCAGCAGACAGCTTCCCAAAACACCTCCCTGCCACTTAGGAGCAGCTACACAGAGCCACCTCCCACTCACCTCAGGCTAAGATCACCTCATGGCACCTGGGAGGCCTGTGAGAGAAGCAGGAATCCTCTCCAGAACCAAAAGCAGAGCAAGGGAATAGTACAAGAGAATGAATTGTCACGGGATCCAGCTCAAATACCACAAAAGGCTTGTCTGGAGGGGGAAAAAATGTACCTCGGATGCAAATGACACATCACAGCACATCCCCTCACCTTGAGAAGGGCACGGCACTGCTTTGGGAAGGATAAATAATAAGGCACTATGGAGTTGACGTGCTGGAGCACTGCTGCACCCACCGAGGCTTCTGTCAAACAGGACAGGAGCTGTGGAGAGAAAACAAAGTAACAATCCCATTTAGCATGCAGTCCTCACCACCTCTTCCTTCACCATCTGTATTTTGCTGCTTCCAAGTATTTCTGTGTCACTAAAAGACTGGAAGACCAGGCTTTGCTAGGAAGGAGCTCCAACAAACCCACAAGAGCTGTCTCAGGAAAGGAGCAGACACACGGTGGGTTAAAAACTGCCCCGAAAGCACATCAGCCTGGCAAATGTGAGCTCAGTTCATCACATAGAACCTCATCTGTGTATACTGCAAAACCTAAGTCTACATGAAGTTTAAGGCATCTTGCAGATGGCATGACAGCAACACCTCTGTCATCTCACTACAAATGGTCAAAGATGCCCTCAGTCTACACAAGGCTTGGAAATAAACCACCTGAGGTGATAACATACTGGATCACTGTTGGATTTCTTAAGGGGAAGCTGGAATACTATTAGGTACCAAGAGGTTTACCTCAAGCAAAAGGTAAAACAAGCCATTAAGAAACAGCATCTTTGTATTTCCAGATTGCTCAGCCCAGTTCTCTGGAGCCAAACCCAGAGGTGTTGCAGCTTCTAATGTGAAGACATCCTGAACTCCAAGTCACTTTGAGAGAGGTTCTGCCTGATGCAGTGCCCCTCTGCCTGCAATCCCAGCTGCTGGGAAGCAGAGGCACGTTGTCTACTTTTAATTTTCTTCCTCCTTGCACTGCAAAGATTCGGGACTGAGCAGGTCTCCTCTGTAAAGTCCCTCACACACCACAAGGAAAGGAAAGGAGATATTGTTGACAAACTACTGTGCCAGAAGAAGCCCTGTGGTGAAGGCTGGCACTGAGGGCTCTCAGAGTCAGCACAGGAGCAGGGATTGCTCCAAGGCACTGCACTGCCAGCTTTTCCTTGTCTACTGCAATCCTCTGCTGCTGGCAGGAGGCACCACGACTTGAGAGAGAAAAAAAGCTCTACTGATCAAAATGTCCTTTCTGCTAAGTCATTCTCCAGCTTATAGCTAGGAGACACCAGCACTGGCTTTCTCTCCTTGCATCCCCTTCCCTCAGCTTCTGAACAGTGAGTATTTCAACATTGTTCTTTTAATATTCTAACTTTGGGGATGCATGATGAAGCAATCTTAAAAAAAAAAAAAAAACAACAAACTCGGGGCAGGAGTTTCTTTCAGAAATAATCCATGAATTGTATCTGAAACACCAGACATCAGCTATTCTGGGGATATATATTAATGTCCCATCCCTCTAGGATATGTCTTATGTGAGGTTATCAACATAACACCTTCTTAGTATTTACCTCAAGAACTAGCAAGGTCATAGTGCCAAAAACTGAATTAACAATGCAGAATTTACGAGCACAGCACTGCAAGCTACTTTAAAGCCTATTAAATATTAATTTGTCAGACAAATTAAGACAGAAACAACTGCCAGAATGTTAATCCAACCCTTCTTTACTGGTTCCCTATTTTGACCCAACCATCCTACAGACCTCCAAAGTGTTAATTAGACCAAATGCTTCCACAAGACAGGGAACTGGATGGACACACAAATCTCAGATAGGCAAAAGCCCATCTGCCTCATCCCAAAACATCCCAAACAACAGCCCAGCAATGCACAGACTGACCCCAGGAACAGAATATGATGACATTTCTTACTTGTATGGTACAGCCAAGGTACGCTTTTACATCCAGTCGCAGTTTGCCCCAGAGTGGGCTGGTGGAAGGGAGAACCATCCTGGAAACGAGCAACAGTTGGGTTTAGCTTTAGAAAACCCACCAAATAAATCAGATTTCAGCAGCCAAACGAGCAGTGAGTTCAATTCCTTGATACTGCCAGTGAGTAACAACTGCTTGCAAAGCACGAACTGAGAGAAGTAAAAATTATGTCACGGGTGAGAAGAAATACTTCTACTCTGTAAAAACCGCCTGGAGCACGGCAGTAGAAAGTTCAGTTCAAAGAACTTCCAAGCTTTCTCTGACCCTGCAGTTCCCAAATCCCCTCACACTTACTTTGCTTTCTTCTTTGGGGCCCTGGGAAGCAGCAGCTCCTGCAGGTAGTGGAAGAGGTCCCGGATACAGAAGGACACAAGGGCATTGAACACTGGTTAAAACAAAAATCAGCAAAGCACTTGTAAATGATTTTCCACATATTCCTGGTTTCTCAGCTAGTGTGGAAAGAGCTCCCCAAGGAACTGAAGCAGTAATTGCCATAGCAGAGCTGCTGTGTTTCCTCAAGCTCCAAGAAAACACCAGTTTGCCTTATCCTAGAATTTTTTTATCTGAAGAATAAGATTACAACTGACAGCTTTTGGCACAGGGGCCCTTCTCCAAGCAAACAGCACCAAGCACTGGGAGACCAGAAAAGATCTCACTGCACAGACTCACCACCAGGAAGATAAGCTACTTAAGTGAAATGAAGCCTGTGAAAGGGTAAGTTAACTCCTGCCAGTGCTTATCTCCACTCTCTTCCAAGAGCTAAACTGCCCTACAAAAATCATTTCCCTCTCCTCACACAAGTGCAGTGAACAACTCACCTGCAGTATCAGTCACTTGGAACTTGCTGGGATCACCCTCACTGTCTCCTTTGGTGGTTGCTACAGCTGCTTTATAGGCTTGAGTGATTTCATGGAAGAGCCTCGGTGTCAGATTTCTCTGGGGAAAGAAGGAAAAGGATTGCTGAGGAGAAAAAGCAACAGATCTCCTGAAACTCTGAAGCGCTTGAGTACTGAAATTCATTGTAAGTTTGATGGCAGAAATAGCTCTGATATGAAGGATAAAGGTCAGGACAGTGTTAATAAACACTAGTGGCCTTCTCCTCCTCTAAAATTGGCTTTTAATTGCCTAGGGGTTGAGAAGCAATCAATCAGCTGCAAGTAATTATCCAGTTGTGATCATCCCTCCCCTCAGTCAGAAGGACAAGCCATTTCACTACTACTCAAAACGTGACCACAAAAGCTCTTGGAGCCTCCAAATGCACAATGCAAGAGGGTGAAAAATCAAAATTTTATCATTTTGGCCTCTTCTGAGCCACACGTTTCTCCAGGTTCTCCCTCAGATGGACTTTGAGCACTCCAACCTTGCAGTACAAGAAAAAATTGCACTGGAAAGTCATGGTGAAAAACAAGAGCTCTGGCAGCACAAGGCATAAATCTACTCTGTAGGTTTTTGTGCCTGTAAAAGATCAACTTCTGATTTGTTAATAACATATGTGAAACTGTGTTTAAAGGAGGACACTCAAGAGCTTTGTAGTCCAATTCCCCTGCTCACCTCTGCAGCTTTTTTCCAGTTTTCAACCATTTTCAGGCTCACAGTGATGAAAGAATCTCTCTTCCTTTTGACTTTTTCTTGTTCTTCCTCTTCTTCATCATCTTCATCACTTGCTTCCTGGAGAAGTCATAGCAAGACTGAGAAAAGGTTTCTACACTTCTGGCCCCACCTCTTTTGCTGAGCAGCTACTGAAGAGGAAGGCAGCCCTCATTTTATCAGTGCTGTTATCAGTACTTTGTGTAAGGAAAAAATGAAATTAGAGGTATTAAAAATTTAAAACAAAACAAAAAAAAAAGCTCCTGAAGCTGTGCAGTTTTGCTACATAAATACAACGTCTTAATAATGTAGAACATCAAGGAGAAAACACATCGCTTGAGGCAAAATTATTATTGGAAAAGATGACATAAAAACAAACAAAAAAAATACCCTAAAAAGAAAAGCATTCACTAAAAAGAAAACACACTCTAAGGCTCTGCTTTGACAATCTTTAACAAACTTCTCTTGCTCAGTTCAAACCTCCAGCTGATTTCTGGATTACAACCTGTGAATGACCTTAAAAACTTCACATGAAATTAATTGAATTAATTGATTCCAGCACTCCAAAACATGCCCTGGTACCTCCAGTGTATCAGGGGGTCTGTGCAGTGGCTCCTCCTCATCAGAACTGTCGGAGGCATCAAAATCCAGCAACGCGCGATCGTTTTCCTCCAAAAACTTGTAGAACTCAGGATCTCTGTCCTTCAGCCTGGAGAGCTGATCCTTGTGTTCAGATGCCTTTCCTTTCTTCCTGGGGGATAAGGATTAACATTAATTAGCATTTATTCACCGCTCAGACTTTATTGATGTATATTTATTCACTTTATTCACTGCTGACGCTGTAAGGAAAACAAGCAGCCCCTGGTCACTGAGGCACAGCTGGGGCTGATTTCAGTGGTGATGATTTGTCAGGGCTGTGGCCACGGTTCTGTGCCTTGTTTAACACCTGGAGGACTTGCAAAAGGTTCTTTTCATTAAGCACTGAGAAATCTTGATAGTGAGACATCAGGCTGTATCTGGATAGTGACATGAAAACACCTTGAAAAGCCAAAATAAATCTGTTTCTCAGTTTGTCAGAATTACTCTCAGGAGCTTTTGTAAAGAACACTGAAAGCTGTACCACCAGAAAAACCTGATAATGAAAGCTCAGTAAAATTTGTTACACTCAAGAATTTGTTTTGTTACACTCAAAAATTTGTTTTCTAATAACGATTATCAGTGCCTAAGAACTACTTCATCATTTTCTATCTTGCAGATGGTCCAATCTCTCTCAGTGAGAGCACATACACAAACTGAGGACAAACAAAACAAGTTTTGGCTGACTTCAATATACCCTTAGTAAAAGACTAAAAGCACCCAGGACCCTTTCTCCAGTGCAGTTACTGACCTGACATAGGCATAATAAAAAACCCAACTGTCCTGTACCCTGTGATCTCGCTGAGGTGTTGAACAGTGCCCTTTCAGACACCTCTGACCCAGCTGATAATGAATCTATAGCATCTATTGCAGAGGCTCCAACGAATCCAACCATTTAGGTTGGAAAAGCCCTCCCAGCCCACGGAGCCCATCCTGTGCCCCATCCCCACCCTGTCCCCCAGCCCAGAGCACTGAGTGCCACGGCCAGTCCTTCCCTGGACACCTCCAGGGCTGGGGACTCCATCACCTCCCTGGGCAGCCCCTGCCAAGGCCTGGCCACCCTTTCCATGAGGAAATTCCTCCTGGTGTCCAACCTGACCCTCCCCTGGCACAGCTGGAGGCCGTTCCCTCTCATCCTGTCCCTTGTTCCCTGGGAGCAGAGCCCGACCCCCCCGGCTTCCCCCTCCTGTCAGGGAGTTGCAGACTGCAAGAAGGTCCCCCCGAGCCTCTTTTTCTCCAGACTGAGCCCCCCCAGCTCCCCCACGGTGCATCCCCATCCCTCACCTGCCCGGCTGCGCCTGCGGCTCCTTCCCCTCCTTCCCGCTCGGCCTCCGCCGCCTCGCAGCCCCCTGGGTGGGCTTCTCCTCCTCCTCCTCCTCCTCCTCCCAGCCGCCGTCAGGCTCCGACTCCGAGCTGGCAGCGAGGACCTCGTCCAGGCTCAGCTCCGCCAGGCTCCTGGGTGGGGGAAGAGAGAGGGGTGCGTGTGAGGGCGAGCTCAGCGTGGGGGCGGGCGAGCCCTCTCACCGCGGGCCGAGGAGCCGTTCCCCGGAGGTGCCCCCAGTACGGCCCGCCCGCCCTGAGCCGCCCCCAGGCCGGGTCAGGTCTGTGCCGGTGCCTCCCTCACCTCCTGCCGGGGGCCGCCATTGCCGCCTCCGCCACGCGGCCGCCACTTCCGCTCCCGGCGTGCCGCGCGCGCAGGCCACGCCCATTACCCGCAAACCACGCCCCGTTGCTGCCTTAACCGCGCCCCCAGCCGCCTTGGCTCCGCCCCCTCCACGCCGATCCCGCCCGTTCCCGGCCTGGATCGGGAATATCGTGTCCAGCTGCACCAGGAAAGCGATTTTTCCTCTGTGCTGGGCACACACCTCGAGTGCTGTGCCCAATTCTGGGCCCCCTCAGTTCAATGAGGGGCTGGAGCGTGTCAGAGACGGGAAGGGGCTGGAGCACCAGGAGCGGCTGAGGGAGCTGGGGAGGCTCAGCCTGGAGAAAAGGAAGCTCTGGGGGGACCTTCTCGCTCTCTGCAACTCCCTGACAGGAGGGGGGAACCGGGGAGGGTCGGGCTCTGCTCCCAGGGAACAAGATAGGACAAGAGGAAACGGCCTCTAACTGTGCCAGGGGAGGGTCAGGTTGGACATCAGGAGGAATTTCCTGATGGAAAGGGTGGTCAGGCATTGGAAGGAGCTGCACAGGGAGGTGGTGGAGTCTCCGTCCCTGGAGGTGTCCAGGGAAGGCCTGGCCGTGGCACTGAGTGGCTGGGGGACAAGGCGGTGATAATCGGGCACAGGGTGGACTCGATGATTCTGGAGGTTTTATCCAAACTCAAGGATTTTGTGACTCCCCGTCCAGGCCACGCCCACCCCACCTGGCCACGCCCCTCAATCATTCACCCCGCCCCCTCCCGTGGCTCGCAACCACAGGGGCGGGGTCTTCACGCTTGGCCACGCCCCATTTCCAGCTAGACCACGCCCGTCCCGCACATAGCCACGCCCCTCCCTGGTGGCCCCGCCCCACGCCCCCCTGTCGGCGGGGCCGCAGCGGGGCCGGTGCCGCTCGCTCCGGACCCCCGGACCCGACACGGACACACGTGCAGGGTCGGGCCGGGCCGTGCCGCGGGGTTATTCCGGGTGACGGAGGAAGCCGCAGCCGCGGGGGCCGCCCCGGCTCGAGGAGGAGCCGCCGCTGCCGCCGCGCACCTGCCCGCCCCCGGCCCGCCCCGTCTCTCCCCGCCGCGGGGCCGGCGGTAGCGGTGCGGGTGTAGCGGCGCCCCGCAGCATCCCCCGGGCTGGGCCGTGGCTGCAGCGGAGCCGTGAGTACCGCCGAGGCACGGCCCTGCCGCCACCTCCTCTTCCTCTCCCTCTTCTTGTCCCTCTCTCTCTTCCTCTCCTTCTCCCTCTCCTTTTTCCTCTCCCTCCCCCTTCCTTCTTCTCCCTCTCCTTCCCTCTCTCACTCTTCTTCTTCCTTCTCCTCTCCCTCTTGCTCTGCTCTCTCTTCCTCTCCCTCTGCCTTTCCTTCTCCTTCTCCCTGTCCTCCTTCTCCCTCTTCTTCTTTCCCTCCCTCTCCTTCTCCCTCTCCTTCTCCCTCTCCTTCTGTCTCTTCCTTTCCTTCTCCCTTTTATTCTTCCTTTCCCTCTCCCTTTCTCTCTCCTCCTCCCTTTTCCTCTCCCTCTTCCCCTCCGTCTCCCCGGCAGGGCCAGGGGACCCGGACCCCGCGGGAGGAGAGGCAGCCGGAGGGGTTATGGGGTGTGGGGCAAACCGGAGGGGTTACCGGGGGGGCTGGGGGGACAGGCAGCAGGGGGGATCCCCGAGAGGAGCTTCCCCACTCCACTGCTCCTACGCATCCCCCCTGGGAAGGCAAGTTTGCTCTCGGGGTCTGGGGGAGACCTTTTCCAAAGGTTTGGTACAACCGGTGCCGCTTCCAAAACATTTCCAAAGGTTTGGAACAGTCGATACCGTCTCCAGCCTCTGCACCGCGGCATCCCCGTGGCCGAGGCCGGCAGCATCCCTGTGCTGAGCGTGCCCTCCTTTCCCTGTCCTCTGCCAAGTCCTGGAGAGATCCCGTTGGTAAAGGGAAAAGCCGCAGCTCTGGAGCCCGGGGAGCAGCCGCAGAGAGGGGTCTGGCCTGGCCGTGGTGTTCCTTGCCCTCGGTGGAAGCACACGGGTATCAGTGTTTTGTTGGTGATGGGGGAGCTGAAGGACACGGGGAGAAATGTTGCCTCGGGTTTTCTGGAAACTTGGGAGTGGGGAAGGGGGGGAAGGAAGTAGGACACAGCTTTTTTGTGGCCTCTGCAGTGACTGTCAGGGCAGAGGGCTCTCCTTGAGCTACAACATCGCTGCTGCTGCTGGAGCTGATCCTGGGAGCAGCAGGCCAGGCAGGCAGCTGGTTTGGTACTGCTGGCTGAGCAAATGCCTCCCTCTTCAGGGAGTGACAGCCCTGTGACCTCGGCTTCCCCACGGCAAGGAAGGGTGTCAGTCCCTGCTCTGTGTGTCAGTCCCTGCTCTGTGTGTCAGTCCCTGCTCTGTGTGTCAGTCCCTGCTCTGTGTGTCAGTCCCTGCTCTGTGTGTCTCTACTCTGGCCACCGACCAGGCTTTGTGCCAGGCTCAGACTGCAGAAGCAGTGGCCTTGCTTTGGTGGGGTCTCTGCACAGGGAGACAGCTATCCTGTGGCTTCAATGCTTGCTATGCCATAGCACTGTTTTGGGGGTCTCTCTGTTGCTGGAGACCACCAGGAGGGAGGTTAGTTCTGGAGTGATTCAGCAACATGTGGATATTTGGGTGCTTTTGATCCCAGCAGTCTGGCCTTTTGCACCAGGAGATGCTGCTCTGTTACAGGTTTGCTGTTTTGAGGCTCACTAACACTTCAGAGTCTAATGGCCTTTTGGTTATGGTCCCTACAGCTAAACAAACATCTCTGTGGAATCTCCTCCCTCTGCACCCCAAGTTTCTCTCCCAAGCCATGAACATCTGCTGGAAATCCTTTATTCAGCATAGCAGTGAGTAAGACTCAGAGATGTTGGATGTAGAGATCTGAGTTTCCTTCCTGAGCACTGACTGATTAATGAATCACAGCAAATAGCATCTAATTCAGAGCACACCAGGAGCTGGCAGGCATAACAGGCACCTGCTCTCTTGGCTTGATAGCCCAGGATCCAAATGGAGCTGCTCCATAGCATCTTGGGTAGCAGGGATGGTCCCTGATGCTTCCTGTCAGCTGAGGTCAGCTTGGTGGGGGTGGCAGTGGAGCGTCTTTGTTCTGCCAGAAAAGACAGTGGCCATCTGCCCTTGCTCCCTCAGCATCAGTCCGGGTCTCTGTAGATGGAGTGGCGCATGGAAATCAAGGCAGGAGTGCTCTGAAGGCTGGAGAACTGCTGGGGAGATGGTTCTGGGCTTGTTTTGCTGCATTTCAGGCTCAGCAGCTTAAAAAAATACTGAAGTCCCAGTGCTTCTGGATTTCCTCAGGTGCTGGAGCCCTGCCTCCAAACCCTTAGGCAAGCTGGGCTTGGGAGGCTTGAGAGGCTTCATCCTTTCTGTCTGGCCTGCTGGAACTGGCTGCAAACCTTCTCTAAAGGATGTGACTCCTCAGGGGCAGGAATTCGAGCTCCTTCAGCTGAAATTCCCAGGGCCTTGGCAGGCCCCCAGTTGTACCAGCGAGCTCAAGGCCATTATGTCACATGCTCCTCATAGCTCAGTTTTCGTGTATGTGGCCCGTGCTGTTGCCTGCCAGAAGATGTGAGGGAATTCTCTTGTTTTCTGGCTTGAAAACAGGCTCCCACTGCTCCACAGTGTGAAGCTGAGAGCTGGTTCAGAGGAGGAGAGGTGGATCTGGTCTGGTACGTCCATGCTGCCAGCCCACACTACAACAGAGGCTGGCAGGAGGCTTTGTAAACCCTCCAGGAACGTGGTGTGGGTCCTGTGGAAGGGGTGAGCTGGGGTGCAGGTGGTGACCTCCTCTGGTGACCTCCTGGTCTGGAGAGTCACTCCTGGGCAGCACTTGCCAGCGGAATTATTCCGTGTCTTGTCCATCTGTAAAAGATCTGCCTGCTTGTTTGCAGCCAGCAGATCCAGGTGCTTTTTCCTCCTTTCCCTGCTTCTGGAGCCACGAGGCCACGCTGCCCCGTGTCATGGAGTCAACCTTCCCTTTAGGAGCCAGGTGGTGTCTCCTGCTGGGTCTCCCCAAATCCATCACTGTTTTCTGACACCAGGGCACTGCTGAGCATGAGTGACCTGCTCTGAACTACCCCACCTTCTCAAGCCACCATCACCTCGCACAGCAGACAGGTAAAGGGCACAATCCCTCTTTAAACAGCTGCTGGCCAAGGATGTTGCAGATAGAGAGGGAGCTCCTGGGCAAGTCTAGGAGCCAGGAATATGGAGGTGCTCGGATACAGGCTGCCTCCAGTGACCTGAGTGCTCTCATCTTGTGTTTACCTGTCTGAAAAACGATCTGGGGACAGAGATGTCCGTCACAGGGAAGGGCAGAGGGACGGCAGGAATACCACAGTGTTGGGCAGTGCAGCTGAAGCTGGTGATTATCACTGCTGCCTGGAGAGGGGACTTGCTTTATGCCTGTGTGTGGAGGTTTGGCACTGCTGGTGCCGAAAAATAGCTCTGGATGCGACAGTAGCTCCTCTCCCGTGCCTGCTGGGGGACACTGGGAAGGGGGAATTAGGACACGACCCACATTTCCAGTCCTTGAGAGAGTCAAAGGGCTCATTTCACTTAGGCCTTGGTGTACTTTGGGCTGGACTGTAGGAGCTCCTGTGTAACCCCAGTGCAGCTGCAGAACTGCACATTTTGCTGAGCATCTCAAGGCATGAATCCGTTTCCATTTCTTGTTCCTCCCTAACCTGGGAGTTCAGCAGTCCCAAACCTATTCGAGTCCTGACCCTCACAGCCAATTACTTGAAAATGACCCAAGCCTTAGCTCAGATGCCTCTAAATCCCTCAACCGTGGAGTCCTGCTTGGAGCAGCAAAATAAGGAAGGAGAAAGCTGAATTTGAAGATGTCTGCAGGAAGAGCTGCTGCCTGTGGGAAGTGAGGGAGAAGGCTGTGTACTCAGGTGGGCACCAAGCAGGCTGGATGCCCTTCATCTCTCTCAGGTATGAGAATGTCCCAGTGCATTGAGGCTCCCTCCTCTCACAGCTGAAGCACTTCTGAGCGTGAGCTGGGGTGACTTGAGAGCAACTTCGAGCTGAGCTTCCAAACAAAGCTCCCCAGGAGTATTGGGGAGCGAGGCTTTAATTAGAAAAGACCTCCAGCCTTCTGTGTGCACCAGGGGCCGATTGATTACAACCCAGTGAGTTGCTGAAAGACACTGCCGAGGTCAATGTGCTGAATGCCCTTCTTGCCTGGAGCCAGCACTGTCTCTGTGCTGTAGAGCTGGCAACTGTGTGCAGCTTTTCCCCGTCCTCCCCACCCCCTTTGCCGAGGCTCCACATCCTCTCTGGCAGCTTGTCACTTCTCTGCAGATGTCTAGACAGGAGGATTCAGTGCGTGTCAGTTATGCCTAATTCATTAAAAAAAAAAAAAAAAAAACCCACACCACCAAACCCTACTGAGAGCTGGGGATTCTCAGTCCTGCAGACTCAGCGCTGTCTGCGGTGCCCCGGTGCTGCCTTCAGGCTGGCTCAGAGCAGATTAATTCCATGGATCCGCAGGAGCAGCGAGTGCCTCGGCTCCCACCCGCAGCGGGGGGGGCTTGGGGAAGGGCTGGCAGGGCTGGCAGAGGGAACAGCAGAGAGGAGAGGAGGTGGGGAGAGGTGTTTGGGGCTGGGTGTGTGCTCCTCCTTGCTCCTCACCCCACTTGTGTGTTCTCGGCTCCGTCAGGAGCTGCCAGAGGGCTCCAAGGTGTCCAAGTCCTCAGTCTGGGCTGAAACCACCAGCTTCCCAGTTCTGGTGTCCCTCCTGAAGGCAGAGCTGGTGCCAGGAATGACAACTCCCTTTGCCACGTTATGTCACACTTCCCATCGGCGTTTTCAGCCCTCACCCCTGTCCAAGGTGCAGCTGTAAATCAGCCCTTGCAGGACCTGCAGTTCAGAGCATCTCACTCCCTTGTCCTGAACCGGCTTCCTCTCTCTGCTTCCTTCCAGTTGCTGACTCTTCTAGACTGAACAGGCAATGAACCTTGTATTAAAAAGGCTGAATGTGAGCTGCTGCACACTGTCAGTGTCTGCCTGAATTCCCTGGATCCAGGCAAAGCCTTACAGGGGCTGAGGAGGGACTGAACCCCAAAGCATTGTTTCTTTTTATCTGTGTCAGTGACACTAATGTGACATGTCCTGATGGGGACAACTGCCTGGATTTAGTGCCTGCTTTGCATCTGAGTCCTGGGCATATACAACTGGATGATTCCCAATCCTCTTTGCTTGTGTTTATCATAGGGAAGGGAGCAGGAAAGGTAGGAACACAATATATTTTGTAGTAGGCAGTTCCAGGCCCTCTGAAAGAAGGAAGAATTTGGGATATCCAGGCTTGGGCTGTAAGTGCACTGTATATCTGCTGTAGTCTGTGAAAACAGCCCTGGCATCTGATTATTGATGCAAAAATGCTGCTAATTGTCTGGTAGGTTAAAGCTTCTGCTTAGTGGGCTTCAGAGCCATGGAAGGGTTCCACAAAAGGGTCAGCTCAGCCAAATTTGGGGTCTCCACAAAGCCATAAGGAAGGTGAAATGTGCAGTGAGCTCAGCTGCATCTCTGGATGCTGGCACGAGCTCTGTTAATGGTCTTACAGCACAACAGCCTCTGTTGTTACTGCCAGCTCAGCTGTTTGTGTCCCTTGGCTGTGGAAGGGAAGGAAGAGTCTGCAGGAACACAGGAGCACATCGTGTCTTCCCAGCCCTGCTCCCAGGAGGGAAGTTGTGCCCACCCCCACAGCTGGGCAGGGCTTTGCCTGTGCCCCCTTGGGCTGCCCCAGTCTGCTCCTGCCTTGAGTGGTGTTGCACGTTTCAGTTCTTTGGGGAATGCTGGACTGGAAAATGGGCTGTGAATCCTCTCAGAGGAGGTTAAAAAGGAGAATTCTGATTTCTGGTGCAGGGGAGATGGAGATGCACTTGGAAGGAGTGATTCCCGCTTGTGACTCCACTGTGGTCCCCTCCTTCCCCAGGGATCCGTGCTGTTGCTCCACCCCTGGGTGAGTTCTGTGCTGTTGTGGGGGCACTGCTTTGGCTCCAGCACTGGGAGTGGAGATCTGAAGCTGCTGGGCACAACTGAGTAGCACTGCCAGCAGCCCCTGCCTTCCTAGGGCTGAGCCAGAGGAGGTCTGCAGGCAAAAACAGGGACTCTGTGCCTGGGGAATGGACCCCCAGTGCCCAGGAACGGGGTGGGGGGACCACTCCCCTGAAGGGGAAACTGGTCTGTGCTGCCCTGTTAGTGCTGTGACACACTGGGGTCGAGGTGAGTGCCAAGCAAGGGCTCCATGGCTTTTCCACAGGTCCAATGGCAGCAGTTCTGTGGGAGATGCAATGATGTGCACACAGAACAGGGCTTTGTAACTGGCTTACTGGGATATCAAAAGTAATGGCCAGTCTTCACGAGCGAAGATTTGGGAAAGGTCATTAACCCTTCCAGCCTGCGCAGTGGATTTTTAGGTGAGACACAGCGTGCGCTGAACTGAGCCCACCCTTTAGTCCTGAGGTTCATCTGCCGGGGCCGAGCAAGGGGCCTCTGGTGGTCTAGTGGTTAGAGTGTCTGACTCTCACCGCTGCGACCCGGGTTCGATTCCCGGCCCCCTGGGCAGGTGGAGCTCATCAGCCGTGGAAGGCAATCCACCTAAGAGAAGGTCACTCTAAACAAACCTACATCCTGGGGACCTCACTGCCACTGTCCAAGCTTTGCTTGGCCCCGGCAGATGAACCTCAGGACTAAAGGGTGGGCTCAGTTCAGCGCACGCTGTGTCTCACCTAAAAATCCACTGAGCAGGCTGGACGGGTTAATGACCTTTCCCATATCTTCGCTCGCGAAGACTGGCCATTACTGGTATATCAACACAGGGATAGGGCACACGTGGAGGTGATGGATTTAAGGACGATTGTGTGTCAGGCCTTAGGGCATGGCATGCCTTGGAGTAGGGGATGTCCCCTCATCCCCAGCAAAGCCTCATCCCCAACATCTGACCAGCTGCACAGGATGTGTCCTCGTGGTCTCCCAGCTCGCCTGCCAGACACAAAATCCCCATCCAGGCTGTCAACAAAAAAGCCATTCTCCAGGGCCTTCCTGGGGAAAGGGCAGGCTCGGAACTCCTCCCTGGAGGATACTCTGTTCCCTGTTTATTGTTCAGCACACTTCTTTTCACTCCCAGCAAAATATGGTTTTTTTGTGCAGAGAGAACAGGCCTCCCTTTGGGGGCAGGGATCATTTGCATTAATTAACAGAGCTGTTATGCATGGCCACGCTCTGTCGCATGGAAGCCAAACAAACGCCTTCTTTTTTATTCCTTTTTTTTTTCCCCCCCTTTTTTTTTTGCCATAACCTCGGAGTTATTACAAGTCAGGCACCGCATCCGCTCCGGCCGACGCGTGACACGTGCATTCCTGCTGCTGTGTGCTCCACAAAAGTGGGCTTGTGTTTCCTTTCCCCCTCTGGAGCTCTGGACACTGCTTCACTGTCTCCCGTGGTCCAGGCACTGTTCCCCATTAATTACATCTTAGTGGCGCTCGTAGGCCTTCATTTCCTGGGAATGAAGTTTTAACAAGGAAATCAGGAATATTTAGTGCTGCCAGCGAGGTGGAGGGTTCAGCACTGGGAGCAGCATGAGCAGCAGTGAGGTGTTCCTTTCTGTTCCTTTCTGTTCCTTTCTGTTCCTTTCTGTTCCTTTCCTTTTTCCCCACTGGTTATATATTCTGATCCATTAAAGCAAAAGAGCTCTGTTGGGAACAAGTTGTTGTGGAGCAGAGGGGACAGTGGGAAGTGGGACTGAAGGCGTTGTACCCACTTCAAACCTTCAAGCAGCCCCATGCCAGGGCTTCAGGAGGGTGACCCTGTCCCAGAGGGGCTGGTGGGTGGGTGAGTGGCTCTTCAGAGCTGGATTGCTGAGGCTGTGGTGTGGCTGTAGCCAAAAAGCCATCAAGCAGAGCTGGTTCAGGCTGCCTGTGGGACTGTCCCCTGGCTGTGGAGATGCTCGTGGAGCCCGGTGGCAGTGGGATGGCATCTCCCTCTGGCCCTGCTCCCTGCTTGGTCGCATCAGAGACCAGGTGACACAGAGGGGACATAGCTCAGGGTGGCCCCTCGCCGGTGACAGCAGGGAAGTGTGCCTGGAGAGGGGACTGAGCAATCGCTGCTCTCCTGGCCACGAGAATCATAGCAAGGAAAGATAATGTCACCCCTTGTCATCCTGCATTTGTACTTACCCAGAGTCATGCAGTGACTCAGTGGCAGGGCTGGGAAGGGAGCCCAGCGCTTCCGACTCTTTGGAATCGCGTTTGATTCCTGCCGTGCCAGTGCGTCGGCCGCAGCCACCTTCAGCCTGCTGTGCCCTCTCTGTCCCTCCCCTGACCGCTGGAGCCCACTTCTGTGCTCCTCCAGGGTGGCTAACCTTCCCTCACAAGTCTCCCAGAGCACAAGGAGAAGAAATCCCATCTTTTCCCAGCTCCTCTGCCCTGGCCTGCGTTGTCCCCCTGCTGCTGAGGAGCTGGGAGCTCCCGTCCCTCACTCCCAGCACCCAGGAGGGATGAGGCGAGTGCTTTAGAGCTGGAACATGACTTAAATACTGATGGGGACGAGTATGCTCAGCAGTGTGTTACACAGAGAAACCAGCTCAAGCAGGTGAGGAAAACCCTTGGGCTTGCAGCTAGGGATGGGAATAAAGGTGGGGAAGCACCGTCTGCCCTCTGCCCTAAACCTGCTCTAGGAAAGGACCTCTGGAGCCCAGGCAGAGATGTTAATAACTATAAACCTCCTTTGTGCGGGCATCTCTTATGTCCACACGTGAATTAGGAGAGAGAGGGTATCCTGGGGATGCTGCAGCTTTCCCAGGGGTGTAGGAGGAGGCCAGTTCCCTCACAGGCCCTTCTTTCCTGTCAAGGGCACCGTGGCATCCTGCTCTCACTACTGGAAAGCATCAACAGGCACTGCCTTTGTTGTGTGCCCCTGAGCCTTCCCCGCTGACAGCGAGATGAGGAATCTCGTATCACAGAGGCTGATGCAAATAGAAAAGGGCATCGCAGGCTCCTCTCCGCTCAGGAAACATGTTTATTCATCTTTTTTCCTCCCCCAGACTCTAGTACGTGATACAACTGCTACTTAAAAAAAAAAAAAAAGGAATAGATGGCTGCATTCGTGGCTGAGCAGACACAGAGCGGTGGGTTTCTATTTTTAGGCCCGGCTCGGCGGGTGTAGGTGTGAGGGGAGGCTGAGGGGATTCTCTCGCCGCAGGGATGCGGGGGCAGGCGCACGCGTGCAGCACACGGCCTTATTTTCTATTCAAGCTGCCTTTTTTCTCCTGCTCCCTCCCCCCTCCTTCCTCCTGCTGCTCAGTCATTCCCTCCTCACTCCCCCACCTTTTGGGTGATGCTGGCACGGAGACAGTCAAACGCCTTTGGAAACAGCGTGAGCAGCCTGGATGGAAACAGCGTGGGGAGGAAACGTCTCAGCACAAATAAAATGCCCTTGTTCCCTGATTAGGCAGTTTTTGTTTTTATAGAGTCATTGAATCACAGAATAACCTGGATTGGAAGGGAACTTAAAGATCAACCAGTTCCAACCCCCTGCCATGGGCAGGGACACCTTCCACTAGACCAGGTTGCTCCAAGCCCTGTCCAACCTGGCCTTGGGCACTTCCAGGGATGGGGTAGCCACAGCTTCTCTGGGAAACCTGTGCCAGGGCCTCACCACCCTCACAGGGCAGAATTTCTCCCCAGTATCCCATCTAGCCCTGCCCTCTCTCAGTGTGAAGCCATTCCCCCTTTTCCTGTCACTCCATGCTCTTGTAGAAGTCCCTCTCCATCTTTCTTGTAGGTTCCCTTCAGGTACTAGATGGCCACAATTCAGTCACCCAAAGCCTTCTCTCCTTCCTTGCTGAAATTCTAACACGAGCAAGGGGATCCCTGGAGCTCCAACCCCCTCACGGGGAAGAATTTTTTCCTAATCTCAAACCTGAATTTCCTTCTTTCAGTTTGAACCCAAATGAGCAGTACAACATTTCCCTGGCAGGGGCTGGTTCGAGCTGTTGTTGCACAGGATCTTTGAGCAGTGCTGAGGGTTGTCTGGGGCTAGAGCTGTTCCTGCCTGGCTAATACTTTATTTTTCCCCCATGCCAGAGCCGGTGAGAAGGGGAAAACCCCCCAGCTCCGTCCTGCAGCCATGGAAGGGGGTGTGCAGCTCCTCAACCGCGACGGGCACAGCATCTCCCACAACTCCAAGCGCCACTATCACGATGCCTTCGTGTGCATGAACCGCATGAGGCAGCGGGGGCTGCTCTGCGACATCGTGCTCCATGTGGGCACCAAGGAGATCAAGGCCCACAAGGTGGTGCTGGCGTCGTGCAGCCCGTACTTCCACGCCATGTTCACAAGCAAGTAGAGAGTCCTCCCTTCCCCCGTGGACAGGCTCTCCCTGCCCTCCAAACCCTCTGCTCTCTGCCAACCCCTCCGCTTTCTGCCCTGCTCCCTGTTCTCGCTGCCCTGCTCTATGGAATTGTGGTGCCGGTGTGTCATTTCAGTGAGGAAGTGCAGTAATATTCCTCCTTTGACTCCCTACCCTGAATCCCTGTGCCCATAACCCCTGCAGAGGTGTCTTGATGCCCCTCCTGCAGACCTGGACCCCCTTCCCTAGAGCCCACTCCTTGCTAAGAGAGGGGCAGAAGACCCTCCTGGGCTGTGATGTGGAGGTGGATGAGGCTTGGTTAGACTCTCCTGTGGGGAAACAAGTCCTGCTGAGGGATTTTTGCTCATTGTTGTGTCTGTGTTGCCCCAGATGAGATGAGTGAGAGCCGCCAGACCCACGTGACGCTGCATGACATCGACCCCCAGGCCCTGGAGCAGCTGGTGCAATACGCCTACACCGCCGAGATCGTGGTGGGAGAGGGGAACGTGCAGGTAGGAGCTTCCCCCCCCAAAATCCCTCCCTTCCACAAAGCTGTTCTGTACGAAACTCGCCTCCTGGGGACTCTTCTTTCCTTCTGCTCAGCGCTGCCAGCTGTTTTTTCCGTGAAGGCAGCTGGATCTAGCAGTGGTCAGGGAGTTCACCTGCTTCTCCATACCCAGAGGGGCTGGGAATGGCTCCTCAAAGAACTGTGCGATGCCCAGGTCTATTCCTGAGCACCTGCCATTCTCCTGGCCCTGTGGGGTGTTACTGGTGTCCTTCTCAGCTGTTCTTTACCTTAGTTCTCTTGGAAACAAGGAATGCTCTGTCCTTCCCTGCGCTTGTGTGCCTGAAGGTGCTCAGTAAACCCGTTCTGCTCGTGGCTTGCAGTGAGACGAGGGTGGAAACGGTTTCCTTGCCCTGGAAACTCTCTTTTCCCCCGTTCTTTCCCACTGCCAGACACTTCTTCCTGCTGCCAGCCTGCTTCAGCTCAATGGTGTGCGGGATGCTTGCTGCAAGTTCCTGCTCAGCCAGCTCGACCCATCCAACTGCCTGGGGATCCGGGGCTTTGCTGACACCCACTCCTGCAGTGACCTCCTCAAGTCTGCTCACAAGTACGTCCTCCAACACTTCGTGGAGGTGTCCAAGACAGAGGAGTTCATGCTGCTGCCTCTTAAACAGGTGAGGCCCCTGACGGGAGTGTGAAGGTGTGGGTGCAGCAAAGCTTCTCGTGCTCTGTCCTGGAAGGCACAGCCTGTGTGTCAAAAGCCCAAGGAACCTGCACTGAGGGGACAGGATTTGGCAAGGGAACATACCCAGATTCTGTGCTTTGATCCTCTCTGTTCAATGTGTGGGAAGATTGCTGCCAGAGAACTTAATCCCATGGGAATTAAGGATGGGAGGGTAGGACAGAGGATAATTTTGGTCACTGGTGCTTGCCATGTGAGCTCTGAGCACACAGTCCAAGGAATAAGTCCTGCCTGCCCTGGTCACGTAACTGTGATGTTTAATTCAGAGCTCAGCTAATGTTTCCTGCTGTTCATCGTGTGCCAGGATGGCCCCTGGCTCCTCTGCTGTGCCCTGGCCAGGAGGCAATCCTGGTCCTTGCTCTGCATCACCTGACCCTGTGTGGCCCCTCAGCAGGACCCAGACACCTCCTTTCACCCCTTCTTGGGGCAGGGGGTGCATGGCAGTGAGGGGAGGTGCATATCTCCACCTGCTCTGGCTCCACAGTCCTTGGCAAGTGAAATGAGTGCTCTGGAACCAGCCAGGCCATGCGGGTCTGTCCCATGAAATATTGAAGGGGCCTGTGCAAGCAGAGTCGTCTGCCTGCTCTCACTGACGTTGATTGGAAGTGTCAGGAATTGCAGCAGCTTCAGCCACAGAAGGGGGGGATGAGCTGGGGGATGATGACTGAGGGCAGAGCTGTCTCCACACCAGCTGCACCTCCCGGTTTGGGGGACCCAGGGCTGTGCACCCTTCAACCACCAGCATCTACAGGAGGCAGGGCTCTGCCTCTGGCAGTGCAGTTCCTTGGAGGTGTGAATGTCTCCTCTCCTCCCCGTCCATACCAACCAACACTGCCCCTTTTACCCCGCTCTGCAGGTGCTGGACCTCATTTCTAGTGACAGCCTCAATGTGCCATCGGAGGAGGAGGTGTACCGGGCTGTGCTCAGCTGGGTCAAACATGATGTGGACAGCAGGAGACAGCACGTCCCCAGGGTGAGTGTGTGCTGGGAAGGTGGCCTGGATCTACCCACCAGCTCTGAGTGCCTGGGCTGGGTGGGGACACGGCTGGAGGGACAGCAGGTCCCATCATACCATTTCCAGTCCAGATTGGAAGGGACCTTAAAGCTCCTCTCATTCCACCCCACTGCCATGGCCATGGACACCTTCCACTAGCCCAGGTTGCTCCAACCTGGCCTTGGACACTTCCAGGGATGGGGCAGCCACAGCTTTTCTGGGCAACCTGTGCCAAAGCCTCACCACCCTCACAGAGAAGAATTTCTCCCTAATATCCAACCTAAATCTCTCCTCTTCTAGTTTAAACCTGTTCCCCCTTGCCCTATCCCCATCCAAAGGCCTCCTCTCCCCTCGCAGCTCATGAAGTGCGTCCGACTGCCCCTGCTGAGCCGGGACTTCCTCATGAGCAACGTGGACACGGAGCTGCTGGTGCGGCACCACTCGGAGTGCAAGGACCTGCTGATCGAAGCCCTCAAGTACCACCTCATGCCGGAGCAGAGGGGGGTCCTGAGCAACAGCCGGACGAGGCCGCGGCGCTGCGAGGGGGCCAGCACGGTGCTCTTCTCCGTGGGTAAGGCCCTGCGAAGGGAGCCCCCTCACCCGCATCCCGACCCCGTCCTGGGGCCCTGTGGGCCGGGTTTGCTCTGTTTGCCCTCCCTCCCAGGTGGAGGGAGCCTGTTTGCCATCCACGGGGACTGTGAGGCCTACGACACGCGGACAGACCGGTGGCACATGGTGGCCTCCATGTCGACGCGCAGGGCCAGGGTGGGCGTCGCGGCCATTGGGAACAAGCTCTACGCTGTGGGCGGGTAAGGAGGGCACAGGAGGTGGCGGGGTGTGAGCAGAGCCTGTGGGGAGAGCAGCACAGAGCTGCCCCGGGAGCAGGGGTGGCCAGCAGAGCCTCCTGGAGCTCACCTCTGGATGAACCATCCAGGATCTCTGGGGTAGCAACTGAAAAGCCCTTCCCTGCCCTGTGGTTCGGAGCTGTGAGTTCACCAGCTCTTGTTTTGGTGGTGGCCGTGTCCTGGACTGGCATGGTTTCACCCCCATTTCTCTCAGAATCACAGAATGGTTTGGGTTGGAAGGAACTTTTGAGGTCATCTTGTTCCAACACCCTGCCATGGGCAAGGACACCTTCCACTAGCCCAGGTTGCTCCAAGCCCTGTCCAACCTGGCCTTGGACACTTCCAGGGATGGGGCAGCCACAGCTTCTCTGAGCAGCTTGTTCTCCCTTTTTCTCCCAACAGCTACGATGGGACCTCTGACTTGGCTACAGTGGAGTCCTATGATCCTGTCACCAATTCCTGGCAACCTGAGGTGTCCATGGGCACCAGGAGGAGCTGTCTGGGTGTAGCAGCACTTCATGGGCTTCTCTATGCTGCTGGGGGGTACGATGGGGCCTCGTGCCTGAACAGGTAGGGGATTGCATTGCTACAGGCTCCTCCACTGCTTGTGCATGCAATGTCCTTGGTGCTGGGAGCCTGGGAGCCCTGCTCCTGACCCATGGACTGACCCCAGGGTAGATGTGTCACAATCCAATGGGGAAAAACCATTCTGTAGCCCTCTGCCACAACAGGACGCAGCCTTTGTCAGTTCTTCCCTCCTATTTTCCCTGTCTATTCCCAAGCTTCCTTGGGAGCTGCCCCTGAGGGCCTGTGTCAAAGAGCTTTGACCTGGGCTTTTCCAGTGTCACACCTTATGTTCCTGTGTCCCTGCCTGCTGCAGCGCAGAGAGGTACGACCCTCTGACAGGCACCTGGACATCCATCGCTGCCATGAGCACCAGGAGACGCTACGTCCGGGTGGCAACTCTAGGTGGGTGATGGCACGAGGACCTCACGGGCTTCTGTGCAGGCTCTCTTGCATTCCTGGTGGTTCCTTTTGATGTTCTGTCCTAGTTCCTGCCCCCTCTCCCTAGATTCCCTTCGCTATGAGTCCGGATGGCCCAGCCATCCCTCTGCCATGTCCTGACATGCTGCCTGCCTCTGCCCTCCTCCTCAGTCTCCTGAGTAACTGGGTTTCATCACACTCTGTAGGCAACTCCTGAGGGGACCCACGACTTGTTCTTTTGTGCCCCTTCCACTCTGGAGCATGGGACTGGCTGTGAATGATCCCCTGTCCCTAGAAAAGGAAGGGACAACCTTGTTAGTCCTTCAGTATGAAAGCGGGACAGTCCTTTTGCTCATGATCCAAGTCCCACTCTCAGCCAAGCAGGTGCTGGGCCTCCCTGGGGATGCTTCCCACCTTCCCAAGAACTGCCACATGGTGTCCTAGTGTCCCCATGCCTCTCCCCTGCCCTGTTCTCTGGTTTCAGCTCTCAGTGCTGACTCAGAGCTTCCCTCCCCTCCATCACCAGCTCACACTGTGCCTGCCACAGCCGATACTGGCATTCCCCTGCTCCATCCTCCACCACTAAAAATAGCCCATTGCTCCAGCAGGGAGCACTTGCAGCTCCTGTAATGAGGAGGTCAAGAAGCAGCAGGCAAAGGAGTTCTCTGGGAAGCTTGGAGCGTGGCAGAGAAACTGCCTGATGAATATTTCACAACACTCCATGCTGGAAGGGGAGGGGAGCTTGGGGAGCCCTGCTGAGAGGAGCTTGGCTGCCTGGGGCACGGGAGGCTCAGCTCATACCTGTGTGGGCACCCATAGGGTGGTACCTGTAGTGTTGTGGGACCTGTGTTGGGACAGGGACCATGTCTTTAGCTAATTCCAGTGCCTGTGTGACTGTCTTTGCAGAAGGCAACCTCTATGCTGTTGGGGGATACGACAGCTCATCCCACTTAGCCACGGTAGAGAAATATGAGCCCCAGGTAAATACAAGAGAGATTTTTATAAACTTTTTCCTTCTCCCCTCCTCTGTGGTGCCTGAAAGGACTTAAGCCACTGTGCATGACTGTAACAAGGAGTTTCAGCCCCTTCCACAGCGACAGAGAATCCGGGGTGTGATCCTGAGCAAAATGAGCCACAGCTGATCCATGCAGGCTCTGAGATACCACTGCGAGATTTCAGCCACCAGAACACTCTCTACCCTGCTGCCTGTAGGCCAGCTCGAGTTCTGTAGGAAGAACAGTCCTGGTACATGCCCTGAGCTGTTTCCAGCTTCCAGCTGAGGTCCTGCACTGTGCACATCCAGTGTGGTGAACAGGGAGTGTGGCAGGCTGGGGACATGTGTTGGGCCTGAGGACTCACAGCTCTGCTTGAGCAGGGGAGATTGGTGCAAAAAATAAGAGAGAAGGTCCTGGAGGTTTTTCATGAGCTGTGCAGTCGTACTTGCAAAATACAATACTTGGAAATAGATACAGCTCAACCCCCATGGCCAGGCTGGATTCAGCTGTGACACGACTGGTGGCCTGGCACAGGGATCTCTGTGCCCCTGGGATGGCAGGACTCCTGCCAGCTCCCACAGCGCTTTCCTGAGCCACTCAGCAGAGATTTCTGTGCTGCTCTTACTGTGGCAGAGTGGAAGGGAAAGCAGTGGGTTCCCCCCAGAAGTCCTTTTGGGGGGGGAGGACTGTCATGCCAGGAGCTGTGTGGTTAGGGCAGGACTAATACCACAGGACCGATTTGGCCAGGGATGGGTGGAAAGTGCCCTGTACACCTGTCTGTTTGAACAACCATTGCCTTTTCCCAGATCAACACCTGGACACCCATCGCCAACATGCTGAGCCGCCGGAGCAGCGCGGGGGTGGCCGTGCTGGAGGGGATGCTCTACGTGGCTGGGGGCAACGATGGCACCAGCTGCCTTAACTCTGTGGAGCGCTACAACCCCAAAACCAACACGTGGGAGAGCGTGGCACCCATGAACATCCGCAGGTAAGGAGCCGTGCCCCGCTCCGGTGGCAGCAGGAGCGGGGATCCCATCTCGCCGTGCCTCGCTTGGCACTGCAAACTGTAAAACACAGCCTGTGCCCCCCTCCCAGGGTTTGGCTGATGCTCCTGCTGTGCTGAGAGGGGCTGGAGTGTGTGCCAGGAGGGCAGAGCAGGGGTGTTCTGCAGAGGGATTTATTCTCAGCAGTTTGTGTGGCTGTAAAGAACCGTGTGGTTCCGCTGGCTGAGGCCACGGAGATGTTGCTGGGCTGTGGGAGGATTTAAGGCTTGCAAGTCCGAGGATTTTGGGCTCCTAGAGTTTGTTATTTAGAGGTGGTGGTTCTCCAGTGGCATGAGAGTGTCAGAGTGAAGGGGAGGACCTGAGAGTCTGTGCTGCACTCTGCTTGAACTCCAATAGTTCATTTTCTCTGGGTGACTGTCAGGCTGGGCACTCCTTTTGTGGGGCCGGTTTACCCGAGGCGCTGAGCTCCCCTACACCCCAGAGCCTCACCCCGCTGCGGTCTCTGCGTGGTCGTTGCAGGAGCACCCACGACCTGGTGGCCATGGATGGGTGGCTGTACGCCGTGGGTGGCAACGACGGGAGCTCCAGCCTCAACTCCATCGAGAAGTACAACCCCCGCACCAACAAGTGGGTGGCAGCGTCCTGCATGTTCACCCGCCGGAGCAGCGTGGGGGTGGCCGTGCTGGAACTCCTCAACTTCCCTCCCCCCTCCTCACCCACCCTGTCGGTGTCTTCGACGAGCCTTTGACAAAGAATCAGGACGTACCTTACCTCAAGGGGACAGGGGTGCCTGGCAGGGCTCTAGGCCGGCCCCGAGGGGCAGCCGGTCGCTGTAGGAGGGGAGAGAAGGTCCTGGTTGGTGCCTGCAGCCCCAGCACTCCTGTGAACCCCGGAGCTGTCCCCGCTCTTGGGGCGCCCATCGGATCAGCGCGACCACAGCAGTTAGAAATGTGCTTCCTGGACGAGCACCCTCGGTCGGAGGGCGACGAGGCGGGTGCTCTCCGCTCCGCTCAGACTCATCCCACCGCCCGCCCCAAGGGCTCATATCTCCTTTGGGGAGGGGAAACTCTAAACCATTGCTGCTTCTTGGATTCACGGGATCCAGCCGGTGCCACACACGAGCACAGCCAGCCTTGGAGGCTTCCAGGAGCCCTGTGGGGTGGCTGAGGTGGGCAGCGCTCCTGCCAAGGACGCGGCGAATGTGCAACCACCGCTCCTCTGAATGTCACTGTAGCCAAACTCTTTACCAAGCCTATCGTGCACTGTTAAAGACTCTGAGGCCACTGTATGGTTCTCAATGGTGTCTCATTGATGCCTTAAAATACACAAACAGAAGAATCCCAGCTAAGGGACAGGGCCTGGAGGAGGTGAGGTTCGGAGGCAGAACTGGACGTAGCATCCTGAACCCTCCAGTGTTTCCATGCTCTGCTGGCCCCCACCTCATCCCCCGAGATCCCAGCTGGCCATTGCTCTGGGGAGTCCCAAGCCAGGCAGATGGGTCGGGTGACCTTGTTGGCATCCATGCCATTGCTGTCCCATGCTCAAAGGACTGAGTGGCTGCCTGCTCTCTGCACGTGGTCCTGGCTCAGACTGGGAAAGGATTGGCCTGTTTGCTGTTCCCCTCTCTGCAAAGCAGATTCTGGGTTTGTGGAGAGCTATCAGTTCTTTAAAAAGAACAGTCCAGCCTTCTAAATGAGGAGGATTGCCTGGCATTACTTCTTTTGGGTATTAATTTTTTGCCTTTTTTTATTTGAATGCTAATATTTTAGTTTTTAATGACTTCATATCCCTTTGTTTTCTACGTTACCCTGGTATTCCCCATCCCATCTGCTTCTAAGGCAGCAGAAGGGATGCAATTACTTTTCTCATTTGTTGAGGAGACGATGCCTGTGTCCTGGAAGACGTTCTCTATGGATGTGTGGGGTGTGTGCATGTGTGAGCTACCAAATGTGCAGCGAAAGCAGCACGGAAGGGACCATTTGCAATTAGCGACTCCCTGGCAATTAAGCAACCCCTTTAATTAACTGAAGGTTGAATAAATTAGTGCTGTAAGTCACAGGCCTATCCTAGACCCACCTGTGCCACGGAGCCTCTGGGGTGGTGTTTTCAGTGCGTGTGCTGTGCGTGTGAGCCGTGAACTGAGGCACAGATCAGGTGTTCTCTGCATTACAGAGGAATGACTCAACCACTGGTACCTCAATAGTGTTCAAATGTAGCACTGGAATACAATCTAACTGTTTGGAACTAATTCCTTTATCCCTTTTTCCCCCTGCTCCTTCTCGTTTCTCATTCACAGAGTTCAGATTACACTCGTGGTGGGGATTTGTTGGCCTGAATTTTCAAGTGACGAGAGATTTCTTCTCTTTTTTTTGAAGGGGGGGTTGGGTGAAAGGAGAGCTTGAAATGAAACAGGGACTCCCCAGCTTAAGACAATTTTTTTTGCAGTCTGATTTCTCCTGGACTGGTGCCTGCATGTTTTGCAAGCCCACTGACACGCTTTACAAGCCCACTCACAGTGCCTCATGCTGGACACCTGAAGTTACCAGCAGCTTCTGAAAACCTGAGCTGCTTCCCTCCCCAACCAGTCCCCAAGGGGCAGCCTGGTCTTCTCAGTCTGAGGAGGCCTTTTTGGCTTTTAGAACAGACTCTAAATTTGCTTTTTGTCCCCCTCTCACTTGCCCAGCCCGTCACAACTCAGTAGCTCTCCTGTTCCTCTGTACTGCAGAGGGGTCTGTGAACGTCCAGGCTCTGTGCAGGTTGTCTCTTGGCCCGTGTGGGCTGCCCTCAGAAGGTCAGATGAATCTGCTTTGTACGAAAAACCCAATGAAATCAGTGAAGTCTGCTCCGTTTAGTGCGTGTGCCCACACCTGAGCGAGGTTCAACCCTTTCCATCCCATTCCTAGAACCAACATCAGGATTTTACTCTTCTGCTGGGCTCGTATCGACTCAAGGTGCCCCTGGCTCCAGGGTCCTCTTGGAAGGAGGATCAGCCCAAAGGCCCCATGGCCGTGTCAGAGGTGGAAGGTGCTGGTGCTGGGCTTGGCCTGACGTTCCAAGATCCTGCTGAGAACTCAGCAGGAGTCAGGAATGGCAAAAGGAGAGCGAAGCCCAGCCAGGCTGCTGGAGGGAGCATGGCACGGCAAAGAGGGGCACTGCAGGGCCAGGGAGGAACTGCTGGAGGGGAAACACGGCTGATTTCAAACAAGGAACGAGTTGTTATAGCAGTGGTTCAGCATCTGGTCCAGCTGTGGCTGCTGTAGCATGAAGGGGGGCTGCTGCCTTGGGAGCAAAACCAGAGGGGAAGCGAGAAATGTAGCAGCTGAGGAGAATTTTTCTGCCATGTGCCCTTGGCCTCCATACACTGAAAATGGTGTGTGATGCTGTCCTGTCTCCTGAGGATCAGGGAAAGGGGCAGTGTGACTCCTGTCCCCCCCTGGTTGGGTCCTGAGCAATATCCCACTGAGCCTGTTCAGCAGAACCCTGGGGAGGAGGGAGCCTTTTGTGTCTCTGCTGTACTAACTATGCAGGTGCTCATTGCTTTCCTGTGCAAGAGAGAGAAGGGAGGAAAGGGCAAAATAGTTCCCCAGCAGCTTGTGGGGGTCCAGAGCACCCCGACCCACACTGTGTGGACACGAGGTGTCAGCATCTGCCCTGGGAGATGCCAGGGTGGAATCGCTTCTGGTGCTGCACGTCCCTTGCTGAGGAGGAGGAGGAGGAGGAGGAGGAGGAGGAGACCTCGGAGGGGGCGTGTGTCTGTGTCTGTCTGTCTGTGCGTAGTACCCTGTCTGAGGGGAGGAGAACCGTCAACTCTGCGTGTGGCTTCTCTGCCAGTCTTAGTTCGTGGTGTCTCACCCAAAACGTTCATTTGTGTGATTTCCCATGTGAGCTTTTCCCAGCGGAGGGGCGTCCCCGAGGAGGGGGGCCCCAGGCTGTGTGTGTTGATGTGTCCTGCCCAGGGACCCCGGTGTTGGTCTGCAGGGAGGTAGCAAGGCCAGGCAGGAGCCCCTGCCCTGACGAGGGTGCAGAGGTTCCCTTGGTCCTGCTGCTGGGCAGACCTGGTCCAATCCATGTCAAACCGTCGTCACTTTGATTTCTCTGTAAGTTATCCGACTTATTTATGTGGAACTCTGTTTCTCGGAAATTTTTTGCACTACATGGGATTGGGGAGGGGATACAAGCAATAGAAGCCAACATGTACAATAAAGACATTTTCTTGAATACTGGATCCTGCCTCTTGCATCCTTCCTTCCTTCTCACTTCTCCGGCTCACTCCTGGGGAGGCAGAAGCTGCTCTCTGCATTGCCCTGGGCAGAGGAGGGGAAGGATCCCCAGGCAGAGGATGCTCATGGAAGGTTCATGTGCATCTGTGCCTGAGCAGCCACTGATGAGATGTGTCATGGAGGTTTAGGTTGGATGTTAGGAAAAGGTTCTTCCCCTGGAGGGTGGTTGGCACTGAACAGGCCCCCCAGGGCAGTGGGCACAGCCCCAAGGCTGCCAGAGCTCCAGGAGCATTTGGACAATGCTCTGAGGGACATGGTGGGATTGTTGGAGTGTCTGCGTAGGGCCAGGAGTTGAGTCAATTATCCTTGTGGGTCCCTTCCAGCTCAGGATGTTCTAGGATTCTGAGGTCTCATCTGTTTGGATGTCACCAGTCCAGCATTTTGCACAGAGCAGGGACAGGCTCCCATTCTAGAGCCCACTTCAGACTGGCCCGGCTGATGTGGATGTTAATAGAGGAGACAACAGGGAACAAAACCAGTTTTGAAGGATCTTCTGTGCTAAAAGGAGCAGCTCTTCCCCCAGCTCCTGGCCCCGGGCTCAGCTGATGGTGCTGGATGCCTGGGCAGGGGGGCTGCTGTCCTGTGGACAAGGGGCTTTGTATTCCCAGAGAGGATGTTGTGCTGGGAGTGTCCACCACTCTGCACACATTCCCTCTATCCCAGAGAAAGAGCAGGGCCAAGATGCTGGTGGTCGTGGAGACCACTGGGAAAAGCCCAACTCAAGGCATAGAGGCTTCAGAGGCAGGCTGATTTACACCTCTCCCTGCCCATTAAATTCCAGTTTGGTCTCCCTAGGAATCCCAGTGCTGTTGACAGCTTTTCCTGCAGTGGAAATGAAAACCAGATGAGAGACATCCTCCTGCACCCCCAGCTGCCACACGCAGCTCGCCCAGGGGCTGGACGGCCCCATTCTGCTTCCCAACTGCTGCCAGTCCCTGCTTCCTGGGGGGAATGCCGAGCCCATTTCACGGTGTGGGGAGTTCAGGGGGTGAAAAGAGCAATGAGAACTGCCTGGCAGCATCCCCTGGGGCCCAGGAGGGAACTTTCCCATCGCGGTCGAGCCGCGATGCCACGCGGTCGGAATGCCTGGCTCGGCTGGAGCCCTGCCCGTGTCCTCTTTCCTGCTGCTCTCTAGGCTCCTGCTTCTGGTTGGGGCTTCTATAAATAACTGCCGTGCTCCGAAAGCCTTCCTGAAGTCTGGAGGCTGCTTCCCTCCAAGTTCAGGTTCTCCTGGAAGCAGAGCCAGTGTGCCCTCGAGCTGGTGCGCCCAGCACGCAGAGAGAGGGGACTGTCCTCAGCCACTGGTCACGCCTGGCCCTGCCATCTGTGGTGGTGTCACTGGTGTCCCAGCGAGCAAAGTGAGGTGTATTTGCAGGACCTGCAGTAGTTCTGTCACTATTCTGAGCTGTAAGGTTTTTATTTAGAACAAACATGCTGGAGGAACGGCACGTTTCTGGTCACAGTCTGACCGTGTTAGCCACGGACCTTAAGAGGAATCACACTTTTCCCGAGTAAAACACAGTTGGTGCTGTTTGCTGTAATTCCTGATCTCTGCCAGGAGGTGCTGTGCTGTCAGATAGTCGTTTCCCAGCTGTGCAGAGAGAACAGAGCTCACAGAAGCACCCTACCATAAAAATTAGGGGATTTCTGATCGAGGCCCTCTGGAGGGGTGTCCTGTTGCTTTGCTTGGCCATGAAGGGTTAATGGATTGTATGACAGAAAGGGGAGGGGGACAGAGAGGCTGTTTTTAAAGGTCAAAGATGGGGAAGCCTTGGAGAAATTTTATGGCATATCCGTTATCAGCTGCTCTCTCTGTGCAATCACCTCTTGGGGGAATATGTTGATTTTGTTTCTGCAAGGTAAGATGCAAACAGAGAGAGCCTAACACACCCAATGTGTCTGTAAGACCTCAGAAATAGCCAATCCCAGTTTGAGTCAAACAGATTCTCTAAGAAAACACCCTCTCCTGGTTTTAAAAATCCCCTGTTGAAGAAATCACCCGGGACTCACCACACACCCTGGGAGTTGTTGTGATGAGAAACAACCTTTCCTGTGAAAATACACGTCTTGTTTCCAGCTTCAGCTCACCCACCTTCACTTTCTCTGCATCCCTCCTGGTTCTCTGCCCCAGCAGGTTGTCACAAGAGTGTCACAAGTGTGTCACAAGTGTGTTCCCCACGCAGGTGCTTCCAGCATCACCACATCCCTGCAGCCTCTCTGCTGCAAGATGGAGCTGCTGGACTGTCCCTGGGAACAGGGAGGAGGCAAAACCTGCTCCCTGCCCTCTTCCCAGAGGACAGTCCCCGCTCACAGTCACTGTTGTCTCTCCCTGGCTGGCCAGGCTGTAACAGATTTATGGATTTACAGCCTTTGTTGTGCTTCAGAGCCTTCGTAAAATAAGGTGTAGATACGTCACATCACGTGCTTTATAGTAATTGCTCGGGTCACTGTTATTTATATTAACTAAATCTGATTTATTTTTCAAATGTGCTGTCAATTAAATTAGTTTGACAAGATCTAATTTCCACAACCCCGTGTTGGTTTGTGTTAATTATATTCTCCTCCTGTAATCCTTAAAGTTAATCCAACTCCCTCACAACTGTTACATCATTTTCCCAGGAATCAGCATCAACTGACAAACCCATAATTAACTGGGGTGGTTGTTTTACCCATGGAAATACCGATATTCCTGTTAACTTATGCAATTTCTTTGCAAATTCTGTGGTCCTGCAAGACTTCCTGCAACCCAGAACCTTTGTGTTCAGGTCTTTAAAACTCTTTAACGTGAATTCTCTGGATTTTCTGATCCAGAGCATCTGAGTTTTGTGTTTACTTTTTCACAGCTACCTGACCACGGAATGAAAAGGGGTTTGTCATTCCCTATGTCTGTAACTGTCTGTTTTTTTCCTATCCATTGCACAGAAATATTTACCTTTTTTTTTTTTGTCATTAACTACTTGTTATTTATATTTTCACGCAGTAAGGGAATCATACCACAAATCTTTTGTTTTCCTCCTTTTAAAGCATTTCTTCTACAAATACACCTTTAGCTTTGCTGGTCATGCATCTCCTTTTGCTCTTTGCTTCCTCTATCAATTCTCCGTAATCCTTAGATTTCAATTAGATTTCCCCTGCTTATTTCCTATATTTTCACACAGCTTATTTATTTTTATACCTTTAATCCAGCTGTTTCTTTTCAACGAACGCCTTTTGAACCCTTGAGCAACAACCTTAAAAGATTTTTGTTAATGCTTAAACAATAACCACCAATATTATCTTATTTTCCCCCGTCCCGGGCTGAACGGTGATCGAATTCCACTCGGGAAAACGCTCCGGATGGGTTTATTAGCGGCTCCAGCTCCGTGCTGTTGGACAGTAAGGAACGTTCATGCCCTGCACCGCTGGGTTGATAATTCCCTGGTTAATTCCTCGTCACAGGGAACATGTACCTGGCTCGCCCCTCCCAGCGAGCGAGCGGGGCGGGAGCAGGAGTGGGAGCCCCGGCCGGGAGCTGAGCCTGGCTCAGCCCACACCCACTCGAGTCACAGCGGGCGGAAGGGAAGGGAAGGGAAGGGAGGGAACGCCGGCGTGACACGATCCCACACACAGACCTCCAGCTCCCCACGGCTCCGGGCGCTTCCAGGCGCTTCCCGGCATGGGGAACATCGCGTGTGTCCCGCAGGCACCTGGGGGCTTCAGGAGCTCCTTCCGAAGGAAGCCTTCGCTGAAGAAAGCGTGAGTACCCTGCTTTTTTATTTCAGGATGGTTTTCCAGTGGGGCTGGTGTTCTCCTGTGGGATGCACCGTGCGGATCCGGGCTGGTGGCCGAGCCCCCGCTCGGGGAACCCGGCAGTTATTTCATATTTCGTGTTTCATGCTCGGTGTCCCGTGGTTTTGTGGGGTGCTGGGCAGCGCCCAGGCGGGATCAGCTCGCCCTGACTGCCTGGGATGGAGTCCTCTGCCGGCAGGGAATCCCAGCTCCCCAGGGGAAACACCACCCCCCCCCCAGGAGAAACAGGGTTTATTTAATTTTGTTTTGATGGTTGAACTCCTCTCTGCGGGACTGGCAGGGCAAGGTGCAGAACACCCGATACTCCTTGTTTTCACTGGTGGTTTTCTCTCTTCACGACTCCTGGAGTCGCAGTGCTTGTTGGGGAAAAGTAACTTTCACACTCTTGTCCCTTAGAGAGAAAAATCCCAAATCCCAGCACTCTGACACGTGATTTGACCTGTGTTTGTAAATCTGAAGGGGGAATAACAGAAAATGTCTGTGAAACCCTTTGGGGATTTGGGTGCTGAGCTGGCCAAGGCAGAGCTCAGGTACCACAGCGATGGGCGGCTGTCCCAAAATAGAGCTTTCCAGGGAATGCACAGCAAGCTTCCCTGCTTTCTTTTCCACTGCCTGTGCTCCCATCAGCATGGTCTGCCAGCACCTACACATGCACAGAGCAGATCCCTCCCCATCCCAAGGACTCTGGGCTGGAAAAGAGCTCTGTTGGGAACCAGAGTGATTCCCTGTGAACCTGCCAGCCCTGTCTACCCTGTGTCTGTGCTGGGCTGTGAGACAGACCCCCTAAACTCTGCAGGCTGAGGGGTTTCTAATCAAGAGGAGACACTAAACTGGCCCCTTGGTCTCCTGTGCTGCCATAAATTAGGAGTAAACCTGTAGGAGCCTGTGGAGCTCCTGTGGGATAAAAAAGAGGGGGTCACTTGGGGGAATTTGGACCCTGGAGGGCTGACATCCCACCTGTGGTGGAGCAGCCAAGCCCCAGAGCAACCCCTGTCCCTGCTGACTCCCAGCTTCCCACGCTCAGGGCTCTCCGTGGAGATAAGCCTGGTTTCTGCCCAAATAAATGCTGCAATCTGAGATTCCCAGCAAAGGCTGGGAAGTCCCAGCAAAGCAATCCCAGTGCTGCTCAGCAGCACCAGTAACGTGTTAATAGTGTGTGCAGGCAAAGGAAAACCAGGGCCCTGGCTGGGAGTGGAAGGAAAGAGAGAGGAAAACCACAGAGGCAGAAACAAAACCTCCTTGTGAATGTCTGTTGGTGTATCTGTGCATGTGCATCTCTGCTCCAGGGGGGGTTCTGGAATAGCTGTCAGGGCTGGATTTGGTCTTCGTGTTTTGCAATGGAACATGTGGTCCCTCTGCTGATTCGGAGACACGGATGAGCCAAATTGATCATTTGGTTCTGCAAAGACCTGTGGAAAAGCGAAGAAACAGCAACAAGTGCAGCACAACCCCCATTTCAATTCTCCCAGGCTGTTTATCAGCCCCTTTGCTGGGCTGGGATGATTAGAAAGCCCATGACAAATTGCTTGCTCAGTTTGCTGGCTTCCTTATTTCTGGGCAGAATTCTCTGTGCATCAGCCTGGATCTGTGTTTCCATGTGTGTTTTGATTTGTGGTTTGTTTTTTTTTTCCCTCCCTTTTATAGACAAAACAGCAAGAAAAAACTGCCCAGCTTTTTTGGTCTAGAAGGAGGGCAGGAGAGAGACACGACCACGGACAAAATCCTGCAGTATATTCCAGCAAAGGCAAGTACAAACACATCCAAACCCCCTCCCTGCTGCTCCAAGAGTTTATTCCCACCCAGCCCAAAGACAGCACTTAAGAAGGATGATGAGTCTGGATCCAGGGGCAGCAGCAGGTCTGTCTCAAAGGGATGGAGCCCAGGGAAGGATGAGCCCTGTGCTCACACAGCAGCAGAATTACCTGGCCCGGGGTCCCCAGGAAGGTTTGGGGGGGACCTGCCACCAGCAAAAAGGTGTGATGGGGTGGGAGGGTCATGCTGGGAGCCAAGCAGGGATATCTCACCCCCACTTCTGCTCTTTCTGGGTTGCCTGTGAGGGAAGGGAAAATCGGAGCGAGCATTCAAAGGTGAGATGATTCATTCCCACGCCGGAATGAGACGGAGCAGGCAGTGTGTTAGCAAGGAGCCCTGGGAAGGCAATCAGGAAGGGCAGGTCTGCCCCAGGCATGTACCAGCCTTGTGGCCATATGGCCCATTTCCCAGCGCTGCTCAGGGAAAGCAGAGGTGAAGGGATGAACCCTGGTGTGTTTTCTCGGTCCCTTTGTGGGGGACAGGGATGTGGACGGAGTTTGGGGACCCTTTGGGCTGTGCTGGGCAGGCATCTCTCCCACTGCATGGCAAATAGGCTGCGTGGATGTGGGGAAGGGGAAACTGAGGCAGAGACTCAATGCCAGGCAGAGGGAATTTCAGAGATGGCACAGCTCCCTGTGGGAATCAGCATCCAGAAGGGTCAGGCAGCAGAGCCCAGGGCCCAGATGGATCCTGGATGCTCAGCAGGATGAGCTGTCATGTTAGCAGATCCCAGAAAAGAAATCCTGCAAGAGGACACAACAAAGGTCACCGAGAACTTATTCATTCGGGAACACAAGTGTGGGATCTCTCCAGGGAAGGAAGGAGGGTGGGTGGAGCAGTTGTTTAGCAGTTACCCTCGCCTGGGGCAGCTGGGATGCAAACTCCCTGCTCAGCCACAAGCTTCTTGTGTGGCCTGGAGAGAAAGCCTTGGCTCAGACCCTTTCTCACTCCCATATTTTGAGGAGAACCAGGTGCCGTGGGGCCAGGTCAGAGAGCAGCCGTCAGCACAGGGCTCTGATGCAATCTCGGAGGAGATGGGATCACCAAACCTCTGGCCATGCCATGCAGCTTGGGACTGGGGCAGGTGACATCCCTGAAAACCAGCCCCTTCTGGACCTGGCACACACAGCCAGTGCCTTTTGCTCCCACCACCCTCTGCCCTGTTTCCCACACTTCCCAGTCACGGCTCCTGTGGAGCCTCGGCAAAGGCGAGGGGGGAGGATGTGCCAGAAGAGCTGTGCTTCTCATTTGCTTCTTTTATCATTAAACAGCAGCTTTCAGAGCCCCGGGGCACCAGCCTTGCAAGGCTGAGCTCTTCCTGCTGCCTGGGCTGGTGATTCAGTTGGGAGTCACTGGGGTCTGCAGGTTAATTAGTAACTTGTTCTACCTGTAGGATGAGGCATCTGAGACTGGGGGGGGAAAGAACATGTCAGGGCACTTGCACTGCCAGAGACCAAGCCCTGGGAGAAACCAAGTTTCCAAGGATCTGCACTGCCTGGGACCCAGTGGGACCGCTGAGCTAATGGGAACGGGGCTGGTCAGGATGGGACTGGGGGAGGAGGGTGCTGGTCCCCAGCACAGCCCAGCCAGGGGAGCGAGCAGCTGACTGGAGAGCATTCCAGAGGAAGAATAAATCCCTTTTGTTTTGGCTGCACACTGAGGCATCCCCGTGGTTTTGGGTGGTGCCTGTGTCGTGGCAGCCTGCAGCTGGAAGGGCAGCAGCAAATTTCAGGGATGTCCATGGTCTTGGACTTGCTCCCATGTTTAACCACTAAATCCACCTGTCTCCTAAGTCTCACTGCAAACCCTTGCAAACTGGGGTCGCTGGATCCTTGTTTGGGAGAGGGAATATTCCACTGATCTTGTTTCCTGCCACATGAACAGCGGTCATGGAAACTCTCCCTCTCCCTCCTGACTGCGGGAGGATCCCTGTGGAAGCTGGCAGGCTGGCCGAGCTCTTTGCCAACAGTGCTGCTGGATTCCCAGCTCCCAGGTTGCTTTTGCTCCTTGGTGCCTTATTTATTCCCAGGAAGTTTGGCTGGCACGTTCCAGGCAGCAGTATTGCCCAGGCAGCTGGTAGCCGGTGTCGTTCCTTATCTCTGTTTCCATAATTTCATTACTTCATCCTCTCCCCACTCCCTGTTTCTGGTGGCTGCCCTTATCCCAGCGGTGTTTTGTTATTGCTGCCCCAGCTGCTCTTTGCTCTGACAGTGGCTTGTGGCACAAATATGACCTTTTCCTACTCTGAGCTGCCTCAGTGAGACTTTTAACGGGCAGCCAGCGGGTTCCCTGGGTTCTGTTCCATGCCCGGGAAAGCTGGAGGGAGGCTCTGAGCAGAGAAAGGGTTAACTCGTGCCCTAAAAAGAGTAACCTAAATTCAGTGAGGCCCAAGCTTTGCAGGTGAAAGGGCCCCCGAGAGCTTCAGGCTCCTGTTCCTGGTTCACCAGCCCCCCCCGGAGCGCTATCCCTGGAGAAGGCTGGGAGAGGGGGGTTAACCTCGTGCCAGAGGGGTGAGTCACAGAGTCCCCAGCCAGACAGATCTGGTGAGCTGTGCTGCTTCCTCATCCATCACGGGCACACGCAGCTGTCTCCTTGGCACAGGGAGCCGGGAGCGGGCACACGCCGGAGGCGGGGACGTGCCGGCAGCCCCGGGGTGATGGGCTGAGTGATCCCGCTGAGCCCTCGCCCTGCTCATCCCTGGAAATGCTCAGTTCGAGCCCAGGGCAGCCACATAAAACCACTCCAAACCTTCCCTCTCCCACCTACTTTGCTCTTTTGCTGGAGGATGCATACCTGGAGTCTGTGGAGCATCTGACCAAGCTGATATTTAAGACTCCCAGGCTAGTGTGTATCCCAGCCTCTGGGAATCCGTGGCTGAGATACAGCCCTTCTCTTGTCCCCAAGGAAATCAACCAGCCCCCAGAAATAAAAGTGTTATTCCCAGAAAAGCTGCAGGAAGAGCTTTTCACCCCTGGGATTCATGCAGTATCCAGACAGTGTGACAGCAGTGCCGTGCCGTAGGGGTGTGGGGTTGTGCTACTGCACAGAAGGAAGAATTCCCCTATAACCAGGGAATCAGGGAACCCTCCAGCCCTGAGTGCTGTCTCCTCTCCTCAGTCCTGGCTCTCCTGCAGTGCTTTCTGGCTTCCTGTAGCTTTTCCAAGCTTTTTGCACTGGCACTGAGCAGCTTCACCACTCAGTGCCTTGCAGCTGCTTTTATGGCTGTGGGGCTCTGCCCCAAAATTGTGTGGCACCCAAAACAACTGACTCCACCTAGAGAAATCCAGGGATCTGAGTAGATGGGAGAGCCAAGCAATCCAGGTAGAACTAGAGCAAAGAAAACCTTCCCACTACCCCCAGTGGAAGGCACACACTGTGTTTGCTTAGCCTCAGAGGGTCCTTGTTCCAGTGGATTTGATTAGGATGGTAAGAGGTTTGTCTGTGGAGTTGGGATACCCCAAAAGTAGGATGTGCCTCTGCCCCCCCTCCTTCCCAACACAGAAACCTCACCTTTAGGTCAGCATCTCCTCCCAGCAGTAACTGAACCCCAGCTCCATGCTGGCATGGAGACCCAACAACAAACAGCCCATCCTGGGCACCTGCCCAGGGCACCTTTCCAAAGAATCCCTTTTGGGAAGATGTTCTGGGAATGTCTCTTCCAGACATCACCTCCCCATTCCTCTGATTTGTTCTCCCTGTGTCCTTGGTACAGATTATCCCAAACCCGGAAAACCAGAAAGAAAACTTGGACCAGAGGTTCCCCAGCCTGTTCAAGAAGGGACGAAGGAAAACGACTGTCAGGAATCTGGGAAAAATCATCTATTACTCCAAGGTCAAGTTAAGGTTCCAGCACTGCCAGGTAAAACTGAGGCACCTGTTTGTGGGCGTTTTCTCTCCCCGGGTATGACCCTGCAGAACTGAGAAGGGAAGTGTAATTCTGGGAAATGTGACTCAGGGAGGCTCCCTTGGGCTACTGCGTGGCCCCGGGATGTGTTGTCATGTGGTGCACAGGTATCAGCTCGTGCACCTGCTCCCATCCCTGTGGGCAGCTGGGATGTGCTTCCAGGCTCCACTGCTGGGCTGGCAGCAGATCCGTGGTGGAAACGCGATGGTGACCCTGGGATGAGCTTTCCTGTGCACGGATCAGCCTGGGATGAGAGGGAAGTCGGGAGAGGGGAGGCGTCCTGAGATAACCCCCAGGCCGTGTCTCTCCTGCAGGAGGTCAATGACTGCTTCTTGGAGCTGTTCCAGTCCTACCTGTACTTCCAGTCCGTGGGCTCCAATGGACTCACCCACCAGGTAGGGCATCGCCTGGTCGTGCCAGGGCAAGCACTGGGCACTTGGGTGGCTCTGGGCAGATGGGCTGGGACAGGGGGCTCTGCTTCTGGGGCTCCCCTGGCCTCCTCTAAGAGATGTCACCAAGTCCCTTCCTGTGCATGCCAAGATCCTGGGAAAGGAGGGCATTTTTTTCCCCAGGGCCTGCACTCAGATGACCTCAGTTTCACCTGAGTCCTTGGCCTTGCCTGTGGGCAGAGATAAAGGACCCCACAGAGGTGGGAGAGGGGCTTGTGCAGGGCTGGCAGGCAGGGCCAGGGGTGGGAGGTGTTCAGCACCAAGCACAGGGAGCTGAGCCTTGGCAGGGACCTACAGGGGCTCCTACAGCCCAAAATCCCACTGGCCTTGGTGCCCGTGGTGGTCTTGGCCCTGCCCTCTGGACCAAGGGGGAGTTTTTTCATCTGCAGGTTGGAGCTGATAATCTTAGAGAACTTCTCCAACATTAATTAATCCGTGGGAGAAGGTGGAAATAAAAAACTGAGGGCAGCACTGGGGAGCTCTCCTGGCAAACTACTCATCAATCTTTTAACCTGATGATGCTGGTGAATTACGGATAATAAGGAAGTCACAACTGTGAAACAAGAAGCCCTGGATGTGCTGTCCCTCCACAGGAGTGAGCAATTAAAACTGAGCATGGCTGTTTCGGAGATGGTTATAAAAATTAGTTCCTTTTAGAAATGATTCATTGTCTTGCAGGTGACTTTATGTTGATGGAATACATCAATGCAATCTCTCGAGTCACCCACCAACCAGCCTTCAACTGAAAATTCGCATGTCAGGAGACAAACGATATTACAAAATCTCCTGACTGCTTTATAAACAGCTCCTTAGTTTATTAATTTGAGGGGAATTAAAAGGGAATTAATGTTCCAGTACTGGCCCCAAGACATTAGCAGCCATTAGCATCTTTTATGGAGCTTGTTTAGAAAGCCCAAAACGGGGAGTACAAACTTGCCACCTGTTCCTGTGCTCTGTTATAGTGGGAATCTGAAGATCCAGAGCCTAGGAACCAGACAGCTCAGTTTTGCTTTATGGTCAACTCCACCTTCTGTGTTTCTTGTGTTAAACCACCGTTGTCTTTCTGAGGTTTCTCTTAAAACTGAAAGATTTGGAATATAAAGAATATAAAGGAAGAGTTCCTGCCCACGTGGCAGAGGGTTGCTGCAGCACTGGCCCCAGGGAGCTGCTGGACCTGCTTCCTCTGGGGAGTGTGCTGGATCCAGACCCCAAATGTCTCCCCTCAGAGCCACGTTTTTCAGTCTAACACTGAGCCACAGCAACCTGGGAGTCTGGGCTCCCAACCTCCCACAGCAAAGGGGCACCGATGGCAGAGCTGCCCCCAAAATAACGGTGTGCCCTCCCTCTGCAGGAGCTGCTGCCTCTGAAGGAGCTGAATGTCTGTGAGATTGAGGCTGGGAAGGGCCCCGGGCAGCAGGATTGCCACGCTTTCCTCATTGCAGGTGGGTGCCTCCTTGTTTGCTTTGCACAGAGGGCAGAGGGTGTGTGAATCAGGCTGTCTCTGCTCTCTGTCCCACCCTGACCCCATCCCAGGAAAGAGGCTGCAGGGAGATGAAGCTCTTCCTTCCTCCTAGAATTCACATCTTTCTCTCCAAGGCTCCCCTGCTCTTAAATGCCTGGGCAGTGATGCCCAGGGCTGGCACAGGGAGGGGAGGGGATGGATGGTCCTGTGTTCCAGCTGGTTAATACTGAGCACTCATGGTGACAGTTCCCACCTCTGTCCAGTTATTTGAATGAAAAAAATGGAATAAAACTCTTTCTCCCAGCTCTCCTTATAAACCCCAAGGGCAGGGAGTGACTCCAAGCAGGCAGGGCACTGAAGGGCACAGTTCAGTGCCCAGAGGTGAGTTACCTCCACAGTAACACCAGTTTGGTGCAGCCAGGACCCAGTGTCACCTCACCAGCTCTTCCCTCACCAGCCTCCACAAGCTCTTTAAACTTTTCTCTGAGTGCTCTTGCTTTGTAAAAGATCTCCTGGGATGACAGCCTGTCTGCAGCTTGGATAGAGGCTTCTTTGGGCTTAGTCATTGCTGAATTACAGGCATAAATGATAAAAAGGAGGTGGTACGAACGACCCTCCAATTTTAAGGGCTGCTGAGCTGTTCTTGTGCTGCACTGTACCAGGCAGGGCTCTCCAACCCTTTTTGGAAGCCTGTAAAATGAAGGAAAACTTCTCCCAGGGGCATCTGCTCTGGGGTGGGGGGACTCGTTCTGCTTGTATGAAAACAAGCAGGAGTGTGGCTGGGTGGAAAATTGCCTCAAGCTTTGTTGGGTTCCTGTCCTGCTTGGGGGAAGAACAAGCCAAAGCCTTTCAGACAGAGTGCTGTGCACGTTGGGAAGCAGTGACAGGAAGAAACCAGGGAGGCAGCGATGTTTAGGACTGCTGGGAGATCAGTGGAACGGTTTTATTGTCCTGCTGGAAGGGGAGGAATCAAGGCATGGAGGGGGTAGGAGCCTTCCCGTGTCCCCACACAGGGTCAGGGTGGAAATCTCTTTGTCTCATGACTCTGAGACACAACAGACACGCATCCATTCTCTTGTGAAATCCTGTGGCACCCGTAGTTCCCCATAACTGCACTGCCAGGGGTAGTTCAGCTTACTGGAAGTTGTTGCAGGATCACTGGAAGCGTGGAGGTGGAGTGGAAAAGGAAGCCTGGCAGTATCCAGGGTGTCCTTGGTGGATGGTGTCTGGCTGTCACCTGGGCTTTATGGTCCATCCCTTGCCCAGCCTGTGGTGCTGGTGGAGTTACTGAGCACCTCGAGTTACCTCTGCCTCCCCTGCAGACGTTGCAGCCTTTTAGTGTCTCCAGTCTGGGAGATTTGCGTGGGAATAAACTGCTCCTGCTCTGGGAAGGGGGTTTCTTCCTTCCAGAGCTCCTCTGGAAGCATTCACAAGGAAGGAGGAAGAAGAAGGCAGAAGAAAAGAGCATGAGGGCTGGGAGGGGTTGCTCAGTGTGGCTGGGTCATGGCCCTGCCACGAATGTGCCCCTGGGGTCGAGGGCAAGGGCAGGAGCTGAATTAGCAGCAGCCTCTCAGACTCTGCTCAAAGCCTCCCACAGCTCCTGCTCCAGCTTCAGGCGTGTCCCAGGCTTCAGGCTTGGCCAGCAGGGCCTTTCCTCATTTTCTCTTCCCTACCAGCACAACTCCTACCAGCCTGAATGCCATGGGAAGTATCCAGAGCTGCCAGAATACCTAGAGAGCACTAACACCATCACACCCTCCTGGCTACTCCATAAAGCAGGGAATCACTGTATCTTCCTTGCAAAGACAGGGAAACCAAGGGAAGAGGAGGCAGGAGAACTCCAGAGCCATGGCAGTCCATAGACACTTGGATGCCCAGGAAATGCTTGACACCACATTACTGTAATGGATTTAGAGTCACTCAGGGAGTCTCTGCCCCAGCTTCCACACCTCTGCTTTGTTTATGCACATTCGTTTCAGAGCATTTCCTGAAAGGCAGAAGCGTTTCAAAGTCTTAATTAACTATTGTTTATAAATAGTGCAGGAATTAGGGTACTAAAGAAGGGCAAAGTACCATGTTTATCCCGTGCACGGGCTTATCTCAATACTTCCAAGTCCCACAGAGCCAGATCCTACTGAGCTTGCACCAAGCAGGGTTTAATATGAGATTGCTGGTAAATTATTAATCATAACATACATTCTGCATCCTGCCAGAAATGGTTATTACCGTCACTGGGTCATGTCTGCAGTGAGTAGCAGAGGGGTGTGTGAGACTGTTTTGCTCGTGCTATTAAATGGAGGAGGCTGGAAACGTCAAAATCAACAAGATGCAGGGCTGTTCCTCCCTTCAAGAGAAGTCTGAGGTCAGCTGCAGATTGTCTGGCACGGATTATGTTTGGTGGAGCAGTAAATAAACTGTGTCAGAAAGCTACCAGTGTTCTACATATTGAGTGCCAAAGTGAAAGCAGGAGATAGCACGGAACTTTCTGATGGGTTGTGACAGTCCCTGCCCACACAGGTGCTTTTCACAAACTCCTGGGGGTTTTCAAAGCTGAAACGTGTGTTGAGTTCAAGCTTTCATGCTGTCTTTGAGTTTTGTTCTTGGCCTGGTTTGGGGTTGGGAAGTGCCTGGTGGTCAGAGCCTGATGTGTGTGAGAAGGTGCTGGAGCACTCCCAGCAGCCTGATGGGAGAGAATGTGCTAAAAGAGTGGTGGGAAGGACTGGAACAGAGCAATGGTCTGATGGTGTGATGTGCAGAGTGCAACATGGATGCTGCAACCCATGCCCTTATCTGCTCTGCTCATCCTGTGTCTCACAGGTCCTCGGCTCAATCCCCTTGCTGTGTTCTGCCCCTCTGAGTCAGAGCTGAAGCAGTGGCTTTATCACCTGGAGAAGCAGATCCAGCTGAATGGAGGAAGCCTTGCCTTGCCCTTCCTCCCTCAGGTGAGTGGCTCACAGCCACAGTCCTGTGCTGAGCAACCAGGGAAGCTGGGATGGTTCCATTTCAGAGCTTGCCTTTGGCGTGGCTTCCTGTGACAGAAGGGTGCAAAAAAAAGAAAGGCTTACAAGAGGTGTTTGATAGACATTGGCGGGGTGGGGGGGTGCTGAAAGGAAGACCTGCCACCTGTGGGTGCCACCACCACAACCTCCAAAGGGTCAGAGCTTTGGGTCTGGCTCAGAGAAACTCTGATGCATTTGGATGCTTGTGCAATTCCCCAGAGATTACAAAACATCTGGAGGAGGAGGCTGGAACCTAGAAAACAGGACTAGATTCAAGAGACTTTCTCTTCCCATCTCTGCAGGGTGTTTTAATTCCCTCCCTGTCTCCATCTCCCCACTTGTCAAAGAGAGATATCTCCCTTTGAAAGGCAATTTACAGGTGATGCTTGGTACCAGGAGCGATTATTCAGTCCCAGCTGGAAAACTGGCTCCTGCACTGATTTATTTATTCTTTCCTGCCTCTGCCACACTTAAAAAGTGCCCTGAGAAGGGCCATGCACTGGATAAACTCAGGGGAGGACATGTCTGCCTGCTGCTCAGTTTGCTCCTGTCCCTAGAACGGCTGGAAGCAGAGCTCCGTGGGGAAGGAGGAGCTGCGGTGGTGCATGCAGCACATGCCTATCCAGGGCTGGAGTGGGACTCAGAGGGAATCCCTGGGCCGTGTCCTCTGTGCCTCTGAAGTGAAGCTTCAGCATCTGCCATTCCAGGTAGGACACATCCCTGGGGAGCAACCTCCTGCCAGCCCAGCTCGGGAAAGGGGATGGGTGGAGTGACCAGTGCAGGCTCCTGCCCGCCTGATGCCACTAATCCAGCAGGTCCCAAGGGTCATTTTACACCCATGTGAAGGGAAAATGGTTTCCTCCTGCTCCTGTGGCCCTGCAGGGGTGCTTGGGGACAGCACAGGCACACGGGCACGTGCACAAGGACCTGCAGGACAGGGCTGGCAGCTGACCCAGTGTCACTTCACCAGCTCTTCCCTCACCAGCCTCCACAGGCTTTTTAAATTTCTTCTGAGTGGTCTTACTCTATAAAAGATTTCCTGAGATGACAACCTGCCTGCAGCTTGGATAGAGGTTTCTTTGGGCTTAGTCATTCCTGAATTACAGAACTACAAGCCCCAGGAATCTGGCAGGAATCTCCCAGCGCAGGGGAGCAGCTTGGCCCTTTCCAGAGCCCTTGCCCCAGGCTGCTGTCAGAGAGACAGAGCAAAGGGCTCTCCACATCCAATCCCTGCCTGGCTGTTCACAGGCTGTTCACATCCCTCTCCCTCCTTGCTTTCCAAGGAGCAGAATGACCGGCTGTTGGTGCTTTATGCCTCCACACTGGTGATAGTTTCTGAAGAGCAGAATGGCTTCTGTTTTAAGGTAAGTTCGTGCTGGAGCATCTCCCTGCTCTCTCAACCCATCCACAGCAGCTATTTCAGCTCTTCTTTGGCTTGTTGCTCCCCTCCACCTGTGTTCCCTTGTGCTCCCTCGTGTTGGCAGGGGCTTTCCCTCCACGCTGCTCCCGTGCCAGCTGGCAGGTGAGCAGGCAGAGGGATGTTGCAAGTTATCTTCCCATGAGAAACACCTTGCCCTCCTACAGAAGCCCAGGGGGAAAGGAGCTGGCTGCCAAGGAATCTCTGGGAGGAGGGAGGCTGGCATGTTTCAGTGTGGTGGTGCTGGCAGGGAGCCTGGCTCTCCTGATGGAACAGCCCCAGAGAGCCCCTGAGGGGGCTTTGCTTCCCAGGCTCTGTGCCACGGGACCACTTGGAAGCAGGGAGCATCCAGGCAGCACATCTGATGCTCGTGGGGAAGGGCACAGGCAGGGAGGAGAGGCTGCTGCTGGAGCAGTGTTTGCTGCTCTTTCCCTCTGTGGAGCAATGTCTGGGCATGGCAGCGGAAGGGACAATGAGGATGTGGAGGTCTGAGTGTCCCAGGGGATGCAAGACCAGCTTCTCTAGTCTAGTGTGCCTTGTGGGAGCAGTGCTGGGAGCCTCAGCACAGACAGGCAGTGGCACTGTGCAGTCTGAGTGGCTGCCAACACCCACCGTGGCACTTGGTGACACAGTTGAGTGGCGAACACGGCAGTGCTGGACTTGATGATCCTGGCAGGCTTCCCTAACCTTAACAATCCTGTGATTCCGTGCTCTTGGGCAACATTGTGATGGCTTATTAACAGCCCTGTGCTTTCTGGTCCTGTTTCTTCCCCTGCTGGAACAAATGTGCCAAAAAGAGCAGTGAACTGTGTGTGACCCCGCGTGCGGCAGCACCGGCACACGGCGGGGCAGAGCTGGGCTGCTCCTCCAGGGAACAGCATCCCTCTTAGTCACTGAGAGAGCAGGCAGTGACAGGGGAACCCTGCAGAGACTGAGGGTTTGTGAAATCCAGCGTGAACTCACTGGGGTCCAATCTTGTGGTTCCACATCACGCAGGATGCTTTTAATTCAAGGGTTACCCATGGGAAGACCTGTGTAGGCATCTCTGGAGAGGAGATGCCTGTGCCTCAATAGGAGAGACATGACCAGTCACAGCTCTCCTCATCCCCAGTGCAGCAGTGGAGGCTGTTTTCCAGCAGCTGGTGGCTTGTGTGACACACCTCAGACAGAGCTTGTTTTCGGGAACACGCTGTTTGCAGCTCCTGGGAACGGGGCACCACGTAAGGGGGCCCTGGGCTGGGCTCTCTGATTAGCTCATCTCTTTTGAAACCTTAAACCAGCTTTGTCTGCCCCTGTCCATGCAATGTTCCCTCTTCCCACGGTGCAGGAGCTCTGGTCCCGGGGCTCTGCGCAGCAGGGTGCAGGCAGGAGGTGATTCACCAGCCTGTGACACTGCACTGGGAACCTGATTTTCCACAGGCATGTCAGGGCACAGGAGCCTTCTCCCAGGGCTTCTGCAAATTAACTTCCCTTCCCTGCGAGCAGATGCTGAGCCCTACAATTTGTGTGTGAGGGAAAAGGCCGGCCCTTTTGTTCTTGAGCTTCATACAAACCACAGGAGCTGCTGCTGCCAAGTGTGTGTGTGTGGGACAGGGAAGGGGAAGGCAGGGGCTGAGCCTGCCGGGATGGGGCTCACCCAAATCCACAGGCTCTGGCTCACCCCTGGTGGGAAAAGGCCCTGGGCAAGGTGAAAACCAGCAAGGGGGGAGCTGCTGGAGGGGCAGGTTCACACCTCCAGCCCAGGGAAGGCTGGAGGGGCTCTCTGCAGCCCACGGCTGTGTTCTTTGTGGGATGCTGTGCTTCCTGAGGTGGGACTCTACCCAGAGGGTGTTTCAGCATCCCCATGGACAGGGAGCTATTGTTTAAGGGAGGATGGAGCACCAGGCACCAGGGCAAGCCCTGTGCAGTCTGCCTCGGTGGCAAGAGGCTTGCTGGGATGTGCTGGTGGCAGGAATCTTACTGGGATGTGCTGGAGAGCTGAGGAGCAGCAGCCGTGCAGCGCCTGCGTCAGCCGAAATGTCAAACCCCAGCAACGGGGGGAAAGGAGTCAGGGAGCAGAGCGTGAGCTTTCCCTCCCAAGGTCAGCCTTTCCGAGCTGCTCAGCCCATAAATCACTGCTGGGGCAGCAGGAATGCCACAGGAGCCTGCCTGTGCCCACAGGCTGTAGCAGAGGCAGCTGCCACACGAGCCACGGACACCCGTGTGCTCCGCAATTCCCTCACGGCAAAGCTGTCACGTCGGCCACATTCCCAGAGCCTTTCCAGCTGGCACAGCTTGGAAGTGAGGGCGGGGTGAGGAGTTTCTGCTAGACACCTTGTTTTGCAGCCCCTGAGCTTAGGCAAATGAATCCTGATGGATTGCACCTTTCGGAGAGGGCCTTGGGCAAAATGACAGACAGGGCTTCTGTTCCTGCTTTTTGTGCATTTCCTCCACTCCCGGGCATGGAGCAGAGTGGAATGAGGTGAGAACCTTCTTTTCCTTGAGCACTACCCAGCCCCTGTGTTCACCATCCTGTCCAGGAGCTGCACCCAGGGCTGTTGCCACCGGCTGCCCCTGCCCAGTGCTCTGTGCCCACAGAGAGAGTCAGGGTGACATCCAGGTGAGAGGGATAGGAACAGGAGCAAAAATACCACATGTTCCTTGTTTTCCCTCTGCTCAGAGCACGAGAGAGACGAGAAGTAAAGGGATGAGCTCATCCGCGTGATGTTTCCAGTGCAGAATCTGCTTCAGTGGCTCTCCCAGGGCTTTCCTGCCTCATTTCTCTAAGGAAAATTTACCCCAAAGAAAGAGGAGCTCTGGATCTGAATTCAGTGCTGACAAACCCCCTTGGCCCTTCTGCCACGTTGCCTATCACAGAGAATTAAGCTGTCAGCGGTGACACTTAAAGGACATGTGGCAGCAGAGCAAGAGAGGGGCTGGGACAGGCAGCCCCGTCCCTGCCCACCCCACAGGTCACCACAGAGCTGGTCTGGCACAGATACGGGATGGCCACGGGACACTGGGTGATGGCAGAGGGGACAGTGGTGGATGTGCGTGAAAAGGTATAATAGCACTTAGGGCCAATAGCACACGGGGTCTTCTAACTCCCAGATCTTCCAGGGACAGGCTGCTTTAGCTCCCAGCTGACAGGAACAGACGTGTGGTGCCTGCCCGGGGCAAGCCCCGCTCCCACCTCAGGAGTGGCAGCTCACAACTGTGCCTCCTGTAACACAAGAGCTCAGGTTTCACCAGCTGGCATTTGCAGGGCTCAGCCCTGTCTTTGTAAGGCTTTGCAGGGAATGGATTGTGGGCATTCCTCTGGGCAAGGCTGGAAGTCCCAAGTTAGCAACTATAACCTCGTGTGGGTCCATGTTTGCGAAGTTTTCCGGGGAAATCAGAAATTTCAGCCATTAAACTGCTGGAAACAGAACTGGGAGGGAAGGGGTGTTTTTCCAAGCTCGGATCTCAGGAGAGACTTTGAGAACAAAGCAGTCTCACACAGTCATGCTGGCTCCAGAGGCTTCATTCCTGCAGTAAGGCTGGTGGTTGGGAGAACTGGAAGCAGGAAACACCAAGCTGGGACAATCTGCTGGAGACAGAGTTCTCCAACAAGCCTGTGCCCCACACCTGTGAGGGTACAGAGGCCCCCAAATCCTCGCCCAGCTTAGCAGCAGCTTGGGTGTGCCTCTTGTCTCCTGCAGACCTGCCCTAGGGGATTTAGGCTCTGAGATTCCTCATCCCCACCGGGGATCCCAAGGCATCCCAGCAGGGCCAAGCTGCCCCTTCTCCCCAAGCCACAGGAATTGCAGCCAGGCTCCTGCCAGCCTCGCTCCATCCTCACCATGGGCTTCCCTCCTCGTGCTCCCAGCAAAACTCTGCACAAGGCTCCTCTTGGCTCCCCTGATGGAAAAGCCCCTGTGGAAGTGGAGTTTTGCTGCCCCAAGGTGGGCAGGGGCAGCCACGTTGTCCTTCCCACAGTGCCCACGTGCCCTATGGCACGGACTGGGAGATCTGCTCAGCTCTGTGGTCCCAATCCTGATTCTCTCTCCAACAGGGCGAGCTGCCACTCAACGCCATCCAGGTGCTTTTTGAAGAGAACGAGAAAAGCTCCTTTTTAATCGAAGGTGGGTGTCCCCACACCACGGGGTGTGCTGGCAGCAGCCACGGAGGGTCCTGGGGGGCTGGTTTGCTGGTTTTGCTGAGCTGCTGTGGCCCCTTCTCAGCTGCGTGGGAGCCAGGCTCTGTGAACTGCACTGCCTGGAAATCTGGGACCCTCAGTGCCCTGGATGAGCAGCAGGACCTGGCTCTGCTGGTGGAAGAGGCCACAGCACCAGGGGTGCACAGTGTCCCCCTCATTTAGACCCAGGCTGGGACTGCCCCTGTCCTACCCCCAGCCTGGTACAAACGGGCAGCACCGAAGGCAGAGCATTCCCATTGTCCCAGCACCTCCCGACCCCAGGAGCACGTGGGGAGGGGACGGAGCGAGAGGGTTCCCACGGGCTTATCGAGGGAGCAACACTGAGTCAGTGGAGCCCAGTGAGAGCAGCCAGTGCTGTTTTCCCAGGCCGGCTGATCAATTCGATCCGGGTGACCTGCCGCAGTTACGAGGATTACCAGGAGTGGCTCTACTGCCTCAACACGGCCCAGTTTCGAAACGCCGACTCCTCCCTCTCCGGATCCGAGAGTTTCTCAGGATCAAAGCCGCCACACCCCAGCCAGGTAACAGTCGCCTGGGAATCGGTGGCTGTCCTGTCTCTGGAGCACTCCTGTGACGCAGCAGACTTTGTCTTCAGGCGTCCTGCTTGAAGGCTGTCAGCAAGCTGCTGAGCCCTGCCAATTATTTAAAGCCCTTTATGACATTTTATAGGCAGATATTATAGTGAATTCCTTCAGAAGCAGGACATAGACTGTGACAGTGTTGTGCAGTGAGGCATTGGGCACAAGGGCATTAAAAGGGTCTTGGACCCAATGATTCTCGTGGGTCCCTTCCAACTCTGGTTATTCTGTGATTCCCGCAAGGAAGGGGAGACCCACACTGCCAGCTCTGCAGCTGGGACGGGTCAGGGTGCCTGAGCACCCCTTTCCTGCAGTGCACCCCCCTCATTCACCCTGGTCACCCCAGCTGGACCCACCAGCACACCCCACACACCAGGCACGGCCACCGGGCAACTGCTGGCCGTGGGGACACAGCCCCAACCCAAGGGGCACCGAGGGCTGTGCTGGGCTGGCACTGCTGGGGCTGGGGAGGGATGTGCCTGTGGCCATGCAGAGGGTCCTTCCATCACCATGTTCTTCTCCCCATCCAGTTCACCAGCAGCGGGAGGGGGTCCCTCACCTCCGACGGCCGCACGAATTCCTGGGCGTCCGGAGGGAGAGTGACCACCGTGACCCACCTGTCCCAGACCAGCGGCTCCCTGCCCGACGGACACTCCTTCCTGCTGATGCCTGAGGGCAGGCTGCTCGAAGATGCCCTCTCCTCTGGCTATTCCCAGCCTCTCCATGTAAGTGAGCCCCTGCCAAAGCCCGGGATGTGTGTGGGGATGGACTCTGCCTTTGGGCAGAGCGCTCTGGTGCGGGCAGTGTTTGCTGTGTGGTGCCACAAATCCATGCCTGGAGCCTGGGTTTGTCCTGGCTCAGCCTCTGCTGGTAAGGGAAAAGGCTGCCGAGGAGTCCCATCCCAGTCCTCCACTCTGACTGTTGGACAGGTTGCAAGAGGGCAAACAGGGTGGTTCAAAGGCCAGGAGACCCCAAAATAAGAGCTGGAGGTGGGTGGAGGTGATGGGCTAGGCAGGATTTTGGTCTGGCCCTGGGCAGCATTTGCGTGTCCAGGGTTGTAGGAGTGCCCAGGGCAGGGACCCCGTGCAAGACCATCCCGATCCCTGAGTTCCTGGCCCGAGGAAAGTCAGCTCCAGGGTCTGCCTTCTCATTTCAGTGCCTGGCACAAGCCAACTGGCCAAGCACAGGGCTGCCCACACAGGACCTGCGGAGAGGGGGCAGCGCCAGGAAATCCAAGGGCAAATGCGGGCCGTGCATCCAGCAGCTGCCCAGCCAGGACTCGGAGAGGAGCATCTGCAGCCTCATTCCCGAAAATCCCAACGGCGAAATCCCGTCCCCGGAGTACAACGAGCCGTACTCGGCACACGGCTCACAGCATCACCCCCCAGCTCCCCCGTCACACCTCAGCAGTGTAAGAAGGGTGGATTTTGGGGGGATGGATCCTCCTGCCTGGGAATGGGGAGCGTGGTTCAGCTTTCCCTTGCGGTGCCACTGGCAGGGATAGGAGCGCTGGCAGGTGCTCTTGGGCAGGTGTGAAATCCATTTCCATTGGAAAATGGCCCGTGGGAGGTGAGGTTAAACGTGGCAGGTGGAGCAATGTCCCTCGGAGCCATGGGATGCTGGGCAGTAATTCCCGAGACAACACGACCAGCACTGCTCGGTGAGTAGGAGAGTTATTGCCTCACAGGACACAGCCTCTTCTTCCCTGGGTTTTCCAGCATGTGTCCATCAATGGTTTAGTGTGTGATGCCACGTTTCCCTCCCCTCTGTGAGTGTTCATCAAGGAATTCCCCTCGTTAGCACAGACAGTCACTCCCATCGTCCCTCGTGGATGAGCAGCGTTTGGGATTTTAGTTACAGGGAGATTTCCCACCCCAGTCCCTCCTGGGGATGAACTGCAAGTAGAGACCAGCGTGCCACGTTCCTGTTTCCACTCTGCCTTGTAGCTGAGCAGATGGAGCTCGGTGGGAAGGCAGCCCTTGACAGCTTCCAGCTCCCTGGAGAGGCTGGCCATGCCCTGCTCCCACTTGTACACTGATCCCTACACCCCCAGCTCCCCCAGTGCTCCCAGTGGGGCAGGTTCCAGCTTCCTGGAAGAGGTACCTGTGCTTGCTGCTGGTTACAGCTGGCCCTGACTCAGCACACAGGCTTTTGGCTCCAGAAATTGTGCCTCGGGCCATTTCTTTTCCTGCCATCTGCCTGAGCCTGAGCAGCATGTGGAAACTCCAGGCCTGCATTTCAGGGTGGGGCAGGGCACAGCATAGTTCCCAGGTTTTTTTCAAGCCAGGACAGAGTCAGAGGGGAACAGGTTTCCCCTGTCTTATCACTGGATGCCAGCGTCACGACAATAATCTCAGGAAGAGCCAGAAACCACAAAACAAAGGCAGAGACTGAGATGTGCTCCAGTTTACAGAAACCGGGGATGAGTCAGACACAGAGACCACTTTATCCACCCCAAAAAATTCCAGATGCCATAACTGAGTGCCTATTGAAGGCTACATTTCTTGTTTTGCACATCTCTTGGGAAAAGGCTGTTTCTGAGTCTGTGGCTGGCATTTCCCCATGCTGGTGACAACCTCCCTTCCCTCAGAGGGTCTTTCCTGCCTGTTCCCTGTCCTTCTGTATCCCCTGGGTTGCCATAGGGTGTCATCCTACTGCCTCCACACCCAGCCAACTTCCACTATGTCTGTGGCCATCCTCCCTTTCCCATCCAAGGCCTTCAGGACTGGGGTGTAGTAGAATTTGTGAGGAGGGCAGAAAGCCTTGGTTTGGTGTGTTCACAGCAGGGCTGGTTTAGCAGGCGGGAAGCAGCAGGTCAGTGTTTCCCAGCTCTCCACAGCAGGTATCCAACCTGGATTTTGCTTTGCTCTAGTTCCTGCAGTGCCACAGGCAGACGGGTCCAGCTCAGGCAAACGGGTGCCCAGCAATCCCTGTGCCCCAGCAGCACCTCTCTCTGGAGAAATGGAACTGCCAGCCCCTGCCCAGTGGCCACTGCAGAGAGGTGCCCACAGCTCCCATTTACAGCACCCCTGGCACCTCCCACCGGCTCCAGCTGCGGGCACAGGCTGAAGCTTCTTATCTTGAGGAGGTGAGATGGTAAATGCAGCCCTGGAGCCCCACAGTGGCTGCAGGGGAACACACGGGGTGCAGGGGACCCAGCTCGACTGGAGTCTCACTGCAGGGGTCTTTGCTCAGTGACAGGGATCATCCTGGGGAGCAGGGAACCACGGAGGACTGATTCCCTGGTGTGCAGTATCCCAGGACTGCAGTGCTGTGTCATCCTCATCACTGTGTCTCTTTTTCTTTCCAGATCTCTTCTCTGCCAGAGGAACATCTGGGCCCTTCATTGCACCCACCAGGTGAGACTCTTGGGGGGGTGCTGGGGGGCTGAACCCTCCCTGCCCCGCCAGTGTCCGTCTCCATCAGCGTCGTTCCAAGCAGGGCTGGTGCCCTTTATCCCTCCTGCTTCCCCGGGTGGGACTGAGCCTGTGACCCTGCCCTCTGCCTGTCACCCTGCCCTGGGCCTGTGTCTGCCTGGTGGAGACACCTGTATGGCTTCCACTGACTCACAGCTCACCTGTCACCCGTGGGGACCTGTGGCTTGTCCCGTGGCGCACACGCTTTGCCCACATCTATTTGCACCGGGGCTGTGATTTAACTCATCCTCGTTCTTACCTTCTGCTGGCGAAGGGGAAGGTGACCATCAGGCTGCTGCTGCTGCTGAGCTCTCTGATCCCTTGGGTCTGTTTTCCCACAGGTGGGAATGTCGGCACCTACGACCTGCCAGATTCCAGCTGCCGGCACCGCGACTCCGCCGCCTTCCACGACTACGCCGAGCTCCAGAGCTTCCACAGTGACTTCAGCTATGACAACCTGTGGGAAGCTGAGGAGAAGGAGCCAGGCACCCCACACACCTCCCCATCTCCAGTCCAGCAGATTTACCAGGTCTAAGGGATGGTCTCCACAGCCAGGCACAGAAAGCCCCCCCATCCCGGGCTCTTTTCTCGCTGGGCTTCCCTCCAGGATGAGGAACCCAGGGCACACAAAGCAAAGGGAAGAGCCCTGCCCTGCAAAAGGCTGCTTCCCATATCCTGGCAGGCCTGGGCTTCAAATTTCTCCCCTAAATCTGGGGATGGGGGCAAAGCACAGCAGCAACAGCCCCTGTGGACACGGAGGCGCAGCGTGTGTGCCGTGCCAAGGAGAGTGCTCAGGGAGCCCTGGCTGGGGAACAGCTCTGTCCCCTAAAATGAAAGGAAGAACAAAAAGGGTCAGGCTCCCTCAGGTAAAAGGGACTGGGTGTTCAGAGGAAGCAGTCACCCAAAGGCCAAAGAGAAGGGCTGGTTGGTGGCTGGGTTAGTTTGATTCCTTCTCCCCAGAGCCCTCAGGCTGGTCCCTCTGATGATCCCCTGAGCCCTGAGAACAGCTGTTAAAGCCAAACCTTCCTCCACTGAGCTATGAAGTCTGCAGGGACACATGAAACATGTCCCATCCTGGCATACAAGGTTGGTAGCAATAGCTGTGCTCATAGGATTGTCTTCCTGCAAGAGCAGAGTTACTGGACAAGAGATGGAGAAAAAACCCACCAGATCTAAGCAGGATGGGACTTTCTTTCCAATCTATGCAAAAAATTCTTTCCTGCCAGTGCTGGCTCCAAAAACCATGGTGGGTGTCCTGTGACATGAGGAGCCTGGCACCTGGGCAGGTGGAGCCTGGAAATGTGCTGCCAGCAAACGTGCCAAGTGACTTGTGTTCACCAAGGTCTTCCCTGGAAAGGATGCTCTGAGGATTCCTCTTAGGGAATGCCTCCTTTCCTCCCACTCCTCTGCACACGACTGGGCTCACACTAAATGCTGCCTGTGACTTACCTGGGCAGGGAGGGAAGAAAATTTGCCACAAGCCAAACTCCAGTCGATCAAAGCAATGCCAGTGTGGGCTGTGATCCCCCTCTTCCCCCCTCCAGACCCACAGCAGGACCAGGACACAAACAACAGGGGACAGAGTCTCAGTGCTATTATTCTCCAGCCTCTTAGGCCAGGTCCTTTGGCACATTGAAGGTCAGCAGCAAATCCAAATGTTTTTACCTGAGGCTCCAAATTCTTAACCTTTGTTCCCTAAAGAGGCTGCAAACCAAACACAGGAACAAAACCTCTATTTTTGTTCTTTCACTGGTGCAAACAAAACAATCGGGGGAGCTCTTTGTACTTGAATACCTGCATATTACATTGTATTTTAATTTTTTTTTTTCGGGTATCCAAAGAAGTTTACATGTAAAGTTTGAGTGGATTCTATGTATGTAACGTGTAAATGTGGCTGAGTTAAAGACCTATTTAATTTTCTAGCTGTGGATGAGGTTCAGTACTGTAGAATGGGCAGCTGTCTGCACATTCACGAGTGTGTTGGTTTGGGTCTTGTAGCTGTCATTGTTTTGTTTCGGGTTTGCTCTGTTTTGGGAAGATTTGTATCCAATAACCCCAAATTTATCTATTTATTCAGAACAAAACCGCACTAGGGAACATCAAAAGCACATATATGCTGGGAGGTCTCCATGCTCTTGAGCTCCTATGAACACATTGACTTCGAACGTGGTCACCACAGTCTTTTAAACTGAGTTTCAACAGCAATATCTGCAATGTATCAAAAGGAAAGATTCCCTTCCAGCTGATATTAAAGTTCCCTTGGGGTTTCTGTGAGGTTGGACAACTGCAATACACATTCCCATGGAATAATTTCCTTCTCTCTTTCTTTGGTTTAATGGAGGTGATTTTTTTTCCCCCATCGCTGCTGTCCCTTCCAAATCCTTCCTTCCCTGGGGCCCTTTCTCCAGGAGGGTTCCAGACTGCTGGCTGTCTCTAGTTCGGGTCAGGCACCTGCAAACACCTAATCCTTGAGCAAAGTCTCCCCAGTGTTTGTCAGGCAGCAGGACCTGGCTGGAGGTTTAAAGCCAAAGCTCATCGAACTTTGCTTCAGCACCACGTCCTGGAAAGGTGCTCTGTAAAATCAGTCATGGAATCACAGGGTCACTGAATGGTTTGGGTTGGAAGGGACCCCCAAAGGGACCTGGTTTCAACCCCCTGCCATGGGCAGGGACACCTTCCACTATCCCAGGTTGTTCCAAGCCCCGTCCAACCTGGCCTTGGACACTTCCAGGGATCCAGAGGCATCCACAGCTTCTCTGGGCAACTTCTCTGCAGCCCTGTGGCTGCAGCTTTTCCTGACAGGTTCTGGGCACAGCTCTGGGGCAAAGGACAGTGTCCCACAGCCCCTGTCTGTCCTGACTTCAGAGGGTTGCACAGCTTTTCTAGGCCACTATAATAATGCAGATCAATTAATGTTTGTGGACCAGCCCTAAAATATTCCTAAACCAGCCCCCACAAGCATCAAATTGGTCATGATCAAACCCAAGTCCCCCTGCACGGCCTGTTTTCCCTGTTGAGTCACTGGTTTTGCTGGCCATTGGTTTTTCCCTGATGGTTTCCTATCTGGGTGGATCCATAGCAGGTAGGAACAGGATGTTTGTGACTGTGAAAACCCCAAAACCCCCACTCTCCTGCTTTTCCACCAACACCTTTCTCAGAAGACTCAGGATTTAAAAATAGAGGGTTTCCTCAGAGCAGCACTAGATGTCTCTGTGCAGGTTGCATTGAATTGGAAATTAGTACCTGAAAGGGCACAAAACACCTCTTATTTCCTGAAAAAATGTATTCATCCTTCATCCTGGCTGCAGCAGGAATTCGATGGGGACCAGGTCATCCACAAAAGGCAGGTCCAGTGCTCCAGAGCTGCCAGCAAGGCTGTGCACATCCTTCTGGTCACAGGATAGCTGTGCCTTTATTCACAGAGGCAGATGAAAGGCACGAGAAGACACTGGCTGCCAACAATTCACTCTCTGACAAATGATCTCTCCACCCCCCTCACTCCCTCCAAGTGTTAAAAGTCCCGAATCAGGTGTCCCCCCCTCCCACTTTTTTCCATAGCTGGAAAGCCAGAGCAGTGATTGACACACTGTGGGCTGCTGGATTTCTCTCTGCTTTCTTAATTCCAAGCCAGAATTTCAACCCTTTTTTTCTTCAAAAAACAAACAAAAAAACCAAACAAAAAAACCAACCAACCAACCAACCAAAAAAAAAAAAACCACACAAAAACCCAAAACCCCAAAAAAACCCAAAAATAAAGTGGAGCTTGCAACCTGCTCCTCTGGCTTCAGGAACTGGGAGAAAAGCCTCTGTAATGAACACAAGGTGTAGCAAGTGAGCCCCGCTGCCCATCTTTTTGTCGTCCTTACAAAGGCACTCGGGGTTAGGGGAATTCCTTGGGGAGCAGTTTGTATGGACGGCTGAGGTTTGGGAAGGACCCGCTGGGCAAACCCGCTCCCGGGACACCAGGAGGATGTGCAGGATCTGCTCTGGTCTGCGACGAGCAACTCCCTCACTGCCCTGTGGGTGGGAGAATCCACCAGAATATGTCAGGCTCGCAGGGCTGGCCAACCCGAGCAACTGGCGCTTCTGTCAGTCCGAGATAAGAGGGGGGTCACTGCTCCCCCCCGGCTCTGGCACAGCACCAAGCCCCCCAAAATCCCTCTGAACTCCACCGAGAAGCCAGTCACGGCTCGGAAACGGCCACGGGAATGTCCGTGGGAAGCTTCGCCCGGGTTTTATCACAGAGAGACGAAGCAAAAGAAATAAAGAGCGAAGGAGCCGCTCCGACAAAAGCGATCGCCGGGGAAGAAGGGGGGAGAGGCTTCTCCTGCTTCCAGCGGGGCTCCGGCACACGGTGTGTCCGGATGAAACGCGGAGCCGGTCCCTCGGGGTGCACCTGCCTGACTTTTTCATGCGCTTGGCAAGGCGAGGTGTCAGATGAGGGAGCTACGTGCGAGGCAGAGCGGCGGGCAGGGGTGGCACAGCTCCCACCTCCGGCCCCGACGCCCTGTCCGGAGCAGGGAGAGCGGCCCCGCGGCCCCGAGGATGCACCGAAAGGTCGCTGCTGTTGCCGTGGCTGCTGCTGTTGCAAAAAAAAAAAAAAAAAAAAGGTGGTGAGGTCCTGGCTGCTCCCTCCGGGGTGAGATACAGGCGCATCGGCCTCGCCGCGGAGGGAGAGGAGAGGGCTTAAAAGGTCGGAGAATAAACCAAGCATTAAAATTGCAGGCAAGCCCGGGCTGGTTTCCTTGAGGGACACTGCTGCTTGACTGAGCACAGCACACTCTCCCAGAGCTGATCTCCTGATACCAGCAAGATCTTTTCAGTAATTCCTTTCACTTCTGCAGTCAGCCGAAAACATCCATCTCCTGAAATATTTATCTCATCCACTTCTTCCAGCACAGATCAAAAGGAGTGTGAAATGCACCTGTAACCTGCTGGATCACCTGGCACCTCTGGTAACTTTTAGCAGGCAGAGGTGCCAAATCATACTGACATCTCCCAGTCCAGGCTGTAAAGGATCAGACACCAATTATCACAGAGAGGCAAAGGGTGACAGGCACCTCATGTTACCTGCAGCACAACAGGAGTGCTCAGCTCTCCTGGGAAGAAACAGCACTGGGACAGAGGCATTAAGAGGGTGGGATATACCCCATATCCTTTGGAGTGGGAAAACATGCAGTTGATGCCACTATGCCTTTCCCTGCTTGTGCAGGTCAGGGACAGCCAGGAGCTGCTTTTCCCACCCCAAGTGCCATGTTTGGCTGTGTATGGCTCATCTCTGGATTGGGGCACTGGGAACAGGAGGTCCCCAAAGCCAGGGCGTCCCTTAGGAAAGATCCAGCTGATATGGGAACGGGCAGACTCCCCACATGCCAGCGCAGAGCCCCTCCTTGGAGCAGCTAATGGCATCAAAAATGTCTTCAACATTATGGTTTCTGGCCAGAAACCCTCCCAGTTCCAGTGAGACCTCCAAGCCAACTTTGCAATCACTGAGACAGACACAAACCACTCAGCCAAGTATTAAATTCAGTGATTTTTGACACAATCCTTTATTATCTGCCAGCGTTGCACCTGGCAGTACTGTACATGGCCAGGAGGGAAATGAGCTGTTCCTGCACCTGCACAGGGGAAGGGAAAACATTCTTTCCTCCAGATCTCTGTGGCGAGGCTAGAAAACACAAAATCTGAAAAATTCAAACCGAGCAAGCAGGGCTGAGCTCTGCCCTCCCCCTGGGGAACCTGTCCTGCGTGAGAACTGCCAGGAAGAGCCAGAGCCCCTGAGGACTGTCAGGGTCCTGAGATGGCAGTGCCAGAGACCTGCTGCCCTCCTCCTCTGCCCTTTCCTGCTGTGACAGCCTCCCAGGAAAGCCCAGCACAATGGAAGTGCCTGATTCCTCCAGCTGTTCCCCGTCTCCCACCCGCCTTCCCCCGGCTGCTGTTCCCACCTGCCACGGAGAAGGCGGGGAGAGCTTCACGGATTACGGCTGGATAAACAGTAAACCAGAGCATATGGAATGCTTCAGCCCCCCCCTGTGCTCCTGCTTGGTGCAGGCAGCAGGTCTGCTGGGCATTTCTGAGGAGGCAGTGCCAGGTGTTCCTGGATGCAGCCCGGGCTGGAGAGCGGGATCAGGGAGCACGGAGGTGATGAGGGTTGATGGACCGAAGGCAGGAGCTGCTACTGGGCACTGACTTGTGCTCACTGATCTGTTCAGAGGGCCCTGAGGAGCCGTCTGAAGAGAAGCTGAGAGCTTCTGAGGCAGGAGGGTTCTCTGGAACAGGCTGTTAGCGACATGTGACAGCCAAGATGTGTCTCGGAGGGGCAGGCATGGGGACTGAGCCAAACAGAGGAGACACAGCCCATCTCCCTGCATGCTCTGTCCTCCAGGGCTCAAAAAACCAGCCCATCAGCTCCTGCAGTTTTGTATCAACAGACACATAATGCATTGATTTCTCATTCTTTAAAACTCAGTACTCATTCAACGGTTTCCCACACCCACCATGCAGACAGAGGAATGTACACAAAAGTAGTAAATGAAATAGAACTTTATTAGAAGCTTCCAGCATGTTTTATCTGTTCTTCTCCTCCACAAAACTCCTCTTACTGGATATACAGCTGCTATAGTCCATATAGAGCCTGTACATCTCTCTCACTACTTACAGTTACATATCTCACTGCACAATTGCACAGTGTGCTCTCTTATCAGCAACAATACATGGTCTTCAGTCCATCCCTACACACATTAAAATTGCATGGCACTCTGCATTACAAGGAAAGAGCTAAACCTCCCCTCTCTGGTTTCATGAGACAAACATCACCACATCATTCCTATAAAGCTCACAGGCAGATCCACACTGGTATTCTGGGATGATTTTCCTTAGTACCTTTGTGGATCTGGTCCCTGAGTGCTTAATCTCACATTTATGCTGTTACCAGACTTGGGAGTCAAGAAAAACCCTCATGAATAATGCCCTTGAGTGATGAGGAAGGCACTGGAGACAGGGGAGGAACTGAATTGCTTCCTTTTTATTTTTCACCCCACCTTCCATTCTGGGCCCCCTCGAGCCCTTCCCAGGCCCCCAGGTTACAGACTCAGCCACAGCACCCCCTCACCCCACATCTCCCCCAGCCAACTTTACCCCTCCAGGGTGGGAGGCAGAAGAGGGAACAAGTCATACATCCAGACCCTTTGTGTGGTTTGGGCAGAGCCAAACACGTACACGTACTTCTTCCTCCTCTCCGACATGCTCCTGTCCTCGTCAGGGCTCTTTCCTGAGACTTCCCTGAGCTCAGCCCCTTTCTCTGCTGCCCCTTTCCATCCTGTGCATCTCCTGCAGAACCCTTCCTGGCTGCCCCTTCCCCTGGCTCTGGCTGTGTGACCCCCGTCCATCCTCTGCCTACGTGTTTGGGATGTGTCCTTGCAGCAGGTGCTCCTCACCCACGGGGACAGACGTGGCTCTGGCTCAGCGGGGCTGAGGTGGCTGCATGCAACAGAAACCTTATCTCAGCCTCCTGAACTGTTACACTGAGCTGTGACTTCTAGGAGTGAATTCCAAGAGGATGAGTCCTCCTGCAGTGAGCCAAACCAGTCATGGGAGCCCTGGGCTCTGCCAGGAGAGCGGCCCCTTCATCCCCCTTCAGCTGCTGCCCAGCCAGCACATGCTTAGCCAAGCCCCATGTTTGGACAGACAGCTCTTCCCAAAGCTCTCTCCACTCTTCCTTCACAGATATCCCAGCTCTTTCATACCAATGAAGCACTTTCCTGGTTTCTTTTGCCCTCACCTCCCTCCACCACCACGTCAGTGCCTTCCTTTGCCACCAGGTGACTTCAGCGGGGAGGAGGGATAAGCAGTGCCCTGGAACAGACACTGGCTGCTCCTAGGGAGTGTCCCAGGAGAGTGCAAGGAAAGACCAGAGCCAGCCCAGGCTGGGCTCCCCTTTTCTCCAGTACAGGTACCGACTGCCTACCATCAATTCCTGTCACCGGAATGATCCTGCTTCCTGTGACGTCCTGTCCCATGTAGGGATGGGTCCAGAGAAGTCTTGGTGCTGGGATCCAGGCTTCTCACACTGTCCAAGAACAAAGTCCCCAGTCTCTGCCTCCACCGTGCCCACCTGTCTCCAGGAAGCACCTCCAGTGTGGGCTGAGCCTAAGTCCGGGGTTGTCCTTCTCTGACCTGCCTCCGGAAGTAGCGGATGGCAGAGAGCGTGCCAAAACTTGCCAGGAACACTGGAAAAGAGCCCAACACATTCCCACAGTTAGTCTGGGTGCTTCTTCCAAACCCAAGGATCTTTTTTCCAGACCTGCAGACCACAAGCTGCTTGGCCCACCCTGTTCCGTGGGCCATAGAGGGGTCACTCCCCTCCCTCCCCCAGTCTCCTCCTGCCTTTGTTTTTCATCCCCTCCACACCGAATTTATTCCCAGTGCATTCCCAGACACCCACAGCCTGGCTGCCCACATCTAGTGCTGTAGTTTGGGCACGTGGATCACACCACCATTCCACAGCAAACGGCTTTTTTTTCAGGGAAACACTAAATAGGCTCCCTGTGTGGGGTAGGGATGTGCACTGGTTGGATACACAGGTTCAGGTGGAGATTTAATGGACTGGTTGGATACACAGGTTTAATCCTGGATGAGGAAGACACAGTAGAAAATCTCACCAGGGCTTCAGGACAGTCCCTTCATTTTCTACTCCTGTTTGGACCATGAAGATGCCAGAAAAATACCATTTTGTGGATTATCTGGGGATTTTCTGATCCCAGCCAAAAGCAGAAAATACCCAAAACAAAAAATGTAGAGATACAACAAATAACTAATGGGGATTATACACAGAATCAAGCTTTTCTCTGTACTGTCAGCCAATGTTTTTAGCTTGGTTTATAAGAGAGATTAAATTCCCAAGCAAAACTGGGAACCCAAGCCATGCCTTTGGAGTTCCCAGTTTAAATTCAGACTTGATTTTGATTTATGTGTTAGAGGGACAGAAACAGGGAAATTCAGCTGGAACCTAGGATGCCTAAAGAGAATGGCTAGTCCAGGACTAGGTGGAACTGCCTCCCATCTCCCATCCTCACCAGGGTTATGTGATCCCGAGGACACGAGGACCCGTATCCCACTTTTCTCACCTCCCTGAGGCCACGTCCACCATCCCGTACCCAGAAGACAAGGAGGAGCAGGCCAAAAGCTCCTTGTGATGATGGCACTGAGCAGCCTTAGCTAATGAGCTATTCTCAGCCCAGGGTGTCAGCTTCCTGTGTGACCTTAGTGGGGAACATTCCTCCCCCTGGACAAGCAGCAGGAAGCCTCATTCCCAGCATCTCACCCCATGGAAGGGGCTCTCCAGGGCTGGATCCTGCACTCAGCTGCTCCATCCAGGGTAGGAATGAGGAATGCTGCTCTCACTGCCCCATTCCCTGCTCATCCTGCGACCTGCACTCCTGGGGCGACTCAGCAAATTTGTGATTCCCGAGCTTCCTCTCTTCCCACCACCTATCCCAATGTTGTGGATGGAGAGGAGAGGATCCAAGAGAGCTCCATTTACCTGCAGGACTCAGTGCTCCAGGATAATACTTCAGCTAAGCTGTATTTAGAAAGAAGGTTATATCTTCATAGCACATTTGAAAAAACACATGCACTTGTTCCAGCTGAGATGAGGGAGCCTAAACCTGCACACTCCAGGTCCTGATCCCGCTGCTAGCCAGCACGGATCCTAAAGAAGCCTCTCTTCTCCTGACAAACTGCTCCTGGTCCCTGTCAGCAGCAGGGCCAAGGCTGGGGATAGACTTGTCCTACAGCTCAGCTCCTGTCAGCAGCCACTTGGCGTGGGGAAAGGACTATGTGAGTGAGCAGGAATCAGGGCTGCCACTCCACGAGAGAGGCAAGGCATTAAAAGGACACTTCTTTGGAAAAGCAGGGAAGTGCCTGCACTTTCCCACAGGCAGCAGTGGGTGTATTTGTATCCCCTGCCTTTCTCCCTGCCAAGTCTTCCATGAAGTCATTCCCGCCCCTCTCCCGCCGGGCCGGGCACTGTACGTACTGGTCTTCCAGGCATCCGGAGCCTGCAGGTCAGATGTCTTCACTGCCCAGGATGCAAAGGCACAGAACACCAGGCACATGTCTTTGTGGGTCAGCACTCGTGGATCCTCTGCTGCCCCTGCCAGAAGAGGAGCACGAGGTTTTTGGGTTTTATGCCACAGCCCCTGCGTGTCCCTCTGGGACACGAGTCCCTCGCGCTCCCAGGGAGTCACGTCGTTGTCACACATTTTCCCTCCCTGGAGACATTTTTTTTCCACCGTTTGTCAAGTCAAACGTGTCTATTTAGGACTCAGTTATGTTTGCTAAGGTGAGGGGCGCATTTTTCACCCCTCTCAGTTTTAGACTTTCTTAAGACCCTGAGGCAAATGTTTGTCAATGCCACTCCAGGGCCTCTGGCTGCCTCACACCTCCCTGTGTATCTTCCCAGAGCAGTGTGGTGGCTGGAAGTGGGTCTGGGGAGTAGATTTAGGAGAAGGGGATTCCTGAGGACCTCTGGGCAAGGGCCCCTTCCTGCTAGACACACTGCTCTGGAACAACATCTATTCCCCTGAGAAGCACCAGTGCTCAGCATCTCACTGATCCCACCCCACTCCCACCTCCTGCTAAGTCCAGGGATGGGGACATTCCTGAGTGCTCTAAATTTCCTCCCCTGACGGATTTCCAGCCTGGAACTTCATGCTGTAAGAGTAGATTATTTTTGCTCCCATGTTTATTTGATCAGGCCTTCAATTAAAACTGACTTCCTAATTATCTGTGACCACGGCAAAGGGGCTTTTCTCCTTGCAAACCAACTGGAAGCTCTATTTTGAGGCACCCTTTGGAATGACTCACTCATTGTTTGGGTTTAATATTAACTACGAGGCCCTGTGGCTCCAAGCATCATATAAGCTTTAAGACAAATACACTGGCTGTCCTTGTGGGTCAAACTTCTCTCCCTTTATTCCTGTTTCTCTCACTTGCCTCCAGGAACAGTCAACGTTCAGGAGGGTCTCTGGAGGGTGTTTTTTGAATTAAGAGCATGTTTTTAAAAGTCCCAGGTTCCCTGTCCATGCCTGCTGCAGTGCTGGGAGCCAGCCTGCAGGACCTGGCCAGCAGCACTCCCTTGGCACGGGGACAGTGGGAGCATCCCAAGGGAGAGCCAGCGTGACACAGCATGGGACACATCCCTGCAGGGGATAACATGCTTTACCTCTCAGTGCAAGGGCCATCTCCTCACCTCCTATCTCTGGCCACACCTGGCCTCTTCCCGGGGGAGCCAGTGGGACGAGGGCGAACTTCTCTGCGGATCCTCTCGGCACCAGAGCCTGGGAGGCTGGGCCTTGGCCGCTGTCGGGGTGGATTTGCCTTTGCAGGAGGGACTTCAGAGCCCCCACAGCTCTCTTCACCTCGGAGGCTGGAGCGATTGAGAAAATCCCTCTCCAGCCCATCCTGTTCCTAGGTGTCTCTGGGAAGAAGTGTTCACACACCTCGGGGACTGAGATAATCACAGTGTCCTTGACTGCAGCTGAGCTGGGATCCTCATTTTGCAGCCCAGTGTGGTCCAAGCTGCTGAACTTCTTTCTTTTCCTGTCTTTACCTTTGACTTTTTTCCTGTTTCCTTCTGGTTCATTGAAAAAATACTCGTACAGTTCAGGCCAGGATATTTCCCTTTGCAAGGGTGATCTCCGCCCCTCCACTGAGCTCCCCAGTTCTTCTTCCTCTTGGGAATCACAGAAAAAATAGTCATACATCTCAGGCCAGGTCACGTCCAGGGTGTTTGACCTTGCAGAAGCCCCATCTGCAAAGCACGGGGGGCTCAGCTTCCTGGGGATCTCAGGGGCAGGTCCCCAGGGGATCTCAGGAGTAGCAACCCTGGGGATCCCAGCTGCAGTCTTCCTAGGGATGTCAATAGGAGGAGACCTGGGGATCCCAGATGAAGGCTTCCTGGGAATCTCAGGGGCAGGTTCCCAAGGGATTTCAACTGAAGGAACCATGGGGATCTCTGAGGGCTTCCTGGGGATCTCAGCTGCAGGGACTCCAGGGATCTCAGCTGCAGGAACCCCAGGGATCTCAGCTGCAGGGACTCCAGGGATCTTAACTGCAGGAACCGCAGGGATCTCAGCTGCAGGAACCCCAGGGATCTCAGCTGCAGGGACTCCAGGGATCTTAACTGCAGGAACTGCAGGGATCTCAGCTGCAGGGACTCCAGGGATCTCAGCTGCAGGGATTCCAGGGATCTCAGCTGCAAGGACTCCAGGGATCTCAGCTGCAGGATCCCTCCAGGCTCCCTCAGCAGCATCCCCTCCGAAAGCTGCCATGCTGTTGGGTTGGAGAGGCTTCCCTGGCATCTCCTGGCATGCCTCTCCCGAAGGAGCCACGGCTCCGTTGTCAGGGATCACTGGTGCACCGTCACGTACGCCCAAGCCACCAGCCTGCCCTGCCTTTGAGGGCTTGGTGGCCTTTGTCTTCCCTGGGGACTGTGCCCCTGGCTCCTTCCCCTTCTGCCTCGGGGGAGCACTCCCGGCTGGACCCCCCTCATCCACGCCAGGGCCGGGCACCGACAGCTTGCTCTCCGCCGCCTCCTCACTGCTCATCCTCCCCAAAGCCGCCTTGGCCGCCTTCTCCTTCCCTTTGCTCTTCCGAGAGGACATTGGCGAGCCCGGAGGTGCCTTCCCGGGTCCCTGTGTGGGCCCCTGAGCCGCAGCCCCCCCAGGCTCCCTGTCCCCCTCGGCAGTGCTGGCCCCTCGCTGCTTGCGGCTCTTCTTCTGCTGCCCCGGCACCTTGGGCCTCACCACGCTGGGGGACCCGGCCGGGGAGCTCTGCTCGGCCCCCGCCCTCTCCCCGCTCGCCTCCTCCTGCGCAGCCCCCGGGCATGGGCTGGGGGGGTCACACGAGGGTCCCCGCAGCTTGGGCTCCGAGTGGGAAGCGCTGGGATGCCTTTTCCTGGCAGGGGGTGCTGGTGAACTACCCCCCGCCAGAGTCCTCGGCTGTGCCACCACCTCGCTGCCATGGGATTGTCCCCCTCCTGTGTCCCCTCCCGGCTCGGGGGTGCTTGGGGTGCCGGGGGTCTCCATGTCTCGGCTGCCTCCGGCTGCTCCTTTCTCCGACGCTGCTGCTTCACCTGCTGTGTCCTGCCCCGGGCTGCCCTGGGCTGTGCCACCAGCCTGGCCGGCCAGGGGGGCTGCAGGGGGGCGAGGGGGCTGCCTCCTCTGTGCGCTGGGCATGGCAGGGCCGGACGGGCAGCCGGGCTGGTCACTCTCACACAGGAACCTGCCGACCGAGCCCAGCTCTGCTTCGTCCTCGCTGCCCGACAGCAGCTCCGGCGGGGAGAGGTGCCCACCGGCCTGCCAGCGCAGGGGGGTGTCTCCAGGCACCCCACGTGGGGCAGAGCTCCCTGTGCCAGGCGCTGGCTCGCTGCCCTCCCCGGCTGGGATCAGCCTGTCGGGGCCGGCGTGGCCGTCCCCTTGCTCAATGTCACTGAGGCACTGCTCCTCGGCCGTGGCCAGCGAGGCCGGGGCGAGGTTGCACTCCTCTGAGGCCAAGAAGAACTCAGCCCATTCCCTGTCGTTCAGCTGGATGCTGTACTCGAAGTTATCCATGCCTGCAGCGGGAAAGCAAAGTGGGGAGGGGGGGGAGAGATGGGGGCATGAGGAGGTGGCACTAGTGTTGGCAGACATAGGTGAGGTGTGTGCCCTTAATCCTGTCCCCACAGGTTCCTTCCCTGCCATCTACATTCATTCATCCTCACTCATCCTCCCATCTTTCCAGCTGAAATTCCAGCTCCTGGCAGACTCAGCAGGATGGGGATGGCTGTGCTGGACCATAACCCAGCCAGCAGTGAGAGAGACCATTGCTACCCCCCTCTGGTCCCTGCTGCCTCTGCTCCCTGGGCACGGCAGCACAGAGGGGTTGGGATTCTCTCCACAGCTGCATAGAAGGTTTGGGATTCTCTCCACAGCAGCACAGCAGCATCACACCTCACACACCCCTTTCCTACTCCTCTTGCCTACAACCCATTTTAAAAACTGTGGGATTTCTGTTCTTGAGCATTCCTGCTGCCACAGCATCATGCAGGAGGGGAGCACGAAGCACACTCCAAACAGGACATTCCAGCAAGCCATGGCAGCTCCTTCCATAGCCGTGGCCCCGGGGAGGGACTTGCAACAGAGCCCAAAAGAGTGGGGATCCAGCAGCAGAAGCAGCAGAGAGACCACAAAGCTGAATCCTACCTGTACCCCGACCTAAGGTGGGGATGGAGCCATTCAAAGAGCCACGCAGGAAAATCCTCCCAGCACAACATGATGCCGTACCCTTGATGGGGGCAGAGAGCTCGGCTCCAGCACAGATCCATTCAGGGGCTAAAAATAGACCCCCCCTCCCTCCCCAGCGTGTCACTTGAGAGCCGAGTGCGGTGGGTTCAGAGAGGGCAGGCCCATATATAGAAGCTGGTGGGGGACATGTCAGGGCATCAGCCAATGTGTGTCTGTCCCACAGCCACGTTTGGGGACCACTCCTGATGCCCACTGCTCCCTTCTGCCCTCAGCCTGGGATCGCTCCATGGGACGGCCAATGGAAAGGGGGCAAAGGCCTTGGAACTCACACCTTTCATCACATGAGGGAGTGGGACACCTGGGTGGCAGTGACTGTCCTTTTTCCCACACACACCCACCCTTTGCCTCAGTCGTCATTTCCAAGATGACAAAAGCACGCCCCAGGGCATGGTTCACCCTCTGAGAGCACTCCCAGGGCACTTACTGCCAGCTTACTGCAGAGTGACATCAAAAGATCACAGTCAGGTCTTGTGACAAACCTTGCAGGGTGCGTGTGGCAGCCGTCCCACACCGCCCAGGGACACCTGGTCCACGTGCTGGAGGGAGCCTGGGGCTGGGGGCTCTGGGTGAGCCTGGCACGAGGGAGTTACTGGCCGAGGGTGGCCTGGCAGGTCAGCAACCAGAGCCAGAAATAGCCCTCGGCTCCCACGAGCCCCGGAGCTGCCTCCCACCACATGCCCTCCCTGTCCCAGGGGCCAGAAATAGCTGCTGCAGGACAGTGGCTGTGAGTGTGAGCCCCAGCCCAGGGGGGCCAGCACTGCCCCAAGGCTCTGGTCACTTCTTCTGCCACCAGGGTGCTGCAGCCCCCACAACTGGAGATGGCCACTGTTGTAGATGCTGTGGGAGCTGAGAGGGACCCACGTGCTCTGCCTACACTTTGGGGGTCCTGCAGATGCTACAGAAGCCAAGAGGGACCCACATGCTCTGCACCCACCTTGGGGGGTCCCATAGATGTTGTGGGAGAGCCACGAAAGACCCACATGCTCTGCATCCACTTTGGGGGTCCTGTAGATGCTACAGGAGCCAAGAGGGACCCACACGCTCTGCAACCGCCTCGAGGGTCTTGTAGTTGCTCTGGGTGCTGAGAGGGACCCACATGCTCTGTATCCACCTCAGGAGTCTTGCAGATGCTTGCGGGAGTCAAGAGGGTCCCACATGCTCTGCATCTGCCTCGGGGGTCCTGTGGGGATCTAAAAGGGACTCACATGCTCTGAACCCCCCTCAGGGGTCCTGGAATGCTGTGGGAACCAAGAGGGACCCACATGCTCTGCATCCACTTGGGGTGCTGGCCATGCCAGGACGCACATTCCAGGGAGCCGGGGCCAGCAGCTGGCTCCGGCTGGGAGGAGGGAACCTCCTGCCCTGTCCTGCCAGCCCTGCCAGCCCCGGCCATCCCGCGGGATGGAAGCTCCCCGTCGTGGCTGCCGCCTCACACTGCACAGCCCGGCAGCGAGCCAGGAGGGTCCAGCCCACCAGCAGCTGGAATCAAGGGGTAAATATTGACCAGGACACGCTTCCCTTCTCCCTGCTCCAGGCTGACGCATGCAGGGAGCTTGTCCAGCCGAGAAAATATGGAAGGAAAGAGGTCTGCTGCCTTCCCATCCTATCTCACGTCTGATCTGGCTACACCCTTCTCCCCCTCACACAACTCGCAGACGCAGAAGGGAAACCAACTGGCTTCCTTTTCTTGGCTGCAGTCGACTTCCTTCCCTTTGAGCCCGGCAGCCAGGGTTAGTCAGAGAAACCTTTAAACTCAGCCTTGCAAACCGCAGCAGAGAACATGAAAGGGGCAGAGGCAGCGAGACGGAACTGGGAGCCAGCAGCGGGCTGGCGGCCCGCGTTATCAGCGTCACATTGCAAACCCAGCGCCGGGGCAGCCACGCTCCAAACCCCACAGGAACTGCACACACCCCGCCACACGGCCCACCCCGGCCCCCCAGACACAAACAAGTCTCAGCGCAGGAGACATCCCGCTATTTATTTAGCTGTCCAGGGCGAAGCCCGCGCGCGCTGTCCTTGGGGAAATGACACATCTGCCGCCGCTTCCCTGCCTTCCTCCGGAGGGATAAAAGCCCAGCGTGGCCTTCAAGGGCATGGCACCCTGCCCTGAGGGGCACGGTGCTGCCTGCCAAGGACATCCAGCAGTGGCAGCCTGGACAGCCCGGCTCCGATTTCCTTCTGGCACGTGGTGCCTCTCTGGGATACCTGGCTCCGGCTCTCCCGAGGAGGTGATGCCAGATGCTGGGATTGCCACAGGGCTGCTCCAGCACCATCCGGTGGATGGCACCTGCCGTGGGCAGAGCCAGGAGGGCAGAGCCTCCCAGCAGCTCGTCCCAGCACCTCCAGGATTGACGCTGTGGTATTAAGGACATTATATAAATAACTAATGGCAATGTGTAATTAGAGATGGGCCTGAAATAAAGCAGCAGATGAGGCCCCTCTCTGTGCCTCATGTCACAGGACACAGCGTGGGAGAAAGAGCCAGGGTCAAGGGCATGGAAAAGGGGTCTAGGGAGGAAAACCAGGAGTGCCATGGAGGGCGCTTCCTTTGGGATAAAGACCCATTCTGTGGCTTCAAGCTCCACATTTGTTACTCCAAGTGTAAAGGGATTTTGACTTCTGGGAAAGGAGCTTTCAGAGCTTTATGGAATAATACTCTGAGATAACCAATTTCCTATCCAGGAAACTCCATTTGGGAAAATTCCACCTTCATGCAGCTCTTAAAACCAGCACTAAAACATCACGAGTATGGGGGTTTGGCTGAATTCACTGTGAGACAACACAGACAGTGCAGAGAAATGTGGGTTTGATTACGAAGATGTCCTCCCTGCCCTGATCTACACCCATCACATGCTGTGTGTGAGGGGAGGAAGAGAGATGAGTTTGCAGGAAAAGCAATGGAAAAAAAATAAAAACATAATGGAAAACGAAATGTGTCCACAGCTTCAGGAGCAAGACAGTGTTGGCCCTTGCTGCTTCCAACTGCCCAGGACAGACTGTGTTTTGGTTATTTTCTCATGCCTTCTTCCTTTCTGGCTGGATCATCCTTCAGCCTCGGTCACTGATAGTGCCTGGCCTTGTCTGCCTGTCTCTGGCTGGGCTCCGGACTCTGGTCCTCTGCTCTCAGAGCACCAGCCGTTCCATCTTGTGATCTCCCCCTCATCTGATGCATTTGTTCCCTTCCATAAATTCCTGTGAGGTACAAACTGCCACATGGATAGCTCAGTCCTCGGATTAGGGAATTCTGAGCTGCTCAGGTACAGCTCTGACCTTGCACCCTCACTGCCACGAGACCTCCCCCCGCGACAGGGAGGGAGCAGACATGGAATCCAGATCTACCCCAGGGAAAGCCTGGGAGGAGCAGCTCCTCCACGCTGAGGAAGGGGTTAACTCTGTGCTGAAACTCGAAGTGCAAGGAAGCTGTAACCACCAGGCTGGTTTTGCTGGTTTGGGGGCAGGTGAGCAGGAATTATCACCCCCAAACCATAAGACTCTCTGCACTGTTTTTGCCTAAACCCTTTAACTATTTTGGTGGATTTTTTTTTTTTAATTTTTTTTTTTTTTGCCTGAAACTCGCTCCCCAGGCTCTCTTAAAATTCAAGCCCATGCTTCCCGAGCCGCCAGCAGCAGGCTCACGCAAAGGTCAGCCTCTGCTGACTTGAAACTCAGCCTGCACTCTGCCTGAAACTCTGCCAAGCTCTTCCAAAAGCTCGTATCCTGGCCAGAGTTTCGGGTTGCTAATCCAAGTCTCGCTGGGTTTCAGATTTCCCTGCAAGCTTTGGCTTTGCTCTACACAAGAATAGCTCCGGGCCAACATCCACGCTGTGCTGGCAGGACCCTTCCAGCCAGGGCAGGGGTGGCAGCCCCGGGGGCAGGGGTGGTGGTTCCAATGCCAGGAAAGCAGGGTAAACAGGGCAGGCAGCTGCCTCAGGGGCACGTGGATGGGCTCAGTATCCGTGATCCTGGATGCACCTTCCCTGGGGGACAGGTTCTGCAACGAACTCCCCAGCTTTGCCTCTCTGCAGGGGCTGTGGGACACTGTCCCTTGCCCCAGGGCTGTGCCCAGAACCTGTCAGAAAAAGCTGCAGCCACAAGGCTGCAGAGAAGTTGCCCAGAGAAGTTGTGGCTGCCCCTGGATCCCTGGAAGTGTCCAAGGCCAGGTTGGCCGGGGCTTGGAGAAACCTGGTCCAGTGGAAGGTGTCCCTGCCCATGGCAGGTGGTTGGAACTGGATGAGCTTTAAGGTCCCTTCCAACCCAAACCATGATTC